ACAGGGGTGCTGGTATGTGCACAGGGGTGCTGGTGTGCACATGGGGGTGTTGGTGTGCACATAGGGTGTTGGAGTGCACATGGGGGTGTTGGAGTGCACATGGGGGTGTTGGTGTGCACATGGGGGTGTTGGTGTGTGCACATGGGGGTGCTGGTGGCTGGTGTGCACACAGCGGTGTTGGTGTGCACAATGGGGAGCCTTACTGCAACAGGGTGGTCCTTTCCAACACCCAGAGGTGACATCAGCGCCATCCTTCTCAGCTCTTTTCCTGAAGTCTTCTCCAGGCTGGCTCAATCCCCTGTGATGGTCAGGCAGCGCAGTACTGGGAGTCTAGACCCAGTGATTATGTCAGGAATGCATCCACTCTCATACCCAGCCAGCATGCAGCCAGGCGTCCCTGTCCCCCAGACCCCCGGCTCCTGACAGCCAACACCAGCTATTTGGCAAGGTCCCTGGGGCGCTCTTTGTCATGGTCTGGGGCCTGCTCTGTCCGGCACTCCTGGCCTCTCACGACTTCTCCCTTCAGTTCCCACCCCCCAGTCTGGCTGCCACGGGCAGGACATTTGCGCGCCCTGTGGTAATCCCGCCTCACCCGGGACCAGCCTGGCCCTTCCTGACCCTTCTCTAAGCAAAGACATGGCAGGTGCACGCCAGGACGGAGGGACCCGGAGGTGGGGGGTGCGACCCTCTCGCCTCCTCCGGGGCCTGCCGACCAGTCCGGCCCCTCGGCCCCTCTCGCCTTTCCGCAGCCCAGCACGGACAGGATCGCCCGCACGCCTCCCTGGGGCTTGCGTTCAGCCCGCGGCCGCCGGCCCGGAGCTCGGAGCTGCCCTCTCGGGCTCGCGCGCCCTCGGCGCCGCGCGGGGCGGGCCCCGCATCCTCGGGCCCCGCAGGGCTCCAGGCCCGGATTGGCTCCCGCGCCGGGCGCGCGCGAGGGCGCGGCGCTCAGGGCCGGGCGGGCGGGGCGGGGGGCGCGCGCAGCGCCGCCGGCGGCCGCGGAGGAGCGCGGGGAGGAGGGCGGAGGAGGAGCGCGGGGAGGAGGGCGCGGGGAGGGAGGAGGCGCCCCGGCTCCCGGCAAAGCGGCCTTATTTATCTGGGCTCAGCCTCGGCCTCCCCGGTGGGAGGCTCGGGGAGGCCGATCCTCCCCCGCCGGGAGCCCCTCTCCGGGCGCCGCCGCGGGGGCCCGGCCCGGCCTGGGCGCGCGGGGCGCGGCCGGGCCCTGCCGGCCAGTCCGGCCCCTCGGCCGCCTCCGCGCTCGCCGGCGCCCTGCAGGGCTCCCCATGACGCGAGGCCGCCCGGCGGACAGCGTGGCATGAGCCAGGAGCCCGGGCCGAGGTAGGGCGGGTGCGGGGGGCGGATGCAGGCTGCGCGCGGGGAGGGACCGGATTGACCGCGCGGCCGCCACAATGAGGAGGGGGCGGATGGAGGGCGGGGGACCGCGCCGCCGCCCGGGCACGGCTTACGTCACGACAGCCCCTTTCCCCGATCGGGACCAACGGAGGCCGCGGTTCAGTGCTACCTGACCCGCCATGTCCCCAGGTACCGGAGCCCCGGCCTGCCTTGGGCCGGGGCTCCCTGCTGTGCTCCCAGCTCTGCGTAGCAGCTCCCGGGCAGGGCCAACATGCGAAGTGTTCCATGCAGTCCAACTGTGGGTGGATGTAAGGGGCCGGAGCACCTTGGGGCTGTGCATCACTCCACCACAGCTCTGGAGCGACTGGGGCCCCCAGGAGGGCATGGGCCCCCGGCCCATTTGGTTTCTGGAGGACTCGGCAGGAGGGACCGGGCACCCTGGCACCTTCTGGGAGGTTGGATGGGTGGGGAGTGGGTGGGCAGAGGCCCCCGGGGAGCAGGTGAGAGCCCACTTCCATGCCCTCCTCCATAATCACAGCACCTGGCTCCATTGCCAAGGGTGAGCGTGGGGCTGACTGTCAGGGCTCACCTCTTGGCTGAGGGGCCCCTGGCTGGGGCTGGATGCTCCAGGCAGGCTGGACCAGGCCTGGCTAGAGCTGTGAGCCTAGCTGTGGACACATGCCTGCAGGGGGAGCCCCAGGACCTGACTGTCCCCCAAGAACTTGGCTCTCCCCCCACCACACCTGAGGAGCACAGGCTACTGCCTGGGTACTTGTAGGCTCCTGTGTCCCACTGAGGACACCTGCCCTGGGTGACCCCCATCCTGCACCGTGCTGGCACCCAGGGGAGGTTGTGGGTCAGGCAGGAGGCATGACGCCTTCCCCCCAGGACCCAGGAGGAGCAGTAGCAGGGGCTAGTGCTGTCCACAAGCCGTGTGGCAGCAGGAGAGAGGGGGCTGTGAGCTCCCAGGGCTGGGGCTTCGGAGAGCCCGTCACTCTGCAGAGACACGGCCCAGAGTCCAGTGTCCACCCTTGGGGTGCCTGGTGCTCTTAGCTGAGGCCTTAGCCAGAACAGTAGCTTGGGGAGCCCTCTCCAGCTAGGGCAGGAAGCAGTCACTGCTCTGCCACGTGCTGGTGCCTGAGTCCCCAGCTGCCCTGGCAGTCCCCAGGAGGCATGGGAAAGGGCATGGCCCCTGGAGGCTATTCCTCATGCCAGGCTAGTTGGTGAGAGGTGAGCGGGCAGGGGCCTGGCCGGGCACAGTTAGGAAAGCATGCTGCCTGTCCCAGAAGTGCCCCCTGATTGCTGTGAGATGGCCTGGGGCACAGGGGGTTCCACCTTGCTCCCTGGGACCAGCAGAAAGCTGGCCATCCGGCAGTGAGTGTGTGCACGGTCCATGCCCAGAACAGGGCTAGTGTCCTTCTGGGAGCAGGCCGGTCACACAGCAGTGTCAGATGGCTGGCAGGACCCCAGCTGGGTCTCTTCCCAGAGGCGCCCCTGCCCCCAGGCCCGCTGAGCCCCCGCTGGGTGGGGCAGGGAAAAGGTGCACTCCCCAGCCTGACCCCAGCAAGCTTGTCACCTGCCCTACCCCGAGGCCCCGGGGCGGGGTGAGCTGTGGGCGCATGCAAATGAGCGCCCTGTGGGGGCGCACAGGGAGGCCCGCAGGTGCCGGGGTGTCCACGTGTGTCTCCCCGCCCCGTGCCCGGCGCTCCACGTGCGGCACCCAAATCGGCACCGCACCGCCTCCTCCGCCGCCTCCTCCGGATCCCAGCCGAGCCGAGCGGGCGGCCTCTCCCCTCCCCCTGCTCCGCCGCCGGGTCCCTCCCCGCTGCGCTGGGCGCGCCGGGCGCCCGCCCCCGGAGCCTCCCACCGGACCCCACCCGGCCGCTGTCCACGCTGAAGCCCGCCCCGAGCGCGCCGCCGCTGTCCATGGTGCTGCGCCGCGGCGCTCCGGCAGCCCCCGCAGCTGCGCGCTCCCGGGAGTCCCAGGTGCTGATCTGAGCGCCGGGTGGCGGCGGCGCGGCCCGGAGCTAAGCAGAGACTTCCTCAGGGGGCACTCCGGGGTTCCCACACTTCGGCTGTCGGCAGCTGAGGGATGGGGCCTTCCCTGCAGAGCGCCTTGGCCCACCGCCCACGGTACTGGCAATTCCTTCTGGGGGCAGGGGAGCTAGCACAGAGCCTGGGGCAGCACGGGGGGGGGGGTAGGTGGCTGGAGGGCAGGATGGGAAGTACAGGTGACCCTCTGCCCAGCACAGTGGACACAGGGCTGTGGACCAGGGAGCTGACCAAATGACTGGGAAAGGGATGAGAGGTGATAGGGGTGGGGTTGAAGCAGGGCCACGCTGTCTAGGGGCTGGGGGTTGAGGGCTGGCTCTTGTCCCCTTCCCCTGAGGTAGGGCCGGGTCAAGAGGATCCGTCTCGTCCTCCCTGGCGCAGGAGCCATGAGCTTCTCTCTGCCGAGGTGTACTTACCCTGGGCCTCAGGCAGGTGTGCGGCAGCCCTGGGTGGCTCCTTAGAGAGCTGGAGCCCAGCTTGGCAGATGAACCTCTGCACCTCGGGGTGGGGGGAGGTGGGGATCCCGGCAGATCAACTATGCCCTCAGGTGTGGCCAGAAAGCTTCCTAGTCGCCTGCCTGTGCTTCTCCCAGGCCTTGCCAGCAGCCAGGTTTTCCCCATGCTGTCCCGGGACCCAGGGGCCTGCCCAAGGGGAGCATGTCAGAGAAGGGAAACCCTGGGGCATGGCTCCACGCTGGATGCCAGTTTCATGGAGACCTTCCCTAGATGACCACCTGTGGTCAGTGCTCACAGGTCCTCACGTGCAGCTAGGCTATGGCCTAGACTCCAACACTCTCCCGTGGGACTGCCCTGGCCTTGGTGGCCACCCATATGGTGGGCCCACAGCATTCCCGCAGAGAGGAGAGCTAGCTCCACCACACTTGATTCACACACCCCTGTTCTCAAGAACTAGCCTGCCATTCCAGAACACCAGAGCCCATCAGCTGGCACCTGTGGGAAGGGGCCGTCCTGCAGCTCTCCAGTCATGGTCATCAGAGTCCCCCCGACAGTGACACTCATGTGTTGAGCAGGACAAAGTGGCTGAGGTGTGCACACGGCAGGCATCAGTGTACACACGGGCTTGCAGTGCACACACGGCGGGCTCTCAGTGCACACGCGGGCTCTCAGTGCACACAGCAGGCTCTCAGTGCACACGCGGGCTCTCAGTGCACACGGCAGGCTCTCAGTGCACACGGCAGGCTCTCAGTGCACACACGGGCTCTCAGTGCACACACGGGCTTGCGGTACACACGGCAGGCTCTCAGTGCACACGGCAGGCTCTCAGTGCACACGCGGCAGGCTCTCAGTGCACACGTGGGCTCTCGGTGCACACACGGGCTCTCGGTGCACACACGGTCTCTCAGTACACACACGGGCTCGCAGTGCACACAGCAGGCTCTCAGTGCACACGGCAGGCTCTCAGCACACACAGCAGGCTCTCAGCACACACGGCAAGCTCTCAGTGCACACATGGGCGCTTCCTGGCTATGGAGCCATGGGAGAGCATGTTGGGTGGGGACTGTGTGGCTCCGCCTGCTCTGGGGGTGGGGACTCACTCCTTTCCCGTCTCCCTGTCTCCCTCTGCAGAGTGCTGCAAGGAAAATGTCGAGCCCGGGCCTGGATGGAGAGCGCAAGCCCCCTTGCGTGCCGCGGAACGGCCTAGTGAAGCTGCCCGGCCAGTCCAACGGCCTGGGCACAGCCAGCATCACCAAGGGGACGCCCGCCACCAAGAACCGCCCCTGCCCACCCCCACCCCCGCCCAGCCTGGCTGCCCCCTTGCTGTCCCGGGCTGCTCTGGCTGGGGGTCCCTGTCCCCCGGCAGGTGCACCTGGACCCCCTGCCGAGCGGCCGCCGCTGGCAACAGATGAGAAGATCCTTAATGGCCTATTCTGGTACTTCTCGGCCTGTGAAAAATGCGTGTTGGCCCAGGTGTGCCGGGCCTGGCGACGAGTGTTGTACCAGCCCAAGTTCTGGGCGGGCCTCACGCCCGTGCTGCACGCCAAGGAGCTGTACAACGTGCTGCCTGGTGGCGAGAAGGAATTTGTCAACATGCAGGGCTTTGCTGCCCGCGGCTTTGAGGGCTTCTGCCTTGTCGGCGTCTCTGACCTGGACATCTGCGAGTTCATCGACAACTATGCGCTCTCTAAGAAGGGGGTCACGGCCATGAGCCTGAAGCGCTCCACCATCACTGATGCCGGCCTTGAGGTGCACCCCAGGGGCTGGTCGGGACAGGGTGTGTGTGTGGGCGTCAGCCACCCTGAGGGGGAGCAGGCTTGACGAGGCCCTTGGGGGACTTGGTACAAAGTGCAAAGTGATGCAGTACCTCAGATCTGTGGCTGCTGAAGCTGGCAGGGAGCACATTGGGGACGGGGGTGTGTGTGGAGGATGCTGGGGGATAAGGGATCAAGGGGCTCACCCTGGCCCTGGGGCCCCTCTCCCTCCCCTTGCCCGGGCAGGTGCAGCGGTGCCCTGAGGGGCAGGGGGACATGCCCCTAACCTGCCTCGCCTGCGGCCGCACCCCCCACTCCTACAGGTCATGCTAGAGCAGATGCAAGGGGTCGTACGCCTGGAGCTGTCCGGCTGCAACGACTTCACTGAGGCAGGGCTGTGGTCCAGTCTGAGTGCACGCATCACCTCATTGAGCGTGAGCGACTGCATCAATGTGGCTGACGACGCCATCGCGGCCATATCACAGCTGCTGCCCAACCTGGCCGAACTGAGCCTGCAGGCCTACCACGTGACGGACACGGCACTGGCTTACTTCACAGCGCGCCAGGGTCACAGCACACACACGCTGCGCCTGCTCTCCTGCTGGGAGATCACAAACCACGGCGTGGTCAACGTGGTGCACAGCTTGCCCAACCTCACAGCACTCAGTCTGTCAGGCTGCTCCAAGGTCACGGACGACGGCGTGGAGCTCGTGGCCGAGAACCTGCGCAAGCTGCGCAGCCTCGACCTCTCCTGGTGCCCGCGTATCACCGACATGGCGTTGGAGTACGTGGCCTGCGACCTGCACCGCCTGGAGGAGCTGGTGCTGGACAGGTGCGCAGCTGGCTGCGGGAGAGGGACGGGGCGGAAGGAGCCGCGAGGAACACAGCCGCGGAAAAGGGGGAGGCCTGAGTTGAGGGGCGGACCCAGGCGGTGTCAGGTGGGCAGGGCCCGTGTGCTGCACCCGCAGGTGCGTTCGCATCACCGACACCGGCCTCAGCTACCTGTCCACCATGTCGTCTCTCCGCAGTCTCTACCTGCGATGGTGCTGCCAGGTACGGGGGACCCGGGAGCAGGCGGGGAGGCGGGGGCGCCTCTGCACCCAGCGGCCTCCTCCGACAGGCGCCTTTCAGGGCTCCCCAGGCACGCACTTGCCTGCCCGGAGAGGGGCTGGGAAACCTCACTTAGAACCCCGCGCCCCCGCCCCGGCGCGAGTGGAAATCACGAACGCCCCTGCTCCTCCGTCCAGGTGCAGGACTTCGGGCTGAAGCACCTGCTGGCCATGAGGAGCCTGCGGCTGCTGTCTCTGGCAGGTGAGCCCGGCTTCTGCGCGCGCGCCCGTGGCCCACCGTGGGCGCAGACGCGCGCACTGAGCCGCCGCCCCCGCTCTCCGCAGGCTGCCCGCTGCTCACCGCTGCGGGGCTCTCCGGCCTGGCGCAGCTGCAGGAGCTGGAGGAGCTGGAGCTGACCAACTGCCCGGGGGCCACGCCCGAACTCTTCCAGTACTTCTCGCAGCACCTGCCCCGCTGCCTCGTCATCGAGTAGCGCGCGGGAACTCGCCACGCGCGCCCCACGGGGTCCCCCGGGCCCTGCCTCGCCTCGCCGCGGGCAGGGGCGGCCGGCAGGACCGCCCCACGCACGACGCTCGCTCGGGGACTTTGCATGCCCCTCGCGCCCGCACTGCACGCCTGCCCCGCCGCGCCCCTCCGCCTGCCCGCCCGAGGCGGCGCCCGGCTTTGAGCCTCCCTAACGCCTTCCCGTGCCACCACCGACACCCCCTGCCCCGCGTTGTCTCCGTGCCATCCCCCACCCCGGGCAGGGCCCAGGGGGACTGAGGGGTGCTGGGCTCCTCCAGAACCCCGAGGGGCCTGGAAGAGCCCCAAGGGCTTCCCGCATCTTCACTGCACTGCGCCTGGAGCCCTCTACCCCAGCCAAGGTGTGTAAGGGGGACAGGTCAGTGCCAGAGCCATGGTCTGCCGAAGAGCCCCGTCCAGCTGCTCGCGCCCCCAGGCCACGACTGGGCAGCACGTGCTCCTGCACTCGCGGGGCCTTGCCGCCGTGCCTGGGGCTGCTCCACACCTCCAGCAGCCCTGGCCAGGCCGGCCTGGAGAGGGACAGACAGCTGAGGGTCGCGTTGGAATACACACCGGCTCCATCAGGACCAGCTGCTGGGTGCCCTGGGCAGGTCTGACCAGCCATTCCCATCTTCCAGTGGCCATCCCAGCCTGCAACTTCACCCTGTCCTTGCCTCTTGCACCCCTGCCTGCCCAAGCGGGCCCTGCTGTGTTCTATTCCACCCCTGACCCCAATGTCCCGGGGCACATGGACGCATCTCCGCCATTGCCAGGGAGGGGGCTGGGACCCCCTTCCATCCCAGCCGGGACCCCCAGGAGAGGCAGTGTGCGCACTCAGTCCTGGTGCACCCAGGGCTGCCCTGAACCTGGCTGAGTGACCAGTTTCCAGAGAGCAAGAGAGCGAGAGTGAGTGAGAGAGCGAGAGCGAGATGCTGTTGCAGCCGACAGGCTCTGCAGCCCAAAGATGCCCCAGTGGGCCGAGGTCCGGCCGACAGGGGGGCGCCTGAAGCTGTGACGTTTCCACCGACCGTCGGAGGAGGGCCTGGGGAGAGAGAACCAAACCGAGCCCCCACCATTTTCTTATTGTACATAAACGACCGCATTCTCCTGTATATGCCGAAGATATAACCTTATATTTGGTAAGTGTTTCTTGTGCTATTTTATCACGTGACCTGTTTATAAAAATATATATATTAAAATCGTTGTAAGAACACGGGCCTGGGACTGCTTTGAGGTCGTGGCACGATGGCAGGGCGCTGGACACGAGGGGCCCCGGGGGAAGGGGTGGCCTGCCCACTGCCCAGCGGAGTGGACCCTCCAGGACGTCTTCCTTGGGGGGAGCATTCAGAACCACAGCGGGACGCGTCCGAATGAGCCCAGACATCCCGATCCTGAGGAGAAAACCGCGCCCGAACTGAGCGGCGCCACGGCGATCTCCTCCGGAACCTTTGTGTCGTGGGCGAAGCACCCCGCGCCCGCTTCCGGCGAGGGGGGCGGGAACGACGGCCGGCTTCCGGCAGCGGTGCCTCCTAGAGGAAGCGCTGATCGCCGGCCCGGAACTTCGCCTGGCGACTGGGTCCTTGGTCCCCCCGTCCCCCGGCGGCTCGGTCCTCGGTCCCCCGTCTCCCCGCGGCTCGGTCCTCGGGGTCCCCCGTCCCTGGCGGCTCGGTCCTCGGTCCCCCGTCTCCCCGCGGCTCGGTCCCCGGGGTCCCCCCTGTCCCTGGCGGCTCGGTCCTCGGGGTCCCCCGTCCCTGGCGGCTCGGTCCTCGGGGGTCCCCCTGCCCCTGGCGGCTCGGTCCTCGGGGTCCCCCTGCCCCTGGCGGCTCGGTCCCCGGGGTCCCCCTGTCCCCGCGGCTCGGTCCCCGGGGTCCCCCTGTCCCCGCGGCTCGGTCCCCGGGGTCCCCCCTGTCCCTGGCGGCTCGGTCCTCGGGGTCCCCCGTCCCTGGCGGCTCGGTCCTCGGGGGTCCCCCTGTCCCTGGCGGCTCGGTCCTCGGAGTCTTCCCCCCCCCCCCCCCCCCCCCCGTCGCCTGAGCCCTTGTCTCCCTTGAGATTTTGCAGACTGGGGCCTGACCCCCTGCTGGGGTTGGTTGACAGTTAAGCGAATGCCTGGCTGAGTGACACAGTACTGATTTCTGTACCTGACTGCCCAGCTCTGGGGGGGCACCCGGGGTGCGGCCATGGAGAAGATGTCCCGCGTGACCACGGCCCTGGGTGGCGGCACGCTGACGGGCCACACCATGCACTGCCACCTGGACGCGCCAGCCAACGCCATCAGCGTGTGCCGGGATGCAGCGCAGGTGGTGGTGGCTGGCCGAAGCATCTTCAAGATCTATGCCATTGAGGAGGAGGGCTTCGTGGAGAGGCTCAACCTGCGTGTAGGCCGCAAGCCCTCACTCAACCTTAGCTGTGCCGACGTGGTCTGGCACCAAATGGATGAGAACCTGCTGGCCACGGCTGCCACCAACGGCGTGGTGGTCACGTGGAACTTGGGCAGGCCGTCCCGCAACAAACAGGACCAGCTGTTCACAGAGCATAAGCGCACGGTGAACAAGGTCTGCTTCCATCCCACAGAGGCCCACGTGCTGCTCAGCGGGTCCCAGGACGGCTTCATGAAGTGCTTTGACTTGCGCCGCAAAGACTCGGTCAGCACCTTCTCGGGTGAGCCTCCCCTCCCCCGCCACTGACCTAGGGCAGCTCTGGGGGGTCCTGGGTGGGTGCAGCGCGCTGACCACTCCCCTGCCGGCTGCCCACTGCAGGACAGTCCGAGAGCGTGCGTGACGTCCAGTTCAGCATTCGCGACTACTTCACCTTCGCGTCCACCTTTGAGAACGGCAACGTGCAGCTGTGGGACATCCGGCGCCCAGACCGCTGCGAGAGGATGTTCACAGCCCACAACGGGCCCGTCTTCTGCTGCGACTGGCACCCCGAGGACAGGTGGGGCCGCGCACCAGGGCGGGAAGGGGCTGTGCGGTGGGGACCTCCTCCCTGCCTCCCGAGTGGAGTCCCAGGGCCCATCACTGAGGGCCTGGACGGGCTCCCACAGGGGCTGGCTGGCCACAGGTGGGCGGGACAAGATGGTGAAGGTCTGGGACATGAGCACGCCCCGGGCCAAGGAGACGCACTGCGTGCAGACCATCGCCTCCGTGGCCCGCGTCAAGTGGAGGCCCGAGTTCCGCCACCACCTGGCCACCTGCTCCATGATGGTGGACCACAACATTTACGTGTGGGATGTGCGGCGCCCCTTTGTGCCGGCCGCCATGTTCGAGGAGCACCGTGACGTGACTACTGGCATCGCCTGGCGCCACCCGCACGACCCGTGCTTTCTGCTGTCGGGCTCTAAGGACAGCACGCTGTGCCAGCACCTGTTCCGTGATGCCAGCCAACCTGTGGAGCGCGCCAACCCCGAGGGCCTCTGCTATGGCCTCTTTGGGGACCTGGCCTTTGCTGCCAAGGAGAGCCTGGTGACCACTGATGGGGGGCGCAGGCCCTATGCCGGTGACCGGCGCCCCCCTATCTTCTTCAAGCGCAAGCTGGATTCCACTGAGCCCTTCTCGGGCCTGGCCTCCAGTGCCCTCAGCGTCTTTGAGACAGAGCCTGCAGCCGGTGGCATGCACTGGTTCGTGGACACGGCCGAGCGCTATGCTCTCACTGGCCGGCCGCTGGCCGAGCTCTGTGACCACAATGCCAAGGTGGCACGGGAGCTAGGCCGTAACCAGGTGCGTCCATGGGCCTGGGGTGTAGCCAGCTCCTCTCAGCCCTGAGGTTTCTCTGTCCTGTGAGTGTTGGTGCCATCGCCAGGTGGCACAGACGTGGACCATGCTGCGGATCATCTACTGCAGCCCGGGGCCAGTGCCCGCCGCCAGCGTCAACCATAGCGTGGGCAAGAGTAGCACTTGTGGACTGCCGCTCCTGAACAGGTGGATCCTGCGGCAGGGTTGGCTGGGTGCTGGGTTGGGCAGGGGTACAGGGCCCCAGCACCCAGCCACCTCTCCACCCCCAGTTTCAACCTGAAAGATGTGGCCCCGGGGCTGGGCAGCGAGACGCGGCTGGACCGCAGCAAGGGAGATGCCCGGAGTGACACGGCCCTGCTTGACTCGTCAGCCACACTGCTCACCAACGAGGGTAGGCAGCCGGGAGGCGCCAGGGTGCTGCCTGCGGGGCTCAGGGCCACCCCAACATCCTCCCACCCTCCCTCAGCAGACAACGAGGAGACGGAGGGCAGCGACGTGCCGGCCGACTACCTGCTGGGTGATGCTGAGGGCGAGGAGGAGGAGCTGTACTTGCTGGACCCTGAACACGCACACCGTGAGCCGGCAGGGCTGCAGCTGGGGGTGGGGCAGGGGTGAGGCAGGCCTGGGGCTCAGGCATTGCCTCCCCGCAGCCGAGGACCCCGAGTACGTGCTGCCGCAGGAGGCCTTCCCACTGCGCCACGAGATTGTGGACACGCCACCGGGGCCAGAGCAGCTGCAGGACAAGGCTGAGTCCCCACACGTGAGCGGCAGCGAGGCGGACGCGGCCTCCCTGGCCCCTGCGGACACCTTCTCGTTGCTGTCTGTGTCCCATGCGCTGTATGACAGCCGGCTGCCCCCCGACTTCTTTGGGGTGCTGGTGCGGGACATGCTGCACTTCTATGCGGAGGGGGGCGACGTGCAGATGGCCGTGTCCGTGCTCATTGTGCTGGGTGAGCGCGTGCGCAAAGACATTGACGAGCAGACACAGGTGCGGGGGCTCGGGGGCGCCCGGAGGGGGTCCTCTGCAGCCCGGCCCTGCCCGCGCCCTCCTGCAGCCCCCCCCTCCGCCCCCAGGAGCACTGGTACACATCCTACGTGGACCTGCTGCAGCGCTTCCGGCTCTGGAACGTGTCCAACGAGGTGGTCAAGCTGAGCACCAGCCGGGCCATCAGCTGCCTCAACCAGGCCTCCACCACACTGCACGTCAACTGCAGCCACTGCAAGCGGCCCATGAGCAGCCGTGGCTGGGTCTGTGACAGGTGCGGGGTGAGCGCCCCTGGGGTCACGGGGGTCCCAGCCCGAGCCCGACGCCCACAAGCACCCTCCCGCCCGCAGGTGCCACCGCTGCGCCAGCACGTGCGCCGTCTGCCACCACGTGGTCAAGGGCCTGTTCGTGTGGTGCCAGGGCTGCAGCCATGGCGGCCACTTGCAGCACATCATGAAGTGGCTGGAGGGCAGCTCGCAGTGCCCGGCCGGCTGTGGCCACCTGTGCGAGTACTCCTGATAAATCCCTACGAAATCCACAAGTTGTCTGTGTCGCTGCTGTCGCCGGCGGGGAGGGGGAGGGATGCGCTGGGGCGTCGCCATGGCAACCGGCCGCTTCCGGGCCCCGAGCTCCCGGCGTGCCGCGCGGCGGGGACCATGGCGGCGGGGCCGTTGCTGCTGGCGCTCGGGGCGCTGCTGGCGCTGCGCGGAGCGGCGGCCGGGGACGGCGGCTGGTGAGCGGCGGGGCCGGGGGCTGGCGAGGGGCTGGCGGGCGCGGGGCTGGCCAGGCTGACCCGGCCGTCCGGCAGGCGGAGGGGCGTCCCGGGGCCGCCGGCCGAGGAGCGCTGCACCGTGGAGCGCCGCGCCGACCTCTCCTACGCCGAGTTCGTGCAGCGGTAGGTGGGCGCGCGGTCCTGGGGGGCGCCGGGCTGCCGGGCCCAGCTGACCGCGCCTCCCGCCTTGCAGCTACGCCTTCCAGAGGCCCGTGGTGCTGCGCGGGCTCACGGACAACGCGGTGAGTGCGGCGGCGGGCGGCAGGCTGTGGGTTGCCGGGGCGGGGCGCCCCTGAGCCGCGCGCTCTCCCCGCAGAAGTTCCGCGCCCTGTGCGCCCGCCAGGAGCTGCTGGCCGCCTTTGGGGACCGCGTGGTCCGGCTGAGCACAGCCAACACCTACTCATACCGGAAAGGTGAGCGCCCCGCGCCCGGCCCTCGGCCCCCCCCCCGGCCCGCGCGGACCTGACCGGCGCCCTCTCCGCAGTGGACTTGCCCTTCCGGGAGTACGTGGAGCGAATGCTGGGGCCGCAGGACCCCGCGTCCCTGGGCAATGGTGAGACTGCGGGGCGGCCGGGTGTGGAACCAGCAGGGCACAGGCCCGAGCTGAGCTGCCCCGACCTACCGCGCAGACACCCTCTACTTCTTCGGGGACAACAACTTCACCGAGTGGGCCTCGCTCTTCCGGCACTATGTCCCACCCCCGTACGGGCTGCCGGGCACCGTGCCTGCCTACAGCTTCGGGATTGCAGGTGTGTGCCTTGGCGGCAGGGGCTGGCTGTGCCCGGGTGCCCAGAGCTCAGCACCCATTCCCCACCTGCAGGAGCCGGCACCGGGGTGCCCTTTCACTGGCACGGGCCTGGGTACTCGGAGGTGATCTATGGCCATAAGGTCAGCAGGGCAGGGCAGGGCACGGCGGGCGGGCGGAGCACAGCACACTGACCCTGCCACCCCTCTGGGCAGCGCTGGTTCCTCTACCCACCGGGGCAGACGCCCCACTTCCACCCCAACAAGACCACGCTGGCCTGGCTCCGGGACACGTACCCAGGCCTACCTTCGTCTGCCCAGCCACTTGAGTGCACCATCACAGCTGGAGAGGTCAGTGGGCAGCAGGCAGGGGGCTGGTGGGCAACCAGCACCCAGCCGATGCCATGGTCCCTGACAGGTGCTCTACTTCCCTGACCGTTGGTGGCACGCCACGCTCAACCTGGAAACCACCGTCTTCATCTCCACCTTTCTGGGGTAGTGGGGCCGCACGGTCAGGGCTGGGTGGTGCTCACGTTTTATTGCAGGGACAGCCTCCACCCTCCCACCCCCCTGCCCCAGGCCCCAGCAGCGGCAGCAGGTTGGGGCCGCTCAGTAGTCCTCCTGCCCCAGGCCCCAGCAGCGGCAGCAGGTTGGGGCCGCTCAGTAGTCCTCCACCCAGCCGTTCTCCGAGATGAAGGCGTCAATGACCTCCTTCATGGCCAGGTTGGGGATGAGCTGCTCCTGGGTCAGGGGGCTCCGGGTCACCGGGTCAAAGTGGCCCACACGCTGCAGGACAGGCCAGGAGACACTAAGCCCTCACCTGGGGTGCTCCTGGCAGCGACCCAAGAGCCCCCCACGACGTCCTTGCCCCCACCTGCAGGTGCTCCTCAATGTCCTTGCGGTCATAGGTGATGCCACTGGGCGTGATGCACGGCTCCCGCATCAGCTCGAAGCTGATCTTGCCACACAGATAGTCCGGGATGTCGCGCTTCTGAGGCACGTGGGGGAGGGGTGGGCGTGAGGCCTGGGCAGCCTGCCCCCTGCCCCGCTGCCAGCCCCTCCCCTAAGGCTCCGGGCCTCACCTTCCGCTTCTCGTCCACTTGGGAGAAGAGCTCCTCCATGTCAGCCATGTATTTGTCCTGGGAAGAAGCGAGCACCGTGCGTGGGCTGGGCACGGGGCCTCCCCACGGGCCACCCCCATCCGGCTGGGCACTCCCACCCCCAGCCCCTCACGTGTTTGGCCTCGATGCAGGCCTGCTGGGCGCGGACATGGCCATCGTCGTCTTCGCCCTCGTGGTTGCGCTGGCACTCCTGCAGCTCCCTGGGGACGGGCCGGGGTCTTAATAAACCTTGGAGCTGTCAACTCGGGGAGTGTCTGGGGGCAGGGGGCGCACCTGTCACGCTCGGCCGCGATGAGCCTGGCCAGGTAGGCATGCAGCTCGCTCTCCTGCTGCACGCGCCGCTCCTCAATGCTGTTCCAGCGCTTCTTCTTGGCGACGCGGAGGGCGCTGGGGATGTCGTCGCCAAAGTTAAGGCGCTGCTCCTTGGCGAGACTGTAGGCTGGAGTGGGGGCACGGGCGCGTCAAGCAGGGCCTGGGGCGCGCGGCGGCGGGCACGCGGGTGGAGGGCGCACCTCGCTGCAGGTTGGCGATGGCCTCATCGTAGCTCTCCATCTCCAGCTGGCACTGGCCCAGGAAGAAGTGCGCCTTCACCGACTGTGCGTCCAACTCCAGCGCACGGCGGCAGTCGGCCAGCGCAGGCTCCAGCTGCTGCATCTTGAGGTAGCACAGCGCGCGGTTGGTGTAGTACACGGCCACCAGCGGGTTCCGCGTCTGCGGACGGCGGCTCGTGAGGAGGCAGCCCGTGCCCGGCCCCCTGCAAGTCCCCATGAGCCCTGCGCCCCTTGCAAGTCCCCTGGGCCCTGAGGCCCCAACCCTGCGCCCCCGACTGCCCCAAGAGCCCTGCGCCCCTTGCAAGTCCCCTGGGCCCTGAGGCCCCAACCCTGCGACCCCGACTGCCCCATGAGCCCTGTGCCCCCCCGGCTCCCCCCATGAGCCCTGCGCCCCCCAAGTCTCCATGAGCCTTGCGTCCCCCGACTCCCCCCAGGAGTCCTGCGCCCCCCGCCTCCCCCCCAAGAGCCCTGCGCCCCCCCCAAGTCCCCATGAGCCCTGAGCCCCGACCCTGCGCCCCCGATGCCCCCCATGAGCCCTGCGATCCCTGACACCCCCATGAACCCTGCTCCCCCGACGCCCCCATGAGCCCTGCGCCCCCTGACGCCCCCAGCCCTGCCCCGGCTCCCCCATGAGCCCCCCAGCCCTGCGCACGACACGCCCGCCCTCCGCCCCCTCGTCCTCCGCCCCGCGCTCACGATGGCGCGCCCATAGCAGGCCGCCGCCTCCGGGTACTTGCGGCCCACGAACAGGCGGTTGCCCTGCTCCTTCAGCTCCTGCGCGCTCGGGCTCTTGTCCGGGCTGCCACCGCCTAGCCGGCCGCCGCCCTCCTTCTCCTCCTTGCCCTTCATGGCGCTGCGCGGCCCGGCCTGGGCTCCGCTGCGGGCTCCGCGCCCCGGGGCCGCCCGCAGCCCGCGCCCCGACCCAGCCCGGAACTTCCGGCTGTAGGGGCGGGGCCGCGCGTGCGCGGAGGACGGGGGGGGGCTTGCAAGCCACGCCTCCTGCCGGCAGAGCGCGCATCACCCCATCCCTGCAAATGCCCGGCTCCCCTCACCTTTCCTTACCCCGTCCTTACCCCGTCCTGACCCCGTCCCTGCAAGCGGCTGGCTCCCCTCACCCCGTCCCTGCAAGCGCCTGGCTTCCCTCACCCCTCCTTACCCCGTCCTGACCCCGTTCCTGCAAGCGCCCGCTCCCCTCACCCCTCCTCACCCCGTCCCTGCAAGCGCCTGGCTTCCCTCACCCTGTCCCTGCAAGCGCCCGCTCCCCTCACCCCTCCTCACCCCGTCCCTGCAAGCGCCTGGCTTCCCTCACCCTGTCCCTGCAAGCGCACGACTCCCCTCACCCCTCCTCACCCCGTCCCTGCAAGCGCACGGCTCCCTTCACCCCGTCATGGTGGCGCCAAGTGTGTCGGCGTGGGCACCGGCAGGCTGTGCCGGGCAGCGCCCTCCAGACCGCAGCCGGGAGGACATGCGCGGTCCAGGCCCAAGCTGCCGCACACACCCCTCCCGGGCTCTGGGGCAGAGGACCCTCCGAGGCCAGGGGGCCACAGCGCCGTGTAAAATATTTATTTATTCTGCAAAAAGGCTCAGGCCGCAAGTTGGGGGGGCGGTTCTCCTGGGGTCTCCTCCCCCTCGCGCGGGACAAACGTGCAGGCAGGGGTGCAGTCAGGGCGGAGGGGGCACGTGGGCGCCCAGCAGGTCGTAGGCGAAGACGTTCCAGAAGATGGCGAAGAGCAGGAAGGTGCCGTAGGCCAGCAGGACCACCCACCAGCCGCACTGGTCCCGCAGGCGCTCCTCGTAGCTGCGCAGCATCGTGAGCCCCATGCTGACCCCCACCACCGCCCCCGCCAGGTGCGCCATGAAGCTGGGCTGCGGGCCGGCGGCCGGCAGCGGCGGGGAGAAGCGCAGCCACACGGCGCGGCCCACCTCCGAGCTCACTGCGGAGGGAGGCGGCAGCTGGGGGGCGCCCGTCCGCGCCCGGGGCCCGCCCCCGCCCCCGGGCCCGCTACTCACTGCACACCAGGGCCAGCACCATGCGCAGCAGCTTGTAGGGGCACCGCATCCCGGCCCAGTTCTGAGGGGGCACCCGGGCCGTGAGCCGGCCCGCCGCCCCCGCGCCCGCAGGCCCCACCCTGCAGCGGCCCGTTTACCATGACGACGTTGGCCAGGTGCGCCGAGCACAGCGCGTAGACCCCGCCGGAGCCCCCCACCACGGGCGCCCGCATGTCGGTGATGGAGACGGTCAGCGAGCCTGCGGACGAGGCGGGCTGAGCACGCAGGGCACCCGCGAGGCCAGCCCGCGCCCGCGCCCCTGCTCACCTGCCAGCACGCCGGCCAGGTAGAGCAGGCTGATGCGCAGCAGGCCGTGCACCATCTCCAGGGGCACCCCGATCATCAGCTGCAGCAGCGCGTTGAACCCCAGCTGCTCCAGGCTGGGCGGGGGGAGCGGCGGGTCACCGGCCTGGGCGCCCCCCAGTGCCCCCCGCCCTCGGGCAGCGGCCCCGCTCACCCGACGTGCATGAACATGTAGGTGAGGAAGCGCCAGGCGCGCGCGCGGTGCCCCGGGTGGTACACGAGGGGGCTCTTCATGTACTCGGGGTGGTAGGTCTGCAGCACCCACTTGTTGAGCCGCGCCCCGTAGCACAGGAACACCACAATCTGGGGACACGACCCTTTAGGGCCGGCCAAGGCCAGCGGCCAGGGGGCTGCGGCGAGGGGAGGGGGCGGGGTGGGCTGGTCCACCTGGGCGAGGGTGACGGAGGCCATGAACACGGGGGGCGGGCAGCTGCGGTGCCGGGAGAAGTACCAGCGGCGGTCCACCTCGCAGGGCAGGATCTCGTAGGCCACGTAGCGGACGAAGCGCTTGTAGAAGCCCAGCCCCGGCTCGTCCAGCAGCCCGTCCCTGGGCAGCGCGCGCTGCCCGTTGGCGATGGCCCTCTTGAAGCTGCTGGAGCGCTTGCTGCTGATCTGGGAGGCAGGCCGAGTGCGTGGCGTCCCCTTCCACGGCACTCGCGCCCGCCCTGGCCCGCCCACCCCGCCGCCGCAGCACTGACCAGGTCCACGAGCTCCTGGTAGCAGACCTGGCCCCGCTCGTTGCTCTGGGCCAGGGCCACCAGCATGTCCAGCTTGGCGGGATCCAGGGGCAGCTCATGGCTGTGCACCAGCCCGGCGAAGGTGTCTGCCCCGATGAAACCCGTGTTGTCAGGGTCCAGCTGTGGGGAGGGGAGCCGGGCCTGAGGAGGGTCCTGCCCGCTGAGGACCGCACCGCCCTGCTCCCGCAGCCGAGCCTGCCCTTCCGGGGCTTTCAGGGCAAGGTCGTGCAAGGAGGCGGCTTGGGGAGGGGGCCGGGCCCGCCGCGCGTCTCCCGAGGCCCCTCCCGGCCCGCAGCGGCGGGAGACTCCCCGCGGCGGCCCCGCACCTGCTCGTGGATGAGTTGCAGCAGCGAGCTCCTGTCCATAGAGCCAGGCTGGGCCTGGGGCCGGGGTCCGCGGCTCGGCCGGGAGGGGCTGCGCTGCAGACCGCTCCGCTCCGCCCGGCCGCCGCTCCGCCCGCTCGGCGCCGCACTCCGCCGCGTCAGAGCCGCCAGCCCGCCCCGCGCGCCGCCGAGGCTCACGCGCGCCCTGCGCGCGAGGACGCACGCCCTGCGCCGGCCGCTGCCTCGGGACAGGCACCATGGCAGGGAGCCGCCCCCGCTCTGGCGGTGAGGGTCTGGGGGACCGAGGCAGGAAGCCTGCGACCCTGCTGCGCCCCCCACTGTGCTGCGGCTCAGCCCAGCGGCCCCACCCCCACTCCTGCAGCAGGACAGGGGTGCCAGAAGATGGGGAGGGGACAGCCCCAAGGGGCAGGCCTGCGGGAGGCTCCCAGGGTTGATCCAAACCCTGTGGCTACTGCTGTGGGTGGCCAGGAGGGCCGCTGTCCCCGGGCTGCAAGCCCCAGGCCCAGCTGCCATAGAACAGGGTCTGAAGGCATCAGGTCCACTGGCCACTGCCCCAAGGGAGACAGAACAGGCCTTGACCAGTGGCTGCTCATCTGGGTGGCCTGAGAAAGACACCCTGTGCAGCAGAGTCAACACTGGAACTCCCCCAGGCAGCGCCCCGCTCATCCACCCTCTTCATCAGGGCTTGGGTCTGAGGGATGGCTGGGGGGCTGGGGGCACTCTGGGCCTCAGACAGACCCAGCAGAGTGACGTCAGCCCAGTGAGCACCCAGACTGTACCACTTCAGGGCTCCCTGGGCCAGAGCCGTCCCTTCCAGGCACCAAGGGGCCATGCAGCAGAAGCCTAGGGGTACGGGGTTGGGGTGGCACGGAGTCAGGGGGTGTGCACCCCTCAGCAGGACGGACGTGTTTCAAAGACCGAGACAGAAGAGGAAGGAAGCAAAGTTTAATCTTGTGACCTGCGACAGGTGTCTGGCCCTGACTGCCTGGGGACAGGGGGAGTGGGCAGCTGCTGTGGGCTAAGGAGTTGACTAGCACTGGTTAAGCCGAGCACTACAGGCAGTGGGCTTGGGGCTAGAAGTCCCTGGTCTCAGCTGTAGCCAATCTGCGTTAATGAGGGTGTGGGGTAAAGCGCAAACAAGAAGTAGGTGAAAGGTCAAGAGAGAAGGCAAGAAAGGCTTCGGAGAGAGACTTCCACCATCCCTGTCTCCGGTCGGTGCCTCAATCCCTGGGACCCTTCCTCGTGTCCCTCGTGCGGCTGGCCGTAACAGGCAGCACCCTGGAAAGGCAGCTGTGGGACCAGAGGTTAGAGAGTGGGGGTGCCCAGATCCAGGACAGGCACAATCTGCAGTCCCACTGCCCTGGGGGACCACTGTGCTAAGCCGAGATGGGGTCCTGCGAGGAGCTGGGGGGGGGCCCTCATCGGCTCCTGAGGACCCTGAAGAGTGAGAAGCCAAGGACAGCGACCATGGCGGCCCCCACGATGCATAGCAGGTCCCGGAGCCAGCGGCAGGAGGGGCCTGGCTCTGCCTGCAGCAGGTGCCTGTGGGCGAGAGAGAATCTCAGGGCAGCCCTGGCCCAGCCAGCGTCCCCAGCCCGGGGACAACCGGGGGTACCCACGGGAAGGTGGCCATGATGGCGAGCTGAGAGAAGGCAGCTGGGTTGGGCGGGCCGGGGCCAGCACAGGAGAAAGGGGTGGGGGCCGGCAGCCGATGGCGGCGGCAGAATTCAGCGGGCGCCACGCCAGGGCCAGCAGCGCCCCCCAGCAGGTCGGCCTTGGAGCAGATGAAGAGGCAAGGCGTCTGCCCGTCCATGTAATGGTGCTGTAGGAGGGAGGAGTGAGAAGTGAGAGCGGGCAACAGGATGCCACAGCAGCTCCCCCCCGGGACACTTGCCTTGTAGAGGTGGGCGCAGTGTGCAAAGGACACAGGGTCACTGCTATCAAACAGGAGGCAGGCGACATCGCAGCTGGCGTCCAGCGGGCTCTCAGAACTGACCTCGCAGAGCTGGGGCAGACAGGGGCCTCAGCAGGGTCCTGTATGTGTGTGTGTCTGCCTGCGCACCCTGCATGTGTGTCCATGAGCCCTGCATGTGTGTGTCCCTAAGTCCTGTGTGTGTGTCTGCCTGTGCATCCTGCATTGTATGTGTGTGTGTGTCCATGTGTCCAGAGCCTCATTGGATCAGAACACTCACAATCAAGTACTTGTCCTGCCCATGCACCTGCACGATGTCCACGGCGTAGGCAGGGGGCTCCTTGGGAATCTCTGGGTGCTGGGGAAAGACGGCCCTGAGGCGCTGTCCTGGTCCCTCCCCCAGGCCCTGGTCTGGCTGGGCACACTTCCCCCCCAGGCCCTGGTCTGGCTGGGCACACTTCCCCCCCAGGCCCTGGTCTGGCTGGGCACACTCCCCCCCAGGCCCTGGTCTGGCTGGGCACACTCCCCCCCAGGCCCTGGTCTGGCTGGGCACACTCCCCCCCAGGCCCTGGTCTGGCTGGGCACACTCCCCCCCAGGCCCTGGTCTGGCTGGGCACACTCCCCCCCAGGCCCTGGTCTCGCTGGGCACACTCACCCCCAGGCCCTGGTCTCGCTGGGCACACTCACCCCCAGGCCGCGGCCCAGGAAAGCCTGCAGGAAGGCTGACTTGCCCACGCCCGCGGCCCCTAGCACCTTGCATAGAAGGACGTTCCGCTGCGTCTGCCCCTTCTCTTGGTCCAGCCGCTTTTCCCGGGTGACTGCAAAGACCAAACTGGGTGAGGGCATCACCGGCCAGGGAATGGAGCCTGGGGACGGCCACAGGCACTCACCTGTGATAGCCTGTGCCTGCGAGTGTGGCCCACAGAGCGTAGGGTAGCCCAGGTAGCCCAGGTGCCCGAGGCAACGACGCACATCCAGGTAGGTCACCAGGCTGGGAGCAGGGTGGTACACCATGACATCAGGGTAGGGAGAGGCTCAGGGGCGGGGCTTGGGGCGGGGCTGCTGTACTCACGCCCACTGGCACAGGTAGCCTCGCAGCCCCAGGTGCCCAGCCTCTGTACGGATGGAGCCCGGAAACCCAGGCCCCCAGGGGGCTTCAGGAAAGACGCTGAAGAGGCTGTGCAGCTCGGCGGGTGAGAGGGCACCATCCTGGTCCTACAGGTGCAGGGTGGTGGTGAAGGTGGGGCTGGGGGTGTCCAGGAGGTTTAGGGCAGGCAGGGGGCTGGGGGTGTCCGGGAGGACCTGGGGCAGGCGGGGGGCCCACCTGGTCGTGCTTTTCAAAGGCTCTCTGCACAAACTGGTGGCCGAGGTGGCTGAGCTCCGTGCTGCAGCCGGGGGGCACAGGCAGCCTGGCGGACAGGAGGGACAGGTCTGTTTCACTGTACCAGGCACACCCCTCTGCCATCCCCATGGAATCCGGCTGGGGACCCTGGACACCCACGGCGGGAAGAGGTAGTCGTTGGTCAGCTGAAGGTCATCCCCGTAGCCACAGTGGCGCAGGATGGTCCATGTGGTCTCATGCCGACCACGTTGGACAAACAGTGTGTTGAGAAAGAGGAAGCCTGTGAGGGAGGCAGGGGCTGGAACCGGGCACAGCGGCCCCTCATGCACAGGGAGGTGGCACCGGGGACACAGGAAGATGGCACCAGGCTCATGCCCTCACACACAAGACACAGGGTCCTTGGCCTCACCATCCAGGGTCAGCCCATCGTCCCGCACGCCGCTGGCCACATTCCTGCACACCACCATCTTGACGTCCTCCAGGGCCTGTGGGGCCAGTGGCCGGCCAAAGCAGGACGCCTGCCCGGGGAAGGACATTGCCAAGTGAGCCCGCTGACTGCCGGGCAGCGGCTAGGGAAGGGACGATGCGCACCTGGAAGGCATTGAGCTCCTCGTCGCTCAGCACCTGGTCCAGGTCCTGGTCCCAGAGCGTGAAGACCCGGGTGAGGGCCCGCACGCATGCAGGCCGCAGCTGTGGGGAGAGTGGCTTAGCCTCGGCCCCTGCGGGCTTCCGGGGGGGCGCGGCAGCCAGTGCCCACCTGCTTGGCCTCTGTGTCATACAGTGGGGCCGTGGGGTGCAGCACGGCCTTCTGGGCGTAGTAGAACAGCTCCGAGACATTCCGCAAGCTCTTGGCAGAGCACTGAGGGGCGGCAGAGCAGGCCTGGGCTTGGGAGCCCCCGCCAAGGCACAGGGTGCCCCCACCCAAGACCCAAGGCACAGGGCCCCTCCTGCCCCTCACCCAAGGCACAGGGCCCCTCCTGCCCCTCACCCAAGGCACAGGGCCCCCCCACCCAAGGCACAGGGCCTCCCCCAAGACCCAAGGCACAGGGCCCTGCTGCCCCCCAAAGAACAGTGCCCCCCACCTCCACACAGGTCTCAATCTCAGGAAACTGGCTCATGATGGGCAGCACAGCCTCCAGCGAACTCCCAGGACGCAGGTCAGACTTGTTGCCCACCAGGATGATGGGCAGCCTGGGGGAGAGGCCGGTGGTCATGGAGGGGCCCAGCCATAGCCCCTGCCTGGCCGCCCCCAGGCCCTGCCATTACCTGGGCCCCCTCTCTGTTTCTGCATTCACTAGCGGGATCCATTTGGTTCGAATCTGTAAGGCAGCAGCGGGCAACGGGCAGCCCCCTCCCAGGCTGGGCAGCAGGTAGCCCCCTCCCAGGCTGGGCAACTGCGAGCGCGGGGCCCAGGCGGCTCACCTTCTCAATTGTGGCTTCCTCCGAGACGTCGTACACCATGCACACCACGTTCGCCTGTGGGGAGGCGGCCAGGTGGCCGGGGTGGGAGCACGTGCTGTGGTGACCCCCTGGGAGGACAGCAACCCCCGGCCATGGCCACCCTGATGGACAGCAGCCCCCGGTCATGGCGACCCCCGATGGACAGCAGCCCCCGTCATGGTGACCCCCGATGGACAGCAGCCCGCACCTTACGGATCTCCTCCTGCAGCTCCTCCGCCGTCTGCTCTGCCTCTAGACAAGTGGGTGAGACCCGCTGAGGGCGCGGGCGCTGGGCCGGGGCGACCCCCCTGCAGAGCGCGGGCGCTACCTGAGGAGTCCACAATGTGCGTGGGCACCCTCTCCGGGGTCACGTCGGCGGGGATGGTGATCTCCTCGGCGCGGGCAGGCACCTGCCAAGGCCGGGGGCTGAGCCCACCACACCCACGTGCTCCCACTGTCCACCGCACCCACTGCACCCACTGCGCCCACCGCACCCACTGCACCCACGTGCTTCCACTGCTCACTGTGCCCACCGCGCCACCGCACTCCCACTGTCCACCGTGCCCACTGCACCCACCTCCTGCGGGAACTCCTCGCCCACCAGCGCCAGAATCAGCGACGTCTTCCCCACCTGGGCTGTGTGGGGCGGTGGGGCGGTCAGGGCAGGCGGGCAGTACAGGGGGTCAGAGGGCAGGACCAGACTTGGGGGGGGTAGGACAGGGGTGGGCGAGTAGGGGTCAGGGCCGGGGCTGGCGGGGCAGGGCAGGAGGTCAGAGGGCAGGACCAGACTGGGGGGGGAGGCAGAGCAGGGGTCGGTGGACAGGCCCTGCCCCCCGACCCCGGCTCTGTTCGACCCCCGGCCCTGTCCTCTGAACCCCTGTCCTGCTCCCCGACCCCGGCTCTGTTCGACCCCCGGCCCTGTCCCCGACTCCTGGCCCCGCCGCCTACCCTCGCCCAGCAGCAGGATGCGCACGTCCCGCCTCATGGCGGCCCCGCAACCCCGACCGGCGGCCCGGCCTGCTCGCCCGCACTTCCGGCGCCGACCCGCGCAGCCGCAGCAGCGCTACCGGTGGACACGTCGTCGCCTGGTGGACGCGGCGGGCACTGCGGCTCCCGCCCCATGGCGCTGCCCTGCCCCCCTCTGCCCCCGACCCCCTGCCCTGCACCCTGCCCCCCTGCCCCCCTGCCCCAGGCTCTAACCCCTGCTCTGCCCCGACCCCCTGCCCTGCACCCTGCCCCCCTGCCCCCCTGCCCCAGGCTCTAACCCCTGCCCTGCCACCTGACTCCCTGACCCCGGCCCTGCTGGGGACGCAGCAAGCAAGCAGTGTTCACTGAACCGGGTGGGCTGCCATCAGGAGCCCAGAGGGCGCCGGACGCCTGGCCTCCCGTCCTGCACCATACCAGGCACCTCACTGCCCCAGCACTTCCCACAGGAAGATCTGGCTGTCAGCCACAGTGAAGCGCATCCCAGCCGAGGGCATGACTCCACACAGGTGCATGGCAGCGGTGTGGCCAGCCAAGTCCTGGGTGGTGCCCACGGCACAGCCCACCAGCCTCAAGGCACCCTCTGTGGGTGGACGGCACAGCTGTGGTCCAGGGCACCAGCCCAGCAGAGGGGTCCAGGCCCCCCAGGCCCTCTCTGGGCAGGGTCTGGGTACTCAGCGACTGGGCAGATGGCCATGAGGTGGACTTGGTGGGACAGGCTCAGGGAGATGGCGATGGCGGGCAGAGGGATCCGCTCCAGCACCTGTGGGCAGGCAGCTGAGGCCCCAGGACTGCAGGGGCTCCCACTGCATACCCACAGGCTGGACCAGGTCCACACACCTGCTGGTGGTGGAGCCTGTAGAACACCAGCTCGGTGTGCGCACCAAAGCCTACACAGGCCAGCAGGGCCCTGTCCCAGGGGCAGAAGGCTGCCAGGGTGGGTGGCAGGTGGCTGGGAGCCTATGGGCAGGTAAGTTGGGCTGTGGCTGTGGGCCATTACCAGCCCTACCCACCTGGGGTGGCCCACCGTGCTTACTTTCAAGGTGGCCAGTGCTGGGAAGCTCAGCCAAGCTAGCAGCTCACAGTGGTCCCGCAGCCAGTTGGAGGCCCAGACACTGACCCGCTGGCTGCTGGCCACAGGTCTATGCCTTGCACCCTGAAAAGTCCATCCTACAGGGAGGGTGAGCCATGGGAGTCCCTTCCCCTGCGCTCCCCGCCCGCTAGGCTGTGGCACCTGACAGCGGGTGCTTTGCAGGGCAGAAATTGGGGCTCCCTGGTGGTCACTCAGCTTGTGAAGGTGACCCCTGTGCAGGGGTGGCCAGCCCCTGGGCAAGGCTACATGTGTCACAGCACACGCACCATGCTGTGACCCCAGCAGTCAGCTTGGGCTGCCCCCTGGTCATCCTTACCGTCCATGGAGAAGGGCACAGCAGTGACTGCGGCATGGTGGGGCGCATCTTGAGCTCCAAGGCAGTGCGGGAGAGGCTGAAGAGGCAAACGTGCCATCCCCGTAGCCCACCACCACTCACAGCTGCTCAGCTCAGGCGCAGGGCAAGGGGCTCCACGCCAGGCACCTGCACCTCTGCCACCTGTGGCGGCTGGGCAGCCATGAGGTTGCAGCAGGTTCAGTGGCGTACCTCTGACCAGCCCACCACCCTAGGCAGCCCCTGTGCCTGGTTCAGCCCCTGGAACTGGATCACCAGCTCCATAATGGGCAGTGTCCACACTCACCTGCTACCATCCTCACTGCACGTGGCACAGTGGGACTCGCTGGGGCTGAAGATTGCCTCATTCACCTGTAGGGCTCCACAGCAGGCGCTGGACCTCCTGGTGACCCCAGCATGAGATCCCCAGGCTGGGCTGCCGCAGTCGGGCACCATGGAGACCAAGTTCCTGTGGGGGGGCCCTGGTGACCCCCTCCCTGCTGACCACTGACGAGCTGGGTACTGGACTCTGGTCCCAGCTGATGTACCAGAGATGCTCAGGTCCATGCTGTCATCAAAGCTGGAGCTGCCCGTCCAGGGTCAGCTCATGCTCCATGAACACAGAACCGGACCTGTATGGGTGTTGGTGGGGGCCGTGGTTCAGGCCAGGAAGACAGCTGACCAGCTCAACGACCTGCTGATGTGGCCCACTCCCACATGGACTGGTTTCCTTGCCGCTCACCTAGTGCCCAACCCCTTGTGTCTCAGCTTGGGCACAGTGCCCGGCCCATAGGCGCAGCTTCCGTGTGCTCCCACCACTCAGCAGCCCGCTGTCCTCCAGTGCGGTCCCTGCCCACGCCGCAGAGGAGCTGCGGCCCCAGGGAAGCAGTCAGCGGCAGTCAGCCCGGCTGCCCCGCCATGCTCCACGCCCACCTGAGTGAGCAGATGGCGGGCACGGGGCTCTGCAGCCATCGCCCGCGACCCCCACGGCTCCGCCGGCCATCGCCCGGGCCCACGGTGCCACGGTTCGCGCTTCCCGCTCGGCCCCGCACGCACGGTGCGTCTGCCAACAGTTGCCGGGCGACGGGGGCGGGACAGCCCACGTGACGGGGGGCGGGGATCCGAGCCTGTCCCTCCAGCACCCAAGTCCTCCAGCTGAGCCCTGTCCGCGCCCCCCGACCTCTCCTGCGCCCACCTGTCCGCGCCCCCCGACCCCGCCTGCGCCCACCTGTCCGCGCCCCCCACCCCGCCTGCGCCCCTGTCCGCGCCCCCCACCTCGTCTGCGCCCCCCGACCCCGCCTGCCCCCAGTTGTCCGCGCCCCCCGACCCCGCCTGCGCCCCTGTCCGCGCCCCCCGACCCCCTCTCGTCCCCCCAGGAAAGCGAGGCGCACGGGCACTTTCTGACTTTATTGAGCCGAACAGAGGGGCGCCGGCGGCGGCGGGGCCGCGACTCCAGCGCGGGCACTTGCGGTGTGGCTGGCACGGGCGGCTTGTCCCGCCGCGGCTAGGAGCAGCTGGTGACCCGGGCCAGGAACTGCTGAGCCCACCACTCGTCCAGGTCGATGGGCACGAAGCCTGCGGGCAGAGCGGGGCCGTGCGGGGCTGAGCGCACTGAGCGGCGCCGTGCGGGGCTGAGCCGGCCCCGGCCGCCCCCCGGACCCCCGCGCCGGGCGCTCACCCTGCAGCCGCGGGTTGGGGCTCCTCTCCACGTACTGCACGGGCCTCGGGCCGCGCTCGCCGGCCAGCTGCCGCTGCACCTGCTGCCAGGCTGCGGGCAGAGGGGGCACGGTCGGGCCGGGTCGGCGCGCCCCGCGGAGGGCAGGCCCGCGGCCGGAGGCCCGCCCCGTACCTTCGGACACGAAGCGCACGTTCTCCTGGTGCGCCGGCGTGTAGGGCTCCTGGCCGCCCTCGCCCGGGGCCCGCCGGCCGGCCACCCGCTGGAACACGAGCCTGGGCCCCGCGCTGTGGAGGAAGGGCAGCAGGCAGTGGGCAGGCCGCCCCCCGCGCCCGGGCCGTGGCCCGCTCCCCCGCGCCCCGCCGCACCTCCAGCCGAGCGCGGGGAGCCGGCCGTCCTCCGCCGCCGGCTCGCCTTGCCGCGTCAGGGGCCCCTGCGCCGCGGGCCGGTCCTCCTCAGCTCGGAGGGGCGCTACAATAAAGAGGGGCGTCCTGAGGGGCGGGGGTCCCCAGCCCGGGGCGTGCAGCGGCCGGCTCCCCCGCCCGGGCCGAAGGGCGCACACGCGCGCGGCGGCGGCGCGCGGGGACCTTGACCTCGGGGCACGTGGCCCAAGGTGACCCCGGCGCGCCGCCGCCCCCCGAGCGCTCACCTGGGCAGGGGCGCGCAGGGCGGCCGGCATTTCAGGAGCTCGCCGAGGCGGCCGTCCACCTGCTGCTGCGGGGGCCCTGCGGGCGACGCGGAGGGCGCGGGTGAGCCGCCGCCCCCGCCGCCCCCGCGCGCCCCCCGGCCCGCGCCCCCCGCCCGCGCACCTGTGCGGCGCTGCGCCACCAGCTTGCTGGGCCCCTTGCTGATGGTGTACATGGCGGCGGAGTGGGCGCCCGCACGCCCGCGGCCAGTCCCGCGCCCGCCGCCCGGCCCGGGGCGGCCCCTTTAACGGCCCCGCGGCGGCGGGGGGCGGGCCCGCACACGCCCCCGGGCCTTAAAGGGGCTGCGGCGGGCTGCGGGGGCGCCTGCAAGGGCTGCGGGGGCGCCTGCAAGGGCTGCGCGCGCCCCCCGCGCCCCCCGGCCCGCGCGCCCCGCCCGTCGCGACCCTTCCCAGAGAAAGAAGTTTTGCGTTTTTGTCCTGAAAAACGCCCCGGAAAAAAATGCCTCGGGCTGCGGCCACACAAGGTCCAGTTTCCGGGTTGGCGGCTCTGCTGCCCGCACTGGGGCGACCTCCACGGCGTGGCCGCCGGGACCCCCGCAGCCGCTCGGGTCTCCGCATGGAGTGACCCCGGGGTGGGCAGAGGCGCAGCTGGGCTCGCGCGCCGCCCCGGTCACCGTCACCCACCCCGGTCACCCACCCCGGTCACCCCGGTCACCCACCCCGGTCACCCCGTCACCCCCTCACCTACCCCGGTCACCCCGGTCACCCCCTCTCTCACCCCGGTCACCCCGGTCACCCCCTCTCCCACCCCGGTCACTCCCTCACCCACCCCGGTCACCCACCCCGGTCACCCCGGTCACCCCGGTCACCCCCTCAGCCGCCCCCCGCCCTCCTGCGGGTCGGGCGCTCGGACCTGCACTTCCCCTTAGGGCCCGCCGGGCGGCGCGCGGCTTCGCGCAGACGCGGGCGGTGCCGTCACAAAGCCCTGAGACACAGGGGAAAGCTCGGCCAGCAGCGCCGCTGGTGTAGTGGTATCATGCAAGATTCCCATTCTTGCGACCCGGGTTCGATTCCCGGGCGGCGCAGGATTTTATTTTCCACCTCCTGTCTGGAAAATGAATGCCTTGCATTAAAAAAAACCCCAGAATTTGAACCGAACGTCCCCGAACGGCAGGTGAACAGGTGGACGCAGGACGCCCTCCTGAGGCGTGTGTCCCCTGCGGCACCTCCCCCCCGCCGCTGCGGCCCCTTTAACACGCCACACGCAGCTCCGGCCACTCCTCCCGGCGTCCTCCGCGCCCTCCACTCTTCCCGGCGTCCTCCGCGCCCGCCCGCCTCTCCTCCCACCATGCTGGTGGCCGCGGCCGCCGAGCGCAACAAGGAGCCCATCCTGCGCGTGCTGCTGCAGTACGTGGACCCGGCCCAGCGCGGGCTGCGCGTGCTCGAGGTGGGCTCCGGCTCCGGCCAGCACGCCGCCCACTTCGCGCGGGCCTTTCCCTACGCCGAGTGGCAGCCGTCCGACGTGGACCAGCGCTGCCTGGACAGGTGCGGCCGGCCGAGGGCGAGAGGCGGCAGGCGGGCGGGACAGGTCCTCCTCTGTCCTCTGCCCTCCTCCTCCTCCTCCTCCTCCTCTGCCTCTGCCCTCCTCCTCCTCCGCCCTCCTCCTCCTCCTCTGCCCTCCTCCTCCTCCTCTGCTCTCTTCTTCCTCCTCCTCTGCCCTCCTCCTCCTCCTCCGCCCTCCTCCTCCTCCTCTGCTCTCTTCTTCCTCCTCCTCTGCCCTCCTCTGCCCACTGCCTCTTTCCACCTGCAGCATCGCGGCCACCACGCAGGCGCACGGGCTGTCCAACGTGAAGGCGCCGCTGTACCTGGACGTGACCTGGGACTGGCAGCGCTGGGGCGGCCTCGGGCCGCAGTCACTGGATCTGCTGCTGTGCATCAACATGGCACACATCAGCCCGCTGCGCTGCACACAGGTCGGTACCCAGGCGGCTGGCGGCCCCACTGCCCCGTGGCCCGGCCCTCACCTGGCCTCACCCTCCGCAGGGCCTCTTCCGGGCCGCCGGCCACCTGCTCAAGCCCCAAGCTCTGCTCATCACCTACGGAGTAAGGCCCCTGCTGCCTTGAGGTGGACATGGTCCCTGGTCACCTTCAGCCCACCATGACACGGCCCTGTCCCCGCAGCCTTTTGCTGTCAATGGCAAGATCTCCCCTCAGAGCAACGTGGACTTTGACCTCACACTGAGATGCAGGTGGGAGTGCCCGGGCAGGTGGGCGGCGGGCAGCGGCCAGTGCTGCCAGCCACAACTGGACTTCCCATCTCCACAGGAACCCGGAGTGGGGGCTGCGGGACACGGCCCTCCTGGAGGACCTGGGCCAGGCCAGCGGCCTCCTCTTGGAGAAGATGGTAGATTGGCGGGCCTGGGGGACGGCGGGGCTGCAGGGCTGGGGCCTGGGGATGGCCTCGGGGGTGGCGGGGCTGCAGGGCTGGGGCCTGGGGATGGCCTGGCTGCACCTCCATGCCAGCACTTTGTAGGTGGACATGCCGGCCAACAACAAGTGCCTCATCTTCCGGAAAAAGGGACCGCTCTCGGGGCCCCGTGTCCCTGTTTTAGGTTCTGTGGGGGCCACATGTGGAGCCCAGGCCTCAGGGACCCCCAGCCCTCCCTAGCCTGGCCTGCGGGCTCGCTTCTGCCTCGCAATAAAGTATTTCTGGCTGCTGCCCAGTGCGTGGTCACCCGGCTTCCTTCTGGGGCCAGTGGATGATTTTATGTGTGTGTGTGTGTGTGGGACATGTGCATGTTTGAGGTATGTGACATGTGTGTTCTGGTGTGTGGCATTTGGCCTGTGTGACATGTGACACGTGTGTTCCAGTGTGATGTGTGTTCAAGCATGGCACATGTCCTGGCATGTGATACATGTGCTGTCATGTGATTTGTGCCTGACATGACACTGGTGGTCTCATGTGTGACACATGTATTCACTGTGATATGTGGCACGTGTGATCTGGAATGTGATGCATGCATTCTCTGACGTGACATGTGGAATGTGGTCTGGCATGTGATATGTGTGATCTAGTGTGTGAATGCGTGTTCTGGTGTCTGGCATGTGTGTTCCTGCGGGTAGGTGACTGTGATCTGGTGTGTGATACCCATGTTTTGGTGTCTGGCGTGTGTTCCCTGGGGGAAGGGAGCTGTGTGTGATATGTGTGATCTGGTGTGTGACACACGTGTTCTGGTGTCTGGCGTGTCTGTTCTCTGGGGAAAGGGTCTGTCTGGCTGACTCTGGACTCCAACTCCCGACCTGTCCTGGGTAGCTGTCCCAGTTGCTAAGGCTGCCAACTGCTCCAGTCACACCGGAATTACCAGGCAGGAAGTGGCCTCCCCAGGAGCCTCCATCCTTGCAGGTGGCAAGATGTCGGTGGGCATTGGGGTCAAGGGTCAGCGGGGCCAGCATTGAAGGCCACTGCTGGGTGAGAGGTCGCTTTATTGGAGGGGGTGGGGCCAGCACCTATGAGGGCCAGTCCCAGGGGTGGGCGGGTCCAGTCCCGGGGCTGGGCGGGGCTCTTCCCGGTGTGGGCGGGGCCAGCACTGGCGGGCGTGGCCAGCCCGCCCCGCCCCTCCGCCTAGTCCTGGAAGCGCCCCAGCAGCTCGCAGGCCTTCCTGTCCAGCAGCTCCTGGATCTTCTTGACGCGCTTCTCGCTGGCGGCGCGCACGTAGCTGCCGGCGTCCAGCACGGCCACGCCGTCGCGCACCTCGCCCATGATGACCAGCGGCCCGTCGCCGGCCGTCACGTTGGGGCAGGGGCAGGCGGCGTCCGAGCCGCTCAGCGTCACCTCCAGGTAGCGGGTGCCCAGGAACCTGAGCCCCATCTTGTCGTCCTTGAGCACGCGGTCCAGCGCCAGGCGCGCGATGCCGCCGCCCGCCTCGGGCTCGGCCTGCAGCTCGGTGAGCCTGCCCACCACGGCGAAGTCGCTGCGGCACAGGCTGGGCACCAGCCTTGCGCGCGGCCGGCAGGCCCGGCACGGAGGCGCGCGCGGCCCGGCGCAGGCCACCTCGCAGCTCGCGCGGCTCTCGAAGTTGTTGGCGTTGCCCTCGCAGCCGCCGTACACGAAGGGGTGGCAGAGGCGCAGCAGCGGGCTGTAGGCCCAGCGCGGCTCCCAGCCCCGGCAGGGGCCCTGCACGGCCGGCAGCTCGCAGGCGTCCCGCGGGCCGCGCGCACACGCCTGCTGGCACGCCTCGTAGGTGTCGAAGCCCTCGTAGGTGTCGCAGCCCGCGGCCGGGAAGGTGGCGCAGCTGCCGCGCTGCGGGTCGAAGTGCCAGGGCCCGCGGGGCCCGGGCCCGGGGCAGGCGGGCGGCACGGACAGCGGGAAGTCGGCGCGCAGCAGGCCGGCCGCGTTGCGCGCCGTGCAGGTGTACAGCCCCGCGTCCTCGGGCCGCGCGTCGTACAGCACCAGCTGGCCCAGGCTGGTGACCACCACGTTGCCGTACATGCGGTCGGGCCGCATGACCACGCCGTCCCGCTGCGGGCTCTGCTTCTCCCAGGTCACGGCGGGCGGCGGGCGGCCGCGGACGTCGCAGTGCAGGCTGGCCGTGCCCCCGACGGGCACCGCCTGCGGGGCCGGGCTGCTGTAGAGCGCGGGCGGCACGGCGGCGGCCCCGGGCGTGGGGGGCACGGCGGTGCCGGGCGGCCAGCGCAGGACGTGCCTGCAGGGCACGGCGCGCAGGTGCAGGCCTCGCAGGCAGGCCTCGGCGTCCATGTAGCAGCGGTTGTAGTAGGTGAGGCCGTCCGAGGCGCACGTGAAGCTCGGCTCCTTCTCGCAGCGGTCGCGGCAGCGGCACACGGGCTGCCCGTCCCAGATGTCACAGTCGGAGCCCTGCTGCGGGCAGGCGAAGCCCTCGCAGGTAGCCGGGGCGGCCGGGCCGGCGTGCGGGAAGCGGGCGGCCACGCAGCTGTGCAGCCCGCACACGTTGGTGCAGCACTTCTCGGCGGGCGCGCAGTCCTGCGGGGGACGGGGCTTAGCGGGGACACGCCCCGGGCCGGCAGCGCCCCGCCCCTCGCCAGGGAACCCGACCCGGCCTAGCCCCGCCCCTCCCTGGGGTGCCTGGCCCCGCCCCTCTGGTGGCCGCCGACTGCACTGCATCTCCCTGGACCTTTCCCCCCCCGCAGGTTTTTGGAATGTTCCTTCGCGGCCCCGGCCCCGCAGCAGGGAAGCCGGGCGCGGGGCTCTGGCTCACCTCGTCCCTGGCGCACGGGCGCTCACAGGTGCTCTGCGCGTCCACCCACAGGCGGGGGCTGAGCTGGTCGGGGCACATGCCCGGGCGGCCGCCGGGCCCTGGCAGCAGGCTGGCCCCCGCCGTCAGCCCCACGAGCATCAGGAGGGACAGTGGGGCGGGCATGGGGTCCCGGGCCTGCAGCCCCTCCTCGGGGCCGTGCTCTCCGCGCGGGGCGCCTGCGGGTGGCCTCCCCGCCGTCTGCGCGGCTCCAAGGCCCGGGTCAGCACAGGCCGGCCGAGGGGGAGGGGGTTGTAACCCGAGCCCTCCGGCCCAGCCTGACTTCCAGACCCTCCCTGAGCTCAGGGGGCGGGGCTGGCTAAGGGGCGCGGGAACCCCACCTTCTGCCGGGCATTCCTGCAGGCTGCAGCCAGGTCTGGGGGTCCCCCGCAGGGGCGACACAGCGGACACAGCATTCCCCGGCCCCCCACCCCGAGCACCAGGCTCCTGGTCCATGCCCCTCAGGACGTCCTCAGCTGGACAGCTCCGGTGGCCAGGCCCTGTGCAGGAGCGGAGCACACGTGTGGGGGCAGTGTCCTAGGAATTTGCCAGGGATGCAGCCAGACAAAGGCGACCCCAGGCCTGACCTTCTGACCTGGCAGGCAGGGTCATCAGCTCCGTCTGGCCAGCTCCAGCGGCCTGGCGCCAGGGGCCCCCCTTGTGTGCAGGCTGCCGTGACCTGCACCCAGGCTGGGGGCAGCCAGGCAGAGGTTCCCCAGACCCGTCCAGTCCAGCTGGTTTGGACATCAGGGCCCCCAGCACCCCCCACTCCCCGAGGCCGGCCCACAGAGCAGGGAAGGCTCCAGGAACCACGTTTACTGTACAAACAGCGAGAAGATCCGAGGTGCCAGGCTGTAACTCAGGTAGTGTCGACCCCTCAGAAGCCCACTGCCCGCTGCCCGGGGGTGAGAGCAGGAGGTAGACATGAGCACCAGGGAGACTGTGGCGGGCTTGGAGACCCCATCCCCAAGGGAGGCAACAGCGGATGGCTTCAGGAGGGGCTAGGCCCTGCTGTCCCTCGCAGGTCCTTGAGAATGGGGTGTCCACAAAGCCGGGAAAAGTCATTTGTTGGGACACAGCTGAGGTCAGAGGTTGGCAGATGCCACGGCACAGGGTGAAGGCAGGGTACCGTCAGTCCCGTGTGCCCGGGGACAATGCCCCTGCAGCTGGGCTCAGTGTGAGATACTGCCAGAGGCCCCCCCGCGCTGGCCCATGCACCCCCCTTCCCCCAGTGAGGGGCCGAGCTCAGTGCAGGCCAGACCCCCAGAACCGCGTGGCTAAGGAGGGGGGCAGGTCCGGCCCAGCGGCCCTGCGCCTGCGGCCTCCCGGGCAGGGCCCTGCGGCCAGTGTGCCCTGCCGAGTCCTGGTCCTGTGGGCGAGCCGGCTCCTGCTAGGAGATCTTGCAGTTGTTGCGGGAGCAGTTCTGGGGCGGGCTCTGCGGAGGCCGGATGGACTTGGAACGCTTGAGGCTGCTGCCCTTGCTGCTGCCAGCGGTGCTGCTGGCCAGTGAGTAGGAGCGTCCATGCATCATGACGGCATTCATGCCATTAGCCATCGAGAAGGACTTGAGGTGGCTCTTGATGGTGACGGGCAGTGGCAGCTTGTCAATGAGGTGCACGGGGGTGCAGGAGACAATGGCACGGCAGCACAGGTCCTGTAGGCTGAACACTGTCGGCCAGGATCAGCCAGGGTCAGTAGGGCAGGGGGTGCACCCCTTGTCCCCAGCACCCTGTCCTGTGGCCACCCACTTCCCCAGCATGAGGTGTGGGGGCCGGCCCAAGGAGTTGACATAAACTGGTGGGCGGAGCACAGCCACCACACACCCCAGTCGGCCTGGCCAATCCCGCTCACCCCAAACAACGGCCAAGAAGACAGGGGGGTGACGGTACAGTGCCCCAGGCAGGCAGCTAAGGCAACACCCCCCCCCCCCAACTCCTGCACTTGAGGGCTAGCAGGAGGCTGCAGCCACCACATTCCTGCATGGGACCTGCTGCACAAGGGCCACACGCCCACCTCGGTTAGGCCTCCAGATCTTCTCCATGCCGTGCCGCATGAGCACGATGCGCGACAGCTCCGTGAAGGACTCGGTGACGTTGAAGTTGCACAGGGGGCTGACCTCAAAGAAGGTCATGCAATTCTTCTCGGCGTAGGCGCGTGCCTGCTCCGTGGGCACCTGCCGCTTGAAGGCCAGGTGCAGCCGGTTCCCGACCAGGATCCGGGGGACCCCAGGGGCGTGCTAGGGAGGTCATGGAGTCAGGGACAGCCCCCACCCCCCACCCCTCGGAGTCCTCGTCCCCCACTACCCTGGGTGGCATAGCTGGGTACATGGGACACCTACCTCGTCAATCTCCTTGATCCACCGGTCAATGCCGTCGAAGGACCAGCGGTTGGTGATGTCATACACCAGCAGAATGCCCTGCCGGGCACAAGGGGAGAGCCACTGCTCATAGGGCCCAGGGTGAGGGGACCTGAGGTAGAGGCTGTCGCTGAGCACCTTCCCTCCCTGAAGGCATGCCAGCCAGAGTGGCCTGCACTCGGGTCTCCTCCAGGCATCACGTCTCTGTAGTCTCAGCTTGGTTTGTGTCAAAGTAAGAGACGCAGGAGGGCCCTCCAGCCAGGCCAGCAGGAGGCGCTGGGGCCTGGTCTGTCACTCCCCTAGACACCAATACTTGGGGCCCAGCTCCAGGCAGCTGGCATCTGTGGGAAATACAACCCCCCACCGCCACAACAGGCCCAGCCTTGGCCTGGCTCCCCAATTCCACCCTGAGGAGCTTCCATGGTCAAGGAGCACTCCCCGACGGTCCAGGGACAGACTAGGGTCTGGTGGGTGAGAGGTGGCAAGATTCAGACCAGAGCGGGCCCTGCACACTGTGCAGAAAGCTCCCACACTAGACTCTGGGGTGCCAGCCTCGCCCCCTCTGCCCTGACCAGCCCCCTCTGCTCTGATCAGCCCCCTCTGCCCTGACCAGCCCCCTCTGCTCTAATCCAGAGCCAGTGTACACACACCCACACACATCAGAACTGATTGTACCGAAGGCATAGGGCCCTTCCAGGTAGCTGCTGCACACAGCATCAAGTATGCCGAACAGCCCTAGCATTTTGAGGGGGAATGGGCAGACCCAAGAAAGTCATATCTCATTTCTGGACTCAGGTGAGAGGCCCATAGAGTGATGCTGTGCAGTGAGCTCTGGGCTCGGCTGAGAGCAGGGGAGGAGGCCTCCAGGGGACGGGCTCCCCACAGGGAGCAGTTGCAGGACAGGAAGGGTAGACAGTGGTGGCCTTACCTGAGCGCCCCTCGAGTAGGACCTGAAGATGGTACAGAACCTGCCCTGTCCCGACGTGTCCCTGGAAGACATGGGTCATCAGCAGGAGCCAGGGCAGGGCCCTCCCAGCCCAGGAGTCCCCACTCTGACCAGCCCCCTTCCGCCAGCTCTGGGGATTGAGCTTCATGGTGAGAGGCCACGATCATCATGGATATAGCTTGGTGGGCAGAAAGCTGAGAGCTGGGCCCAGGCAGAGTAAAACGCCTGCAGACTGAGATAGGACACCCATGGCCTAAGATGGGGGAACTTGTGAACTGAGAAATGGGGTCCACAGACTAAGATATGGGGGGCACGGGCTGAGTGGGGGGTCCCCGTGAGTGCCTGTAACCCCCACTCCCACCCTATGGTACAGCAGCCCACTCACCACAGCTCCAGCTTTACCCGCCGTCCGTCCAGCAGGATGGTCGTGGTCTTGTAGTCTATGCCTGTGAGGACACAGGAGCTTAGGCCTTGTCGAAAGACCGGGTCCAAGACCAGCACTGCCAGAGGGCACCCACTCCTGGTTGTGTTCCAGGCTCCAGCCCCAGTCTGCCCGTGCCTGGGCCCCAGGAGGGAGGCATGTTCTCCCCCAGCTCTGCTGACCACACCTACTGCTCTCACTGTCACAGGCAGGCAGGTGGACCCCAGGAGGATGGGCCAGCTCAATGCCACGTGGCTGCCTGTGAGCTTCCACGGCGGTGGTAGAGGAGGGAGGAGGTCTCTCAGCTCCCACCTTGATGGACCCTCACAGAAAACGTGAGATGTGTGTCCCTGTCTGCATTCTGTGTGCGTGGCTCTGTGTATGTGCTCCACTGTCTGTCGAACCCTCTAGTGGTACACATGGCACTCTGGAAAGCAGACAGACTGATTAGAAACAGGTGAGGGGCCCGTGGGTTAGCATAGGGCAGGATGTGGGGTGCATCCAGGCCAGCTGTGCACGAGTCATGAACCAACCATGGACCCAATGGGTAGGGCAGCCATAGACCCAAGGACGCCCCTGGGATACTGTGGCCCCAAGCCATGGAGGAGGCAGCGGGGTGGCAAGAAGAACCCACAGGAGGCCTACAGAATCGAGCTGAGCCAGCCCCCTCTGACTGTCCATCCTGATGCCAGCCAGCGGGCACCTGGAGGTACTTGGCCAGCTAGTGTCTAGTGTCCTCAGGGGCTGCACCCTGGCACTTGTGTCACGGGACACCTCCTGCAGGCCCCATCCACCCTCCCACAGAAGCCCACAAGCCAAACCAGCCAAGCAGCTCTAGGCTTGCATGGACACGGTCTGAATGCTGACTGAGACACTGAAGGCCTCCTGGCATAGCCTCCCGGTATGGGGCAAGCAGACCGCCCGGCCCTGCAGACCAGCGACCCCTTCCCATCAGCCCTGACAGCTTGCCCTCTCACTGCAAAGCATGGCCCTCTCCATCTCTAGTTTACCTCTGACTGTCCCCAGGACAGACTTCCTATGACCACACAGAAGAAAGAACTGGACAAGGGAGAGATCTTCCAAGGGCCAGAGGCTGAGCTGATCTCAAGTCAGGCAACAGGGGCCTGCCTCCTCCAGGTCTCCTGCGTGGGTGCAAGGGCCCACACACTTAGGCCCCCTCCACTGTTTCCCAGGCTACAAGCAGAAAGCCAGGAGGAGTAGAACTGCTGGAGCTGGAAGCAGGCACTCTGAAACAGGGTGTCCACCCCACAGAGGACAGTGTGAGGCCACACGGGGCTCTGGTAAGCCACGGGAGCCCAGGTCCTCCCTGAGCACTGCTCAGAGAAGGCAGAGCCTGCAGCAGCCGGCGTACCCACCTGGAAGCGAGCGCGCCACCAGGTCAGGGCTGGGCTCCCGCGAAGTGAACCTTTGGCCCTTGTACATCTCCAGGTCACAGGCCTGACGCCTGCTCAGGTTTCCCTGGCTCACGCCCCAAATGGCCACGGTGGCCAGAAGCCTGAACTCTACCCAGTCTCCCATGTGCCCTGTAGTGGGAGCTGGATCTGAAGCGGTACCCACATAAGATTCTAGCACTGCAGGTGGCACTTCACTCGTGGCACCCCAGTCGCAGTCCCAATAAACAAACTGACCAGGAAGAAGTCACTGCTCTGGGTGTCCTCAGGCATCTGCTGCCCCAGGACAGCTTCTTATGGCGACAGTGGGGACACAGCAGGCTCTGCCACAACATCAAGCCACAGAAAACCACTCCATGCTCATGTAGGCCAACCTGGCCTCACAGCACCCAAGTACTTCCCAGAAGCTCACTTATACCCACTGCTTTTTTTTTTTTTTTTTTGCATTTAAGATTTATTTATTATTTATTTGGAAGGCACAGTTACAAAGAGACAGAGACCCTCCATCTGCTTGTTCACTGTCCAAATGGCCACAGCAGTTAGAGCTGAGCTCATCAGGGGCTTCCTCCCGGTCTCCCTACAGGCCCAGGGCCCCAAAGCTTTGGCCATGCTCTACTGCTTTCTCAGGCCACAGGCAGGGAGCTGGATGAACACGGAGCACCCAGGAGAAGCAGGGAGCTGGATGGGACACGGAGCAGCTGGGAGAAGCAGGGAGCTGGATGGGAAGTAGAGCAGCTGGGACAAGCTCTGGTGCCCAGATAGGATGTCAGCACAGCTCAGGGGTTGTTCCGGATGTTTCCCACAAGCTGTTGCATCGTCACACAGCCTACAGCAGAAGTGACCCCCCTCCCAGGAGACTGGCAGGTTCCAAGGCAAGCAAGGCACACACGGAGCAGCGGCCCTCACACAACTGGGTCAAAGAACCCAGAGCCCAGGCCCCCACCTAGTCCTGACAGGCCAGTACCTCCAGGACAAGGCGGGGCTGGGCACCCATCTCAGAGCAGGCCAGCTGGTGGGGACAGTACGACTGCTACGTGCGTGACCCCAGCAGGCTACCTGCAGCCGCGACTTCCATACAGAGGCAGGATACACGGAACCCCTGATCCATACAGGAGGCCCTCATCCCAGCCTGGCCATGGGAGTACAGGAACCACAACCCACCCTGCACAGGTCCACCTCATCATGGCTGTCAGCACGCCCGGCTCTTCCCCCAAAGCCCAGATGCCAGATGGGCCCATCTTAGTTAGGACTCTTGGCTGTCGGATCACAAACAAGTGGCCAAGCAGTGGCCACTGGAGCCGCATAGCTCTAGGTCTTCTGTCAGCCAGGGACACAGGACCCAGTTGCTCCTGCATCGAGCAGCCTCCCCAGTACCCCAGCACTGTGCCTGTCCCTGTCCACCTCAGTATAGGAATGTCATGGGCCTCTGCTGTGGCACAGCAGGTAAAGGCTTCCCCTGTGGCACCGGCAGCCCAGTTCCCTGCATCCCAGTGGGTGACCCAGAGGAGGCCGTGTGGCCATCTGGGGAATGAACCAGCAGAAGATGTCTGTGTCATTCTACCTTTCAGATAAAGTAGCAAATCTTTCAAAAAGAATGTCAGGCACTGTGTTTACCCAGGGAGCCCGGTGTGGCCAGGCAGAGGGCGAGTCCACCTACCCTGACAGGCTGACCTCGGGAGCCTGACTCCTGGCCACACGGGGCGCTGTTGACCACTTGTGCAACCCAAGCTCCTCCATGGCTTCTCCACGCGCCAATGGCCGAGGCCTGGCTCCAGGGCACAGCTCCCTGAGGCTGCCCTGCAGCCTGCATGCTGGGGGCAGGGCCACAGGCACGCTGCACAGACCTGCTGTGGCTCCAGGCCCGGGCTCTTGGTTTCGATTTCGACGTTTACACAGAGGTCAAGGCCAAGTCAGTACTCAGGGCCAGACCTACCCTCTGCATCCTTCCTGCCACTGCTGGACTCCCGTGGGGCTTCCTTCCTGGAGGCTGTTACATTAGCTCCTCATCCAAGCCGCAAAAATGGTGTGCACAGAAAGCAGCACATAGGGCCCAGCATGATAGCCTAGTGGCTAAAGTCTTTGCCTTGAATACGACAGGATCCCATATGGGCAGCGGTTCTAATCCTGGCAGCCCAGCTTCCCATCCAGCTCCCTGCTTGTGGCCTGGGGCAGCAGTCGAGGACGGCCCAAAGCCTTGGGACTCTGCGCCTGCTTGGGAGACCTGGAGGAGGCTCCTGGCTTCAGATCAGCGCAGCTCTGGCCACTGTAGCTGCTTGAGGAGTGAATCATGAGATGGAAGATCTTCCTCTCTATCTCTTGTCCTCTCTGTATCTGACTTTGCAATAAAAATAAATAAATCTGGGCCCGGCACGATAGCGTAATGGTTAAGGTCCTCTTCTTGAACGTGCCGGGATCCCATATGGGTACTGGTTCTAATCCCGGCAGCTCCACTTCCCATCCAGCTCCCTGCTTGTGACCTGGGAAGGCAGTCGAGGACAGCCCAAAGCCTTGGGACCCTGCACCCGCGTGGGATAGCTGGAGGAAAGAAGTTCCTGGCTCTTGGCTTTGGATCGGCGCAATACTGGCTGTTGTAGCCACTTGGGGAGTGAGCCATCGGACGAAGATCTTCCTTTCTGCCTCTCCTCCTCTCTGTACATCTACCTTTCCAATAAAAGGAAATAAATCTTAAAAAAAAAAAAAGCAGCACACAGTTATCCACCACACGTCCTGTCCGCCCATGTGTGTCCACCACATACCACACACACGGATAGCCACCACACATCCACCACACACACACACACAAGGATATCCACCATACACATGGGTATCTACCACACACACATACACACACGGATATGCACACACACAAGGATATCCACCACACATGGGTATCTACCACACACACACGGATATCTACCACACACACACACAGATATCCACCACACACACGGATATTCACCACACACACACACACGGATATTCACCACACACGGGTATCTACCACACACACACAGGAATATTCATCACACACACGGGTATCTACCACACACACAGATATCCACTACAAACACACGGATATCCACCACACACACGGATATCCACCACACACATGGATATCCACCACACACACGGATATCCACCACACACACGGATATCCACCACACACACACGGCTATTCACCACACACACAGATATCCACCACACACATGGATATCCACCACACACACGGGTATCTACCACACACACACAGATATTCACCACACACACACGGATATCCACCACACACATAGATATCCACCACACATGGATATCCACCACACACACGGATATTCACCACACATAGATATCCACCACACACACATGGATATTCACCACACACACGGTATCTACCACACACACACAGGGATATTCATCACACACATGGGTATCTACCACACACACACACACACAGATATCCACTACAAACACACGGATATCCACCACACACACGGATATCCACCACACACACACGGATATCCACCACACACACACGGCTATTCACCACACACACACGGATATTCACCACACACACGGGTATCTACCACACACACACGGATATTCACACACACGGATATTCACCACACACACGGGTATCTACCACACACACACACGGATATCCACCACACACACGGTATCTACCACACACACACACACACACACACAGATATCCACCACACACACGGATATCCACCACACACACGGATATTCACCACACATGGATATCCATCACACACATGGATATCCACCACACATGGATATCCACCACACATGGATATCCACCACACACACAGATATCCACCACACATCCTGGAGGCTAGCTGTCTGCCTTCCAGATGATCTGCTCTTTACCCACAAACTTGCTTTCTGAGGTTGAGGGAAGGCCATCCCTCTACCTGACGTTGGGGCAGTCATTCCACTCTGAACCTGGGACAGAAATCCATCCCTACACCTAGCAGGCAGGCACTCCTATGATCACTAGTTGCCCTCGCTCCTGGTCAGGATCAGCCATGCAAACTGACCACACTCTCCTTACAGCGCCGTCCTCTAAGGACCACGGGGAGAGGGGGAAGGGGGGATGAAGAGGGAGGAGTCACGTGGACAAGGGCTGGCCCACCTCAATGCCCCACCAGCTCCCAAGACCAGCCTACGCAACCTTGAACCCTCTCTGACTCCCAGGCCGTGGTGCCGCACAGGCTTCCCTCATGGCACTTCCCTGGCTCACCACACCGTGTTCTCAAGGCCCCCCTTTCTGTTGCCCTCGGGTTCTCGAGGGCCACATCCAAACACTTGAGAAAAAGATTGTAACTGGGCAGAAGGTGTGGGGGAGGGTCAGGCTGGAGGTGGGAGCTGGGGGAGAGGGCAGCACAGGTGGTCAGAGCTGGGGGACTCCCAAGCTCCCCCTTGTCTCCCAAGGACAGTGCAGCCAGGGGCTCAGACTCCCTCACAGGGATTTCAGAGGACCTCTCGGCAGGGAGACTACACGTCATCTGCTGCATGCAGCAGGGCTCAGTGGTCAGTGTTCAGTCACCAGGACTTCCAGGGAGATGATGGGACCAGAAATTGGCATCTAGGGAAGAAGACCACACCACGACAAATGCGCCCACACCAAAGACACACCGTGACACACACTCCTACACAAAGGACACATGACACACATGACGTCCACAGCTAGGGCACACAACACACATGCCCACGCCAAGGACACATGACACACATCCACACCAATGATACACGACACATACATCCACACCAAGGACACACAGATCCACATCAGGGACATGCTGCGACACACATTCACACCAAGGACACACGTCACACACATCTACACCAAGGACACACGATACACACAACCACACCAAGGACACACTCTGACATACATCCACACCAATGACACGCTGCGACACACATCCACACCAAGGACACACGACACACACATCCACACCAAGGACACACTGCAACACATACATCCACACCAAGGACATGCAACACACACACATACACACACACACACACCAAGGACACACTGCGGCACATACATCCACACTGAGGACACGCCGTGACACACACGTTCAGACAGAGCACCAGGCCAGAGGGAGGCTTGAGAGGGCCTGCACATGGGCATCACCACCCGGTCGCATGGCCTCACAGGCTGAACCTGCACTGAGGATAAGCAGCAGCAGCCAGAGTATCAGCAGCCTGGAATTCGCACTTGGCAGGCTGAGGGGGACGAATTTCAAGTCTAACAAGAAACCTCTGCACCCATCCAATGACCCACACGAGCTAGAGTCCAGACTAAGCACACAGCCCACCCTAGTACCCCCAAGCAGAGGCAGAGCAGGCAGCTAGAGGGTTCCCCAGAGGACAGGGGCAGCAGGGCAATCTGGAGCAGAGTGAGCCAGCACTTCCCTCCTGTTCCCCGGGGCCACCGGGGGTCTCTCCAGACCAGAGGTGGCCAGCCAAGGGCAGGTGTGCCAGCACAGGGCTCCAGGCCCACTGCTAATACACAGGTCCCTGTGGGCACACCTGTGTGCCTGTGGAACAAGCCAGACCAGACCAGGCAGAGGGCAGGTCTGGGCTACACCTCTACCTGTGGGGGAGCGGTCCTGCCACCCAGGGCAGCAGGCAAGTCCGGGCTGAGACGAGCCACCCAGGAGGGTGCACACCACTGGCCCCAGCTGCTCACCAGCGTGAGAGCCCTGGGAAGGCAGCAGGGCCATCATTAGAGCTCCGGCCACGTGGCTGCCTGGGGAATGAACCAACGCATGCAAGATTCTCTCCCACTGTCACTGGCATTCCATAGGAACACTGGTTGCAGTCCTGGCAGTTCCACTTCTTCAGCTCCCTACTTGTTGCCTGGCAACGGCCCAAAGCCTTGGGACCCTGCCCCCATGTGGGAGACCAAGAAGCAGCTTCTGGCTCCTGGCTTCAGATCAGCTCAGTTCCAGCTGCTGTGACCACTTTGGGAGCGAATCACTGAATAGAAGAGCACCTTGGAAATAAACTTTAAACGCAGGCCCGGTGCTGTGGCCTAGTGGCTAAAATCTTTGCCTTGAATACGACAGGATCCCATATGGGCAGCAGTTCTAATCCTGGCAGCTCCACTTCCCATCCAGCTCCCTGCTTGTGGCCTGGGGCAGCAGTCGAGGACGGCCCAAAGCCTTGGGACCCTGCACCCGTGTGGGAGACCTGGAAGAAGTTCCTGGATCCTGGCTTTGGATCGGCACAGCACCAGTCATTGCGGCCACTTGGGGAGTGAATCATCGGGCGGAAAGATCTTCCTCTCTGTCTCTCGTCCTCTCTGTATATCTGACTTTGCAATAAAAATAAATAAATCTTAAAAAAAAAAAAAACCTTTAAACTAGGCAGCCAAACACACTTCCACACTTCCACGGGTTCAAGCTAGACCAGTGTAGCCTCACAAACAACAAACAGTGCTGACTCTGAGGCCAGCCTCCTAAGGACGCACCCTCCCAAGTCAGCCCCGCAGGGTCCCGGACAGCCAGCTGCAAGCCCAGTGCGTAGCACCTCCGGGGTTGGGGCCGGCCTTGCTGCCCACTCCGAGCTGTCAGACAGGCCCGACCGGAGCCGGAGCGACAGACAGTCCCCGAGCCGCTGCTGAAGCAACCCACGGACGTGTTCGGGGTGCGAGCAGGGTGTGCGCGTCTCCCGCAAGGTGCCCTCTGCCGGGCGCCCATTCCCTGCCTTGGTTCCCCGCTCCGGAGGGGCCCCCCGACATCCCTCCGGAGCCCCCCAGCTCCCCATATCCCGCCTGGCCCCCCGACTCCCCGACATCCCTCATCCCGCCCCCGACTCCCCGACATCCCGCCTGGCCCCCCGACTCCTCGACATCCCTCATCCCGCCCCCGACTCCCCGCCCTCATCCCGCCCCCGACTCCCCGACATCCCGCCTGGCCCCCGACTCCCCGGCCCCCCACCGTTGCTGTAGGCGTACGGCGACTCGGACGCGCCGTCCTGCAGGCTCTCGAGGATCTCGCCCTTGCCGACGTCGCTGTCGCCCACCAGCAGGAACTTGAGCAGGTAGTCGTAGCTCTTGACCGGGCTGCCCTGGGTGCCCATCCTGCCCGCGGCCGGCCGGACCTACGGGGACCGGGGCGGCTGAGGTGAGCGGGTCCGCCCGCTCGGCCCCCTCGCCCGGCCGCCGCCCGGCTCCCTTCGGCCTCACCTCCGCCTCGCCGCCGCCGCCCCGCAGCTTCCCGCACAGGCCGCGCAGCGCCGCCCCGCCCCCGGCCGTGCCGCCGCCATTGGCCGCCGACCGCCCTTGCCCAGAGACCCATTGGCCGGGACGTTCGTCCGTCAGCACCGCCCCACCCTCGCCGTGTCCCTCACAACGCCGCGGCGGACCCCTCCGCCCCGCCCCCTCGTCGCCGCCATTGGACTGCCGGCTCCCACTTCCCCTGCGCCATTGGACCACTCATCCGTCCTTCTTTCTCACCCACCCCGCCCCCAGTATTTTCCGCACAGCTTCAGGAGGCTATAGACACCCCGCCCAGTCAGCGTCGCCATTGGCCGCTCGCCTCCCGAGCCTCAGAAACTATTGGGCCCTCCACCTGTCCATCAGAGCCGCAAAGCATCTTGGAGTCACTCGGCTCCCACCCTCGAGCTGTCAGGCCTCGCGTTGTCACCGCGGCCGCGGGTCGGCCATGCCCCGCCCCCTCCTCAGGCTGGCCAATCAATAGCTTGCGATCCCGAGCTGACAGGCGGCACCGCCCTGGGAGCGCGGAGGCGGGACTTCCGTCAGGAGGCCTGGCGGCAGCGGCTCCTCTTGGGGTCCCGGCGCCCCGAGGTCGGCTTGGCGGCCCGAGGACGGGCCGGCCCCGCCATGCCAAGGCCCTCAGCAGGAGCGCCGCACGGGCGCTGTGGCCCGGGAGGGCAGGGGGACGGAAAGGGACTTGGCCTCCTGGGGCCAGGACGCACTCTCCCCTGCCTGAGGCCCCGTGCCCCAGCTCAGGAGGGGTGGGGGGCACGGGGAAGGTCCTAGCGACTGCACCCCCAACTCCCCAGGGGTGATGTCTGGAGGCCGTGCGGAGCTTTGCGCAGGACCTGCGAGGCGGTTGCTGGCCGACGAGTGTCTGATCTCCGCCTCCCCGACCCACTGCCCACAGGAGCCGCCACTGCACACACAGAAGGTTTTATTGTCACCACGGGGGACACAGGGCCACAGTGGTGTCCTCATGCCCACAGTGCAGGCCCCTGCCTTGGCATCTCTGGGCCATCCCCCCAAGCTGCCCTGCCACAGGATCGTCTGCCCTGGACAGGCGATGACAGGGAAGCTCGGCCCATTCCCAGAGGTCTGGGCGGCACTGGGCAGCCAGCTAGGGGTAGCTGGCCTCCTGAGGCGGCTCCAACCACATACCCTGGCTGTCACAAACTGATGTCAGAGAGCACCCAAACCCATGTGCTCCAGCGTTCTCCATGGCTGTTTCAGCCCCCACCCAGGCAGTTCAGGCTGACCAGGGCTTCTGCCCACACCACATCCTGCAAGCCACCCAGGTGCCATGGGCAGGGCCCGGTCAGGAGCGCCAGCTGTAGGGCTTCCCTCAGTCCTGCTGGTCCCCTCTCTGTCTCCAGGGGTAGATGAGCTCCCCAAAGAATAGCTTGCGGCACAGGGCGCCCCAGGAGTGCGTGGGGTGGCAGCCACAGCTGGGCAGGCGGTAGATGCGCACCACGTGGCTGTAGGGCAGCGGGTTGGTCTGGAAGGACAGGAAGGGCTCAGCAGGTGGGCTGCACCCCACAATGTACTCAGCTCACAGGGCTCCTGCAGGGTACAGTGCCCAGGACATGCTGAGACAGAGGACCTGTACGCCCAGGTAGTGGAGGACAGATGCCAAGCCCATCCACCTGCCCACTAGTCTTACCTGCATCAGGAGGCGGAGGGGCCTACCGGCCATGGGCTCCAGGACGCGGAATTTCACACCGGCTGCAAGGGAACAGGTGCTTGGCAGGGAGGGCACACAATCCCAGGCCCATAGTGCACGGCTCCCTTCTCTTCTTGCTTGCCTGGCCGTGGCAAAGCTCCTTGCCTGACAGACATGAGGCCCCAGCCATGGCCCGAGGCAGTACTCCTGTGGGCCGGGGGCAGTACCACCTGTGGCCCCAGGCAGTACCCCCTGTGGCCCTGGGCAGTACCCCCATAATCCTGGGCAGTACCCCCGTGGCCCAGGCAGTACCCCCCATGGCCCTGGGCAGTACCCCCATGATCCCAGGCAGTAGTCCCCATGGCCTCCGGCAATAGCCCCTGTGGCCCCGGGCAGTACCCCCATGATCCCAGGCAGTACTCCCCATGACCCCGGGCCATGGCCTGTACTAACCCTGTACTTCACTGAACTTCCTGGCTGGTGCCTCTGGGGACAGCAGAGATGGCTTGAGCACTGGGTCTTTGCCACCCAGTCAAGTGACATAGACCAAGTTCCCAGGACAAGAGGCGGGGGTCAGCCCCATGCTAGGGACAAAGTTGTGCTTTTTCTGCAGGGATGGGGCAGGATGCTTGCTGGGGAGCCAACTCAGGGACCCACCACACCTTCAGTGAGGGTGGCTGGGGCCAGCGGCTGGTGACAGCGAGGACTGTTGTTCCTATGTGAGCTGCCCTATGTCAGCCACAGCCTCAGGCCAAGGCCAAGGCCAGGAGCACAGGGTGGCAAACACCCCAGGGTCAGTGGGGCATGACTCCTGACAGCCATGGCAGGACTCACCTGCAGAAGGGTCAGCAAGGCTGGATGCTCCACCACCACCCCTCACCGCCACTTGCACAGCACAGCTGCCCAATCACACCTGCACCTGGGACAGCAGCTGACAGCAGCCTTGGGACCTGAGCTCCTGGCTCTGGCCTCACCCAGCTCCTCGCCCAGCCCACAGCATGTCCCCAGAAGTGTGCTCACCTGCCAGCCTGTAGGGCCGGCACAGTCTCAGGCCCAGCGAGTAGAATGGCAGGGAGTTGATGAGGTCTACCAGCAGATGGATAAGGCCCTGCACAGCGATCACCAGGAGCCGGAGCTGCGATACAGGGACCCGGGGCCATGGCGGACACGTCTGCCCCAGGAGCCATCCTCCAGGCCCAGCCACTGTGAGCCCAGGGCAAGGCCACCTGGGCCATGGGCTGAGGCTAGGACCTGAAGGTGGAGACAGCCTCACCAGGTCTGCTGGAAGCAGCAGCAAGCAGACCTCCCACCAACAGTGGCATAGGGCCCAGTGGCCCAGTGGGAGGTGAGGGGCTGTCTACAGCTGCTGCCACCCAGAGCCCCCCATGCCTGCTCACCAGGGTGAACACGAGGTAGTACAGGGCCGTGGTGGGCAGCAGGAAGAGGAGGATGGTGAAGAGCAAAGTCCCAATGAACAGCTGTGGGCACAAAGGGGGCCGCACCAGGCGTCAGAGGGTTCCCTGGGTCCTTGTTGGTCTGAGAAATGCAGATAAGCCACATGCACCACAGGCCGGCACTGCCCCCACCTGGTCAAGGTCGTAGGAGCAGGAGTCCACGCGCTGCCGCAGAACGTTCCACTTCTTCCCGCGGAAGAGGCGCCAGAGGGAGGACAGGCCGCAGATCTTGAGGTGGTAGAGTCTGTGGCCAAAGGGCAGGCGGTCAGGGCGGGGCTAGGCAGAACTCCGCCTCCAACACCGCCAGCCACTGTCCACGGCCCTGCCCCCGCGCTTCCCTCCTGTCCCTCTTGCCCACCTGGCCCCGTAGACATAGAAGCAGTAGATGTGGAAGGTGAGCAGGGCAATGAGGTCCGACAGGATGGACAGAGCGACCGTGAGCCCCAGGCAGGCTGAGAGGCCCACGTGCCACAGGATACGCTCGATGAAAGGCGACATGAGGTGGATGTAGCCTGGCAGAACAACGGGCCTTCAGAGCAGCACCCAGGGGGTCCTGAGCCCTGGAGAACTCCCTCTGGGTGGGCACCTGAGCTTCGGGGAGTTGCAAGTACCGGCTCCAGGACTGGACTCAACCCTGGCCTGGTACAGGGCTTCACACACACGCAGCAAATCTCACAAACACACAAGGATCTCACACACAGAGAATCACACACACAGGGGATCTCACACAAATGGGATCACACACACAGGGGCTCATACACACACACAGGCTTCACACACAGGGGCTCACACACAGAGGAAATCACACACGCAGGGAATCACACACACACACACACAAGCTTCACACACACAGGGGATCTCACACACAGGGGATCGCATACACACACGGGCTTCACACACACACAGGGGATCTCACAGAGGGATCCCACACAGGGCTTCACACACAGGGGTTTCACACACACACATGCACGCATACAGATGCACACCCACACGAGAGTACCCGGGCAATTATGCCCTGCATCCCATGCCCTGTGCCAGGGACTCACTGATCCACAGGTGGATGTGGTACAGGAAAAAGCGACCCAGCACCTGGTCCAGTGCACGATTCATCTTGAGCCCTGCAGGCGCACCCATAAGCCACTGCAGCAAGTGCTGCAGCTCCTCGGCCACATGCTGCAAGACACGGGACACATGTTGGGTAGAGCTGGGTTCAGTATACACCCCTAAACCTACCTTAACTGGGGCTCTAGTTCCAGCCGGCCAGTCAGGGCAGGGCAAAGTGAACCCAGCCTCTTCCCTCCAGGGTCTGGGCAGCCTCTCTGAGCCCTGGGCTGCTGGAGGCCTCCCGGCAAGTCCCATCACCTAAAGCCCTGTAGGGGAGCCTGCAGGTGAAGTCCTTTTCTGGCCCTGCCCACCACACAGAGGACATGGGCTCTAAGGGACCCAGGGCCCTAGGAAGAACGCCGAGGTGAGAGCCAGAGGTGGCAGAGAGGCCTGCAGAGCAGCCAGGGAAGCTGGGCCATGGCCCCTGGGAGTGCCCAGCGCCCAGGCGGTGCACCAGGCAGCAAAGAGGGCGGTGTGGGGTTAGGGTTAAGGTTATAGGATGAGGAGCTTCTGGCGCCACTCTCGGAACTCCGAGCTAAACCTGACCGGCTTTAGCTGAGGCCTCCTCACACACAGAACTCATTCAATATTTAAGGGGCAAGCACATGGCAGGAGCAGGCTTGCTGTCTGCAATTAAATATTTATGCAGTGAGCAACTCTGCAGAGGCCTGGGCAGGGGCTGGCCCCAAGACAGGACGCTTTCAAGACCCCTTCCCCCAGGGACTGGGCACAAGGAGGCCCTGGCAACCATCCTTCCTCAGGGAGAAACCCAGCAAGTGGCACATCTGCCCCAGGGGCAGCATGGAAATGCAACAGGAGAAGAGTGGGTGGCCCCCACAAGCCACACGGCCTGAGGCTGGTTCCCTGTGCCTAAGAGTCCCACCCAGGCACTCACGTCGGCAGCAGGGACGAGTGCCTCGGCCAGTTGCCCGATGCGGTTCTCCCTATGGAGCCAGGACAGCAGGGTGAGGCCAAGGACCACGTCCAGCAGCATGGAGACCAGCATGTCAGCCTTCCTGGCAGGGTGGCAGGAATGGTAAGGAGGCTGAGGCCCAGCCTGAGCAGGGGCGGGGGTCACAGCCCACCTCCAGGAGGGGATCCAGCAGGCCCACACCTCATCCGCTGGGCGGGTTCCTCGGCCTTGTGGGTGCTGCACACGAGTGTTAGGTGCTGTAGCCGGTGTCGTAGCTGCTCACACGTGGAGAGCTTGCTCGTGAGGAAGGACACGGGCCACAGCCGGGATGCCCTGGGTGGGAGAAGCCAGCCAGGAGCGGGCACTGAGCACAGGGCAGCCAGGAAGGACAAACACACGAGAGGCCCCACAAAGGGCCAGTAAGGTGCACAGCAGTGTCCAGCGGCCTCCCTGGGCCTGCAGCCTGACCTCGTCCCCTCTCAGCCCCTCCCAGGGCCAGGGTCAGATCTGCAGCAGGCCTAGAGTAGGGAACTGACCCATGGCCTAGCAAGGCTATCCTGGAGGCCCAGTGGTTGAGGAGGAAGTGGCCCCGAAGCCTGGCCTCTCAGAACAAGCACCGGTGTTAGCAGCCGGACACCAACTCCAGGATCCAGCCACAGCAAATGCACCCTGCTCTTTTCCCCATGCCAAGCTGTGAGTGCGAGATGCCCCCTGTCCCCTGCCAGCTGAACGGAGCCCACGGCACCACGAGGTAGCCATGTGGCCTCATGAGCCATGGTGAATGTCAGTGCTCATTGCTGCTACTCCCCCCCCCCCGCCTCCGCCCCCGTAATCCCTCTGCCTGCCAACACTTGGAATCTTTCCTGGCCTGCTGCGAAGCAGCTGGGGGCCTCCCTCTGCCCACAGCGCACCAGGCCTAGGGTCCTCCAAGCTCACCCCCATTTGCTGGGAGGCCCCAACCCTCCCCTGCTCAGCCTCCTAACCCAGGGGCCATCTAGGGGCACTGCCGGCACAGAGCCATCTCAGGTCCTCTGTCCGGGGGCAGAAAGCTTCAGCTATGGCCCCAGCCCACAGCTTGGACAGTCCCCTTGGCCAGCCCCAGGTGCTGGGCTGTGGTGCCTGCCTCTCCTATGGGCATGGGCACTGACACAGGCCGGGGGCAAGGCCGGGGCAGCGCCCAAGCTGTGCTGCCACAAAGTGGGCAGAATGCACAGGAGTGGCCAGCCCTTGCCTGGGAGCATTCTTGGCAGCCCAGGCCCTGGCAGGGGCCAGCAGTCCTGGCCAGTGTTCACTGACTCCCTGGGGCCTCCTGCAGCCACTGCAGCTGCCAGCCATTCTGGCCTCATCCTGGGGGACAGCCACAAGCCCCGTGAACTGTCCCTGCCCTCCCCGACACAGGGCCCAGAGCTGCCTACCGACAGGTGCTGAAGGACGCTATCAGGGACAGCAGGCAGGACAGCAGCAGGCACACAGGCCCCGAGGCCCGCCGCAGCAGTTCCACCAGGATGCTGGCCTCGACGCCCTCTGACTGCCAGTGGCTCAGCCGCACAGGGCCTTCAGCGAAGCGGTCACAGTGGAAAAGCAGCTCGCTGCGCGCCACTGTGTCGAAGACAACGGCCAGGCCCCGGACGCTGGGCATGGCGTCCCCCGCCTGGCGGTCCGGCAGCACAGCTGGTGGGTGCAGCTGAGAAAGCAGCACCTGGCGCTGGTCATAGAAGACCAGCAGAACTTGGTCCTCACCCACGGCCGCCGACCAGCGGGAAGCCTTGCAGTGCCAAGCCTTGCCGGCCTGCTCCCGACCCAGCCACAACCAGGGCTCGTGGGTGAAGATGGCACTGAGCCCCTCAAGGAAGCGGCCCAGGCTCTCGGGGGGCTCCTGCCGGGAGTGGCACCAGGTGCCCAGCACAGCCAGGCCCACCCGACTGGCCTGCTGCACCTGGGCCAGCAGCTCTTTGACCTGGGCAGGGATGAAGGGGAAGTGTGCGATGGCCAGGACCACGGCACTGCTCTGCTCAGGGACCCAGCGCCCAAGCAGCAGGCCACTGTCAGCTGAGACACAGCACGTGGGGAAGAAGATCTTCAGGACCATGCTGGGCAACCTGCAAGACGGGAGGGAGGTTCAGGCTGGGCCCTTGCGGCCCGTCTCTACCCCACAACCTGCCACAGCCAGCGGCTCCTCATCACTGGGAGCCCACAGCACACAGCCTCTGGATGTGGCGAGGGGACAAGTCCAGCATGTCAGTGGTTCAACTGTTTCTCATCTTTGCTGTTACATCTAATACAGTCAGGGTTTGCTCCACACGCATTCTGAGGAGTTCAATGCTCCGTGGTCCATGAGAGCCACTCACTGCTGCAGGTGTGTGGTAGCCAACTGCGTGCTCTCATTTTTAACATCTCAGCGCTATAAAAAATGCACGAGTGGAGCCAACGCTGTGCGGCAGCGGACAAAGTGCACCCTGCAGCAGCAGCATCCAGTCTGGGCATCCGTGCAAGCCCGTCTGTGTCTGAGCAAGCAGCGGAGGATGGCTCAAGGCCTTGGGAGGGCCCAGAGGAGGCTCCTGGCTCCAGCTGTTGCAGCCACTTGGGGACTGAACCACTAGATACAAGATCTTCCTGGCTCTCCTTCTCTCTGTAAATCTGTCTTTCCAATAAAAACAAACAAATCTTAAAAGAAAAAAGTGACTCAATGTGGGGAGGGCAGGGGAGAGGTGGGAGGAAAACCCAAGAGGTGTGTGTGGCCTGAGCAGGCAGGTTGGCGCCTCGCTGGCCCCAGGGAACCGCTGCTGTCACAGGCCCTGGGACTGCTGGCCGGGGAGGGACTGCGGGGCAGCTCGGCTGGCCGCGCACCGCTGGCTGTCACAGGCCGGGCGGACAGGCTCACCCCGCTGGCCAGGGGTCACCCAGGCACGACCATGGCGGCCGCTCCGCGGCTCCCGCACTGGCCCGGGCTGGGCTGGACGGCGGCGCCCGGGGACACTCACCGGTGGCTCCCAGGGCGGACGCCGGCGCTCCCGGGCCCCAGCCGCGACTCGGCCGCGCCGCGGGACACCAGCCCCATTTCCGCCCGCTCCGCGCGAGTTGCCGCGCGACGGTCCGGCCCCCAAAGGCTCCCGGGCCGCCCGCCGGCCCCCCGCCCCGGCGTTCCGCGCGCGGGCCGACCCGACTTCCGGCTTCTTCCTGGCGCCGGTGTCGCCGCGCTCCTGGGGTGCGCGCACCCGCTGGCTTCGTGCGGCGCCCCAGGTCCCCTTTGTTCGGAGGGGTCTCAGGAGTTCGTCCTCGCAGGGAGGCTCCCCAGCAGCTCCACTGCAGGAGTTTGGAGCCCACCTTGCATGTGTGTCCCCACCGCGGGAAGAGAAAGAACTTGAGACCCTAAATCTAGCCACGTGCCCCCGCCCTAACACCTCCCGGTTGCCCCCACTCTGCCGCCACCTCACCTCCGCCAGGCGCAGGGAAGCAGGGGGCTCCGGCGCCTCTGAGGCACACACCCTGGCCGTGCCCAGCCCGCCCAGCCGCACCCCACCCGCGCCTGCCGGCTTCTGATTAGGACCTGGGCTCAGCCAGAGCGGGGGGGGGGGGGGGGGGGAGACCCCAAACTCCTCACCTACAGCAAGGCCCGCACCTGGCTGTGTCCATAAAACATGGAAGCTGGGATGTGGGCAGGGGCACCCACCTGCAGCCTGGCACGTTCCTGGGCATGCATGGAGGGGCTGAAGGTCCCTGGATGTGGACAGCAGCAGTCAGGGAGGGCCAGCCTGGTGGGGACCCTGCAGGCCACCCTGATCACTGGGGGCCGGAATGAGCTCTTGCTGTCAGGCCAAGGTGGGTGAGGAGGAAACAGATTCTTTCTCTGACCTGGAGGGGGCAGTTACCCCAACACAGCCCTCCAAAACCGAGGCAGGTGGCCAGCATGTGAGGAGCTGGGGACCAGGTCCCCCAGGGGTGTAGCCAAGCACTCCCTCCCCTGGGCTTGTAAACTGGGAGTGCTGCCCAGCCGCAGCAAGCAGGGTACAGCAGTGTGTGGGGGGCCCTGGGGGCAGGCCGAGGGGGAGGGGAGCCTCCCAGCCTTTTCCTGGTCCTCCCCAGTGGAGGGCCCTGGCCCGTGACCCACAGCACCCACCCCTGGATGTGCCTCCCACGGCCTTCCGTGGGTGGACAGTTGATGCTATCGTTAACTCAAGTGCTTACTGGTGCAGCCACAGGTCCTGCCTAGGCTGGCCTTGGCCCGGGCAGCCCGGCCTCAGCTGGACGAGCCAGGTACAGGTGGGCACAGTCAGCATGGGCGTGTGGGGTGTGGCCCCATCCCCCAGGGGGAGCAGTGTTTAGCTGTGTCCCAGGTGCTCCTCCCCACTGCCTCCCCCCCCACCCCTCGCCTGTGGGAAGAAGGCCATGCCTGGCTGTGCTGGCAGGGAGGCAGCCGACCATGGAGGCCACTGATGCTTATCGTGGCTGAAGAGCTGGCCAGAGTCCAGTGCAGGCCACCCGGGGCCATCAGTGGAGCTGTGGGCACAGGCCAGCCTGAACTTGGGGTTCCCTGCCCACCTTCACCTTCCTGTCCTCCCCCAGGCCCCTGGGCCACAGCAAGGAGGCAGTGTCCACAGGCAGGCTGGGGTGGGCAGCAAGTCTCTGCTACCCCAGGTGGTTTCAGGAGGCAGCAACAGAGGAGGCACAGATGGGGGCCTGGCAGAGGCTACACTTTAATGTGCACAACTGTGACCGATAAATAACCCGAGTGTCCCCAGAGTGCCCGCACATGCAGAAGATGGGTGGTCCCTCGTCCCGGGGAACGGAGAAGGGGAGGGGTGCTCAGACCTCGGCTCCAGGAGGACCCAGTGGGGCCTGTGGGCATGCGGCCACCACCCGTGTGGGACCCCAGCCGCTGCTGGGCAGGACGCCGTCCTCGGGAGTCTGGGGAGGGAGGCCCAGGGGTGGGACGCTGGAGTCAGCCTCGCACTTGGTGGTGCGGCCCAGGAAGGGCTGGGGCGCGGTGGGACCTGGGGCACGGGGGCGCTCCCGCCTCACGGAGAGGTCGAGGGGTGCATCCGGTGGCCGTACCGCCCACTGCAGCGCTTGGTGGATGCTTAGCAGCTCCCGGCGGATCTCACCCAGCTGCTCCCGCAGGGCTCTTGGCGCCAGCCGTCCCAGGCACTGCTCCACCCTGGCGAAGTCGCCCATGGCCCCAGTCAGCTCATCCCCCAGCGGGGCCAGGACCAGAGACCGTGCAGGCATGGGGGCCTCCAGGCTGCTAGGCGCCTTGTCCTCAGGCCAGGGTGTCCGGGAGGGGCCGCAGGACAAACTGGGTGTGTGAGGGGGAGAGCCCAGTCAGGAGGCCTTACCAACCCTCCCTGTGCCCTGCACCCCCTGCAGGCAGGAGACTGAGCTCTCTTTCCGGGTTCCCACAGCCCCCCTGAGCAGGCAGTTGTGGCACCCTGCCCATCCTCCCCCAGACCCCAGAGCCCAGGATACCTACCTGCTTTGGGAAGCCAGCTTGGTCAGGCCAGCCGGCTGGCTCCCAAGGTGTGACCTCCTTTTGGGGTCGCTCTGGGTAGCAGGCTCCAACTCACCCTCCTGCCCCAGGTCCCTGGAGGTGCTCCGTGGCCAGGAGCCCCCCAGCTCAGGGACAGGCACTCTCAGCAGGTCTGGGACCTTGGGGAGTGGCAGGGGCTTACCAGCGGCTGGCAACCCCAGGGCATGCTCCAAGAGCAGTGGATAGTATAGGCGGGGAGCCAGGGCTGGACGCTCGGTGGGCTGCGGGGCTGGGAAGGCTGCAGTAGGCGGCAGCAGAGGGCCGGCAGAGGCCAGGAAGGGCAGGTGGGCAGCTGTGGCCAGAGAGGGCCCCAGGTAGGAGAAGAGGCCAGTGCCAAGGGGGTAGTTGATGCCCAGCAGTGACAGGTGGGGGTTCTGGGCCTCGGGGAGCTCCCCCGTTGTGGGTGGGGGGTAACAGGGGACGCTTCTGCTGGGGCCCATGCCCCTGGGGGTCCCCCCCAGCCCCAGCTTCCATGCCTCTACAGGCAGCCTGCCCTCAGGGCCCAGAGCTTTCTGAGGGGCCCTCGCCAGATGGGGCAGCGGCCCTGGGGGTCCCCCAGGCTCAGGCTCAGGGTGCTGGGAGACATTGCTGGAGACTGCGAGGTCGGGGGGCGTGTCTGAGGGGCCCTCAGGGTTGGGTGAGGTGGGGTGGCGGTAGCCTTGCTCGGGCGAGTCGAGCAGCAGCGACAGTGAGTCCTTACAGAGGCTGTACTTCATGTGGTTGTACAGGTGGGACTTTTCCAGGCAGGTGAAGGGGCACTGGAAGCACTTGTAGTTGTAGGGCTTGCCCCAGGGCCGTGGGATGTAGTGTGGCTTCTTGGGCTTCCGCGACCGTGCCCTGGTCCCTGCGCCCACGCGGCAGGACCCTGCCTCGCGAGACATGGCGGTCAGCTAGCAGATGGGCACAAACAGCATGGCCACCTGCAGATGGGGCAGGGGCAGGAGGGGGTGGTGGACAGCGAGGTCAGCGCCAGCCTGGGCCTGGACCCCCGGCCCACTCCTCCTCCAGCCCAGGGCTCACAGGAGCACAGCCCGGAGTGCCCCCGCCCCCTGCCCCGCTACCTGGGAACCCCCTCCCAGGGGCGGCGGACTCAGCCAAATGAAGACATGAGGTGGGGGAGGAGAGGGTCAGAGTGGTTTGCAGCCGTGGGTACGGTCCAAAAAGCCCCCCAACACCGGCATCCCTGGCTGTTAGGCCCGCCCTCTGCTCCTGATGCACACCCTGGAGACCATGCCACTGGCTCAAGCCGCTTCTACCGCACCCAGGTATGGGGGACAGGGACAGAGGCCTCCAGCTCCTGACCCTGACCCAGCCCAGCCCTGGTTGGCTGTTTCTCAGACACAGGAATAAACTAAAAATGACTTTTCTGGAGTGTAAGCTGAACCCAGTATCCCTGCATTTCACCAGGAAGTCCCCATTGCCAGGCAGCTTCGGGAAGGTTTTGTCGGAAGCCAATTCCCACATAGCCGGCTGAGCCTGGGCCGCTGAAAGCAGCCAAGGATGACTAGAGCCGACTGCGGGCTCGGCCCTCCTGAGAGCACTGCCCTTGGAGAGGCCGGTCTCCTGCTGGGAAAGCCGGACAAAAGCCACCGAGCTGAGGCACCAGCCCAGGCGCCTGGCCCACTCCAGCAGGGAGTCAGGCCCGGCCCTGGGGTCTCAGAGGGGGTCAGCCTCCACAGGGACAGGCCAGGCCGGGGGGCGTGGACGTCACAGCCTGGCCCCGTGGTGCAGCCACCTGCTCAGCCTGCCCGCCTCCATCTGGGTGGCTCCAGGCGGGTCAGCAACCAAGCTGGGCTCAGCCAAGACCCTCTCCTCCCATGCCCCACAAGCCCGCTTAGAAACCGCTCCACGCTCCATCTGGGCTGCCACCTGGGCTGTCCCCCACCTCAGTGCCTGCATGGGGTATGCAGCGGGTGGGGGAGGAGCCCAGCACGACAGGGCAGACAAGGCCACTCGTGTGTGGCAGGGACCTGACCCACTCACATTTGGCACATACATGTGCACACACACCACACGCCTCCCAAGGACACACACATCACACGGAGGGTCACAGTGGTTCTCGCACACACACCCTCCACTCCCAGGGTTCATGGGTGGCCAGACACTGGGCATCGGCTCCCACCTGCAGGCTGGCAGGCGCCTGAATGGGCACCACCATCAGCAGGATGCCAGGGGGCAGGGGCAAGGCTGAGTCCAGGCAGAGGTGAGGGGTGAATGGTGTAGAGGCAGCCCCTCTCCTCTCCCTGTACCCCCTCCCCACCAGGACGCGAGTGACAAATGGGTGCCAGTGCTCGGGCGACAGAGGCAGCTCTGCCGGGCCATCGATCACCCAGCCCTGGGAGCCACACAGCTGTGCTGGCTGGCGCCCCCGCCCACCCACCTCCCAGCTGGGACTGGGGGCTCCTCCTTCCTGCTCCCCCAACACCTGCCAGGGGGGCTCCTCCTGGAATCATCTAGGAAGCGGCCAACCCCCCTGGGAGCCAGGGGGTGTCCACTGCAAGGAAGGCACCCCCCAGCCTTCCACAGCACGCACCCACCCATGAACCCCCTCCCCCCCATCAGATGCCGGCCCACACCCGTGCACATGCACCCACACACAAAGGCATAGGCAGGACCACTCCTGTCCCAATCCGTGTCCAGGTGCACGCTCCTGGGGCAACCTGGGCCCCGAGAAGCTGCTCAACATTGGGCCCAGGCACTTCACGGGCTCCAAGGGGGCGGAGGACCCTCAGCGCTGCTGCAGCGGACCATGCACCCCTGGGATTCAGTGCGGAGGTCAGGAGGGACTAGAAACCGCGGCTGAGATCCGACTGCTCCCTGGCCAGCCCCTGCGCGCCCTGAGGGCGGCGCTCCACAGGGACACCCTCTCCGCAGCCTGAAAACCAAGAAGCAAGGGATTCGGAGCCCTGCAGCCCCTGGAGACCCCGATACGCCCGAGCTCCGCGAGCCGCACAAACTTCACCCACCTCGCCAGGAGCCACCCTGCGGCGCCCGCCACGTCCGCTCTGAGCCGCAAACTTCCCTCCCCCGCCAGCACCGCGGCGTCAAGACCCGCGAGACCAGCTTAGGGTCTCCGGGCAGCGCCGCGGACTCCCATGAGGGACCCGGGGCCTGGCGCCTGCCCGCGGTCACTCACCGCAGCCTCCGCCGCCTGCGTTCCCCGACGCCGCCGCCGCCGCCGCGCACCCACGAAGTTGGCGGCACCACGGCCGCGCGTGCGCCACGGCGCCGGCTCTGGGTGCGGCGGATTCCGACCCGGCGGCTCGCGGGGGGCGCGAGGCGGCTCCTCCAGCCCGCCCGGTCCTGCTCACCCGCCCTCCTGCCCGCGGTCCCGCGGCCCTCACCGCCTGGCGCGGACGGCTCAGCGCTGTGCGCTCTGCGCTCGGGGCGCGCGACTCCGGACCAGCGCGGCAGGTGACACTGGTGGTCCCGCGCGGGCGGGAGCGGAGGCGCAGGTGTGCGGCGAGCAGGGGGGCGCCCGCTCCGTCCCCGCCCCGGTCGCCCGCAGGCTGCCGCGGGGGTGCGCAGAGGCGGCCAGGTCTCCCGGGTCCCCGCAGCCGTGAGACGGCGTCAGCACTCATCCGTCACGGCTCGGCCCCTGACAGCCGCCTCTCCACCTAAGCCAGCGCCCCGGGGGCCGAGCCCCAGGACAGGTCTGGGGGTGAGGGGCCGCGGCTGCAGCCAGCCTAGAGTGGAGTTGGGGGAGTGAGGCTGGAGCCAGGCGGCAGGACCCGACACGGCCGGCGTGGAGCTAGCCCTCTCCGGGCACGCCCAGTGTCGCGGCGGCTCCTTTTCTCCAAGCAGGAGGCCAGGTGGACCTGCGGGAGGCCCTGTCGCCAGCCCTACCCTGTCCGCTGATGGCCAGCCCGCGCTGGGCACCCACTCCCAGCCCTCACAGGCCTCTGAGAGACCACACTTCTGCAAGTGCTGCCTACCGCTGCTCTTCCTCTGCGTCCCTGGCCCCTCACCCCTAGCAGCTGTTTCTGGGAGGGCCTTCAGTGGAGTTCCGGAAGGGGCTGGGAGCCCCAGTGCACCAGGGCGCCCCCCTTTTCCAATGTCCTCCCTCCCAGGCGACACCCAGGACCTGGGATGCTCTGGGGAAACCAGGGGTCCCCTCACTTCTCAGCTGTACTGGCAGCATTGTGGTCTCTTTAGGAAGCCCCATCCGAGTGGCAGACATGGGTGTGCTGGACAGGGCGAGAGAACAGGTCGGCGGGAGTTGCCCAGGTCTTCAGCCACCCTGGGTGGGTGCTGCCCAGGCTGCCAAGGGTGGGGGCGCTGGATACACCCCTTCAGGACTGAGTACAAGACATCGTCTCCCACCCAAGCAGCTTGTGGGTCCTGCCCATGAATATGGCCCTGGGAGTGACCCCAGCTGGATCCGAGACCCAGCCTCAGGTTTCCTTTCTGTGGAGTGGGTGATGGTGGGTCCCTGGGGCTCCCCTGCCTTCCCAGTGTCCTCAGAGAAAAGTATGCTAGCCTCTCTGGCCATCCTGGCTGAGCAGCTGACCGTGCAGGTCGCCTGGGTCAAGAGACAGCCTGAGCAGCCACAGTGTTGGCAACCCTGTGAGGAGAGGGGCCAGGTACTGGCCCTCACTGAACCATCCCTGGCCAGAGAATGCAGGGCCCAGGTCTCCCTGGAGATCCTGGCCTGGCCCCTGGGACAGTCCTGTGCTTTCCAGTCCTTCCCCGCTCAGCCCACCACCAACCTTTCTGTGGGGATAGCACAGGCAACAGGCTGGTTGGAATTTGGGATCATGGAGTGCCAGACCAGGGCAGTGTCCGCATGGACCCTCGGGGGAGGACAGCCAGCACTGCTCTGGAGGGAACTGACCTGGGCAGGAGGGGACGGCAGGGCTCTATCACTGAGCCCCTTTGGGATTCCTCACACCAGCAGGGTGGGCGACCAGTGACCCCCATGGGTAAGCATCTCCAGAGGCTCCCTGGCCCTAGGGCATTCTGCGGTTGGGCTAGCATCCCTCTCTGTCCAGCTGCTGCTGGCACAGGTGGGTGAGGCCCACGGCCAGAGGCTGTTCCGCCCTGTCTGCTCAAGTGGCCCACCTGTCACCTCCATTAGCAGCAGGGCCATGCTGGGGGCTTGGGTAGCCGGCAGGGCCTGCTGTGGTGCAGTGCCCAAGGCAGGCCTGTCGCTTCCCCTCAGTGTTGTAGCCCCCACCGACACAGGTGCAGGGAGTGTGCCCACTGTGACCTGAACAGTGTGGTGGGCAGATGCACAGGAGGTCAGGTTCCGGGTTGGGTTGGCCTGGCACTAGCCCGGGGTGGAGTCTGTAGGCCACAGTGGCCAGTCGCTGGTGAGCTCAGGCTCTTGCCTAGGGAGGAAGGATGGCAGAGGCCAAGAGGCAGGTCCACAGTGTTGGCTAGGGTGGCTGAATGGGCAGCCAGGCCCCCATGGGGACATGCAGGATTCTCCTGCGTCTGATCCACAGTCTGGGAAGCCTGTGGATGGCTCCCCCGCCTGGCCCCTCCCCACCTGTCATTCATGGTATGTCTCCCTGGAGACCTGGTGGGTGCCAGGGTCAGAGTGGGGAGCAGCCAGCTAGGCTGGTGGGATGGAAGCTCAGCTGGCTGGAGCCCCCTGCTCACTGGCGCTGGGCGAGTGGCGCCCGGGGCCGACAGCAACCATATGTCGGGGAGAGGAGCCGTGTGCGAGGCGCCGCGCCCCGGGGCCAGCCTTCCCAGGCCTGTCACAGGCGATTTTCCCCGCCTGAATGGCAGGCAGCCGGCTGGCAGGTGGGGGCTGGGGGCTTCTGAGCTGGCCCTGTGTGCGGGGCTGGCCCCACATCCTCATCCCAGACTTCAGCCTTCCTGGGGTCCCCAGATGCCCAGCATCTCCCTAGGGGACACCCGTCCTCGTCACAGTCCAGGTCAGGGTTGGGCTGCAGGTGAGCCTTGACTGGCCAGCTGGGGACAGGCGCTGCTGTGTGGACATGGGCAGTAGCCAGGGGTCCACATTGGGCAGCTGCATGCGCCCTGAGCAGGCGTGAGGGCCTGGAGCCACGGCCCTGTCAGCCCAGTGCCCAGAGCTGTGCGGGAGGCAGGGAAGTTGCAGCTAATTTGTACACTAAGTGCTTCTGACAGGGACGCCTCCTAAGTGAGAACACACCACCGTCCGCCCCGAGGAGGCCACTCGCGCCCATGGAGGGGCCAGGAGGGGGATTGTGGGGGAGGATCCAGAACCACCTGGGAAGGGCTGGCAAGCAAACAGCCGGCTCAGGCATGCGTCATGCTTGGTCTAGTCCCCTACCACCTGCAGGGCAGCTGGGGGCCCAGGTGTGGGGCCTGAAAGGTCAGCTTGCCTGGATACCTTCTTCCCACCCACCCCACCCCTAACACCCCCCCATAGCAGCTGTCCTTGTTGCCTGCAGCAGTCCAAAGCTACCCTCCTGCCCTGTGGTCCTGCTCCCTGCGCTGTCCCAAGGCTGGTGGCTGCTGGGTGGGAACAGGGGTGGTGGGGGGAGTTCTCTGTGCAGAGGGTCCAGCCTGGTGCGCAGCCGCACGGGTGTCTGTGGGCGCCGAGGTGAGATGTGTTGTGGCAGCTCCCTGCTGCCCCAGGCCCGCCCGGAGCAAACACTGCTGGTGGCTTTAATTGCTTTCACATTCTATAGGCTGGTCCCTGACAGGCCTCCTCTGCACACAGCCTGGCCACACCCCAGCCCCCACTCTGTCTAGGGGAGCCAGCCTGTGTCTGGTGCCACCTGTGGCTTAGAGAAGGGCCTGTTCTGCAGGAGGCCGGTGGGTCCCGGGCATGGAGCTGGAGCTTCACCACCTGCCCCAGAGGGCCCCCCTAGCCCTTGGCACCCCTCCTCAGGTTAGTCCCTAGGAAGGATGGCAGCAGGCAGAAGGCATGGCTACAAAACAAAATGCTTTTATTTGGTCCGTTGGTGCCTGAGTCTAGAAACCACCCATAGAGAACCATCTAGAACCACCGAAGACAAGGGACGGCTGATAAAATAGTCTCTGACACAAGAGCTGGCCTTATTTACAGGGTTAAAAATATTCACAGCAAAAGGATGCCAGGGGGAACAGGTGTGAACCCTGCATAAGGGGACATGGGGCACAGAGGAGGACAGGGGCTTCCAGGGAGTGGAGAGCAGCTGTGCCCAGGGGTGTCGGCAATAGGGCTCCTTTCGGGCCAGGGCCCAGGCCGAGGATCCACACTGGCTCCAATGGTGTGCAGCAACCTGCAGGGCCAGCCCACTGCCTACTGCCTGTCATGGCTTGGATCCTGTGCACCCCGGGCATTGCATAGTGTCGCAAGGCGCGGCCTGCCTGCCTCCAGGGACACCCCCCCCCCACCTGGTAGGAAGCAGGGAGCTGGGCTCTGGGGGCTCTTCTACTGTGCAGCTCACCAGAGCAGAGCCCTGGCCTCACCCTGGCCTGGCCAGGGCCCCCATGTCCCGGCTGGGCTCACAGCCACTGACCCTGTCCTGAGGCTGGCAGAGTCCGCCCAGTGCGAGGTATTCTGCTTGCTGGCCAGCAGGCCTGGCCGGGCAGACTGCGGGTGCCTGGGGTGGGTGGGGGCCCACGGGAGTCAGCACTCCCTGGGCAGGGCCCTGAGTTTCTGATTCAAGCGTCGTCCGTTGGGTCTCCCTCGTAAAGTGCGTGTCGGTCACAGGGGCCGGGGCCCGTGCAGGCCAGCCACCTCAGGTGTGAGTGGGGGGCTGTGGGTGCCCTTACAGGCCGTCCAATCGCCGAGAAAGGGCTGGGCCGCCTTGCGGTGTGCCAGGCGGTGGGTGATGGAGAACCCTGCATTGCCTTCCAGCTGGGACAGGATCACCAGGACCTGCCTGGGGGAGGGGGCTGGTGAGGACCACTGGGTGGGGGTGCACGAGGGCCATGGGGACAGGGGTGCCCACCTGTGCAGGGGCGGCACGCTGTCCTGGGTGCGCAGGCTGCCCCGGGTGGACACCACGTTGAAGCTGTCGGTGCAGTCACACTGTACGTGCAGGTAGGACTTGGGGTGCCGGTTCTCCACCACCACGATGAGTCCCGCCCAGCCATGTGTCAGGTAGTAGCAGGTCATGCCCTCCCGGCCCTGGCACAGGCACAGGGGGTCAGGGCCGGCCAGCCTGCTCCCCCCCAGGGACAGTCCCTCCCCGGGCCTCACCCACCTCGTGCCGTTCCCCACGGCTCTCGGTGAGCAGGATGATGGCATCGGCCAGCGTGGTCGGCTGCGCCTCCACGGGCTCCACCATGACCAGCCGCGAGCTGTACACGGCGAGCACATGGCCAGGCGGCTCAGGGGGGCCTCGAGGGGTCCCTGCCGAGGGGCTGGAGGCTGTGTGGGGGGGCGGGTGAGTGAGGGAGCCGGCCCTGCGGGGCACCTAGGGAAGAGGCAAGGCCAAGCTCAGTGTGGGCATGGGGCTGGCTGTGGGGCTGTTACCTTGTGCACTGGCCAAGGGGGCGCCGGGACTCCAGTGGTTGAAGGCACAGCACACCACCGCATACTCGCCGGGCTCCAGCATCACATCGCAGTGCACGAACTTCTTGACCGCGCGCTTGCTGTGGGCCAGGAGGCGGCCCAGGTTCAGGCGGCCGCCGCTGCCAAAGGCGGCACGAAATACCAGGATGCAGAGGTCCAGCAAGTGGCTGTCCACCGCGTCGGAGCGCCTGTGAATGAGACCGGGGTTAGGGCGACCACAGTGGCCAGGTGGCCCTGTTCCGCCCCGTGGCACCGACCCTGCTGGGTCTCACCTGCTGCCCTCCTGGAAGAGAGCGAATTCCAGTGAGGCACGCTCGAGCACCGTGAGTGCCGTGACCCCCACGGGCCCGCTGGCTGTGCTGGGGAAGCAGCCCTGCACCCGGGCCTCCTGCCAGTCTGAGTGCACCTTGCAGATGTCCACCGAGTCGAAGTACCTGTGGGGGGTGCTTGTGTGGGACACGGGCAGACACCGGACAGCTCTCTGGGCCCCGGCCTCTCCCTTGTCCCACCCCGGCCTTGCCGCAGGACAGCTCTCTGGCCCCCGGCCTCTCCCTTGCCCACCCCAGCCTGGCCGCAGGACAGCTCTCTGGGCCCCCGGCCTCTCCCTTGCCCACCCCAGCCTGGCCGCAGGGCAGCTCTCTGGGCCCCGGCCTCTCCCTTGCCCACCCCAGCCTGGCTGCAGGACAGCTCTCTGGGCCCCGGCCTCTCCCCTGTCCCACCCCAGCCTTTGCCGCAGGTGCCACGCAGCGGTCAGGGTACCTGACGAAGTCGCTGTACTCCATCCAAAAGACGCCCTCGCTGCTGCCATGTGGCATGAGCTCACTGCGCAGGTTCCCCGGCCAGTGTGGCCACTCGTCTGACCAGCTGCCGTTCCAGGAGAAGCGACCCCAAGGGTTGCGGAGCCGCAGGAGCCTGCAGGCCACAGCACTGAGGACTCTGGTGCCCCGCCCCTATCCTGTGGCTGCCCCACCTCCCATGCCCAGCCCTACCTGGAACCCTGCACATCCCGCACGTCCAGGACTGAGTAGGCATGCCGGGGACGAAGACCCAGGCTCTCATATGCAGCATCATCCACCTTCATGTTGCCCCCTCCACAGGAGGCACCCATGAGGAACCTGTGGAGCAGAGCAGGGCTGCTGACCGCAGGTAGGGCACCCCTGGCCACCCATGGGTGGGCAGACACCAGCTTTGAGGGTCAGTCCAAGCAGGGCTTCCCCAGTCTGGGGCTTGTGTGGGGTTTCCAGAGATTGGAGGTATACACATGCTGATGGGCACACAGTTCTCAGAGAACACCAGCCCCTCTTACCCAGCCTCCTTAGAACTCAGCATTTTGGCCCAGATGAGGTCAGTGTCTACAGGTTCCTCCCGGGGGTTGGTGGAGCTGACCTGCAGTGCGAGGCTCTCGCAGGGGGCGCCGGTGAGCGTGGCTAGGCCTTCGATGGCGCGCCCTGCCTGCAGTGCAAAGTAGGACCCGTGCAGCTTGGCCAAGGCCTTCTCGATCAGGGCCACCCACAGCTGCTTCCGCTGAGCCTGGGGAGGGGAGCCGAGTCAGGCACAGCCCAGCTCACTGCTGCTCGCTGTACAGCTGCCACCTCTGCCCACCTGCGAGAAGAGCAGGAAGCCGGCCTCGTCACAGGGCAGCATGTCGTCCACCAGCACAGTGGTCCAGGTGCCATCCTTGCACAGCCGCACCTGGTAGGCACCCTCTGCACACAGGCTGCGCGTCACCATCACCCGCTCCACCAGGTCGGGCCGCTCTGCCAGCACTGCCAGGGCACTCAGGAACCTGGGTGGAGCCGGGTGGCCGCAGGCAGTGAGTGAGCTGACCCCCAGTCCTCAGCCCCTGGCCCTGGGGTGCCCTGAACCTCACCAGCAATTGCCTAGCAGGCCCTGCAAGATGTCTGAGGGTTGCAGGGTGTGAAAGACGGACCACGAGGTGTCACGGTCCCTGAAGACGGAGCAGTTGATCTCGTGGGGCCGCAGCCATTGTTTCACGCGCTGCTGGACACTGTCTCCCGCCGGGAAGCCCACTGATGCAGGCCCAGGTGGGAAGCTGTCATCCACGAAGTTCACGCTGTTCTGTAGAGGCCACAGTCTGCTCAGCCTGGGGACAGCAGCACTGACCAGGCCATGGCCTCTGATGTGGCTGGCCTGGAGCCCCACAGCAGGCAGGCAGAGGCAGCAGGGACCGCTGGTCAGGAAGTGATCACAGTGCTGGTCAGAGCCAGAACCCCATGAGAATGATCGGGGACACAATGGAGTGGCTGTGGGGGCAGATGGCATAGGTGAGTCCACGCACCTCCCGGCAGAAGGCCACGATGTTCTCCCATTGGGCCTTGGCCTCGCCCTCGTCTGTCTGCCGCCGCTTCTCCACATGCATGCTCTCCCGGCGCCGCAGCGGGGCGGCCGCCCGGTGCTGTGCCTCCGCAAGCTGTGGTGTGTGACACACAGCACAGTGCTTGGCCCGCGGCGCATTGAGTAGGGTACAGGTAAGGCAGGCCCACTGGCCAGGGCGTTCAGGTGCCAGGCGGGCAGCCTTGTGGGCTGAGGGTGCCCGCCCGCAGCCTCTGCCCATGCAGGGGCCTGGCTTGCTGGCGCCGCAGTCGGGGCAGCGTGCCAGGGGCTCGGAGTGCTCCTGGAAGCCATGCAGCTTGGAGCAGCCACACACTGTGCACCGGGGGGCAGCCGTGGGGTTCCGGAGGGTGCACTTTGCGCAGGACCAGGTGGTGAAGTCGGGGCTGGAGGGGCTAGAGGGCGTGTAGCGCACCGAGTCGCCCGTCAGGTCGATGACGTCCCTGCAAGGCTCCCCTTGGGAGGGACCCCCCTCAGGGGCCTCCTCATCGGGCACACTCAGCCGCTTGCCTGACAGCATCTCGGCTAGTCGGCAGCTGCCCGTTCCTGCCCGTGCAGGGCCCTGCGAGCCTGCTGGGGTCAACGGCTGAGCGGCCTCAGGCACAGGCGGCTGTAGCTGGGGGGGTACTTCCCGGCGGCTTCGGGGTACAGGATTGTTCTGCAGAGTGGGTGAGAAGGGACTGAAGGGTGGGATCCTGGGGGTCTCTTGGTCAGAGGGTGGAGGGTCCACTTCGGGGAGGGCTGGCTGTGAGGGAGCTGGCACGACATGGAAGCCGGCAGGGGCCATGATCTCAGGGACCACCAGGGCCTCTGGGGGTATCCTGGGCAGTGAGAGCTTGCGGGGGCCACCACAGACGGAGCAGGAGGTGGCCACAGGAGTATTGAGCAGCGTGCAGCGCTGGCAGGCCCAGCTGCTCCCGGGCTCTGCTGCCCCTTCCTCCTCCTCGTGGTCACTGTGCGCCTCCTTTCGGTCCTCCTCGGGCCGTGCTGGGCCTGCCTCCTCGCGGCTGCAGCTCCCAGGCTCTGCCAGCACGGCGGGTGGCCTGGGAAGGACCCCGTTGAGGATGGGCAGCAGAGGGGCTCCAGGCGTGGGCTCTGGAGTGAACCCGCACATCTCGCAAGCCTCCTTGCCCAGGAAGTTCCGGAATGTGCAACGGGCACAGGGCCATTTCTGCTCCTCCACGCTGAGCCGCAGAATCTGGTCAAGGTCGGGTTTGTGTCGTGGGGCTTCACAGATGGAGCACTGCCGCTGGCCAGCAGGGTTCAGGAAGGTGCAGCGCGCACAGGACCATGCCCCAACCGTGGCCATAGACCCAGGCGAGTGGGTGTGGCTGCAAGAGAAGGCCCCGCTTAGGGCACTGCGCTGTGCAGTGTGCTGCCCAGACCCGGCAGGGGGCTGGACCCTGCATGGGCACAAGTGGAGCCAGCCTGGTGCCTGTGTGAGCAGTGGGAAGGTGCCTCTATGGCACCAAGCCAGGTCTGGCAGTGGGGGTTCCCTGGGGTACAGCGAGTCTCCTGAACTGACTAGCTGCTCAGTCCGGCAGAAAAATCAATCGTTCTTTAGAACAAGGCACGAACCATGCACTTCTTACACCATCATCCCAGCCAAGCTTTGGTGTAGGAAGAAAGTGAGTTTGCCCCTTGGAGCAGAAGTAAATTAAACACCATGCAATGCAGAGAATCCCCAGACAATGCACCTGCCTCTCAGAGCCTGGCACAGGCTGGTGAATTACAGCGGCCTTGCCCCACGGCTGAGGCTCCGTGCACATGTCCCCCATGGACATGCAAGTGGACAGAGAGGGGCACCACATGGGGAAGCAGCCCAGGAGGCCAGAGGCTTTTTCTGGGCCTGTCACACAGAGAGCTGGTGGCCCAGTCAGTGGGCCTAGATCAGGGGCAGCATTGAGAGCCTTCTGCCTGGCTCCTGTGCCCTGGTCATCACACACCTATTCCCTAGCAGCAAGAGCAGAAGGGCCCAGTCCCCCTGGCACAGGGGACAACGGACAGCAGTCAGGCTACCCCAGTGGACAAGCCCATGCAGATTGTACCTGTAGCCCAGGCAGGTGGAAATGACACACCACCTTCCCATCACGTGTGGCCAGCCTGCAGTCAGAGACCAGGGCTCTGGGACACCTAGGGGCACTGCCTTCTCTTGGCTGACACTACAAGCCTCTCCAACAGGCAGGCCAACGCAGAGGGCCTCAGGGTCAGTGACTAAATGGCCAAGAGATCTGTTGGGACCTAGCCTCAACCCTGCCACAGCCACCCATATATGCTGTAGGGTCACGGGGTACCAAAGCACCAAGCCCGTGGGTTCAAACCAAGCCTCAGCCATGCTGTGTTCGCATACCACATAGCACCCCACACCTGGCCATGCTGACAACACACAGGGCACGCCACACACCTGGCCGAGCTGACAACACACAGGGCACCCCACACCCGGCCGTGCTGACAGCACACAGGGCACGCCACACACCCAGCTGTGCTGACAACACACAGGGCACCCCACACCCGGCCGTGCTGACAGCACACAGGGCACCCCACACCCGGCCGTGCTGACAGCACACAGGGCACCCCACACCCGGCCGTGCTGACAGCACACAGGGCACCCCACACCTGGCCGTGCTGACAGCACACAGGGCACCCCACACCTGGCCGTGCTGACAGCACACAGGGCACCCCACACCTGGCCGTGCTGACAGCACACAGGGCACCCCACACCTGGCCGTGCTGAAAGCACACGTACATTCCGTACACATACACACACACACCCGGCCGTGCTGACAGCACACAGTGTAATTGTCAGAGCTAGGTTAGGGTCTGTGCGTGGGTTTCACACACAGTCACTCCAGCAAGCAGAGCAGACACAGGGTGATGTCCTCACTCGTCCCCCCTTGCCTGGTGTCTCAGTCTTGGCCATGAGCAGCCCGCACTCCTGGTCTGCCTTGAGCTCGTAGGAGATGTAGACCAACAGCTATCAAGGATGCCTGGGACATGATGCTGCTCCTGGGAGGCACACGTGCACACACAGGCAGGACAGGCCCTTCACCTCTGCTGCTACTCTCTGCTCCCCCTCCCTGGAGTCAGAGCCACGGCCAGCACTTGTCCACTTCTTGGAGGCCCCAGCCTGGCCAGGCTGGAGCGGCGGCGAACACCTTGCGCTCAGAGGTGACAGGAAATGGCGTCTTTACTTGCACCTGTGAGCAACTGCAACTTCTAGAGCAGATGACCCATTGAGATCACACTGCCAGTTGCTTAGCCACTGTGTGCCCGTGAACCCCTCAGGACATGGCATGTGACCGAGAGGCCTCGCTGAAGCCCAGGGAGGCAGAGTGAAGGCAGCAGACCAGGGTACAGGGCACAGCCATAGCCTAGAAAGTTCTGTCACTCAGCTCTAGACTGGAACCACTGCTCATGTAGGCCTCACGAGAATGCTCACAGTAGCCTGCATCCATGTGGAGCAGCACAAAGCATCTAGCACGTGGAGAGCTTGGGCAGAAAGGCACACGGACAGCTCCACTGCTGTCCGATTTCCAGAAGTTAGCCCATGGGCAGGACAGGGGTGCTGAGTGTCTAGGCCAAGCCACATGCAGACTGTGGACATGGCCACCAGAACTTGCTGCCCAGTGACCACAGGAGCGAAGAGGCTCTAATCCTCACTCTGCCCTCTGCTCCAGTCCAGCTTCCCAGGGGTCCCTCGCCCCCGTCCTGCCTACAGCACGGCTGCCCACCCCACGCCAAGCCGGGCTGGAGAACTCCATGGGAACAGGGGTGCCACTGCTCATTTGCCTCAGATGCCCCAAGATGCGGGCAAGTGGAGTCCGCACATGGGCCCTGCAGACAGGGACAGGCAGTGGGCACACTCAGCCAGCCAGGAGCTGCCCCCGCTGCAGCTCTCACAAGACGCAAGCTGCTGTTCGTGCTGGCATGCTGCTGCCAGCTGCTACCCTCTGACCAGCAAGGCCTGCTTGGCCAGAGTGGCGCTCACCTGCAGTTTCTTGGCCTAGTTTGGTGGTAGCAAGCTGCCGGGGGACCCCAAAACAGGCCCCACTTCTTTGCAAGCACAACTCAAACATCCTGGTCCCAAAGATCCCTCTGGCCCCTTACCTTCTTACCTTCGGGCCCGGGGGTGCAGGGGCTGGTGCTGCCGGGTGAGCAGGGTGCCTCCCCAGACAGGCGCCCCAGGACCGCTCCTACACCAGTTGGCCGCTGCCGGGGGCCCTGGATAGGGCGGCCCCCCGGGGAAGCCGTGGTCCGACTCGGTCTCGGTGGCCAAGGAGGAGGCCGAGCTCCCCATGGCCCCCCCGACAGCAGCCACGCTGAGAGCCAGGCCTGGTCCCCTCCAACCAGCAGCGGGTGAAACGGAGCATGGAGGGAGGAGAGTGCCCACGCCGGAGACAGGCGGCTGGCTGGTCAGTGACACCACAACAAAGATAACAGAGAGAGCAAAGAGAGAAAACAGCGTGACTCACAAAGGCTCACAGTCCTGGGATAGGTCCCCAGCGCACTGCATGGACCGGGCCAAGCCCTCCCAGAGGAGGCCCTGCTGTGTGGGCCCTTCCCACAGCCAGGGCTAAGCTGGCTCCACAGAGAGCTGCCAGGCCATGGTCCAGGGTGGGGACATCACCCCAGTAGAGACACATGGCTTTGTCTCATAGAGAGAGTAGGCAGGGGGAATGGAGAAGCACCCAGCAGCATATGTGGGGGCTGGGCTGAGCCACACAGGAGGTGGGCACAGCCATGCCCCAGGCAGCAGTATGCCAGCCCAGGGAAGTAGGACCAGTCGTTGTTTGGGTCTTCCCTCTCAGCATTTGGCTCCTGGCTGCTGGCAGGGTCTCAGGCAAGTGATTGATGTCCATGGGGGCCTGGACTACCTTACACGGGGGCAGAGCTGTGGATTGAGGTGGTAGTCAGGCCAGCTCCTTCCCCTAGCTAGTACTTATGGGTCTTTAATATTTGAGGGTCCCAGAGAGCTTCCATCCACGCCCCCAGCAGCCAGGAGGTACGTCCAGGTGTACTAGAAGGACACGGGCCCACGCCCTGTAGCCAGCACTTGTCTCCCAGGGGCATGGCATCCAGCTGGCCGAGATGCACGTGTCCAGTGTATCCAGTGACCCAGGACTTCCTCCAGAGGGCATGGGTCTCCCTGGAGCTGGTCACACCATCAGCTGGCCTGTGGACTTCTGCTGACACTGCAAGCAGCCCTCGCAGTTTCACACAAAGTCAGAGGCGGCAATGACCCGAGATGGCAACGCCAACGTCCATGGGCCTTGCTGGGACATGGCTGCTCACAGGGCTACACGCTGTCTAGAGAGGGTGTGACATCACCAGACAGCCCGGCTCTGGCTGTGGTCTCTGTACCACATCTGCCGGCCAGCCTGTTGTCAGCACAGCAGCAGGCAGCCAGGGTTCACCGAAACAGCTGCCTTGTGGACACAGGGACCCATCAGAGGCAGGCGAGACTGGGAACCACGTGCAGTGGAGGTGTCTGTGGGGAGAAGCTGGTTACACTGGCCGTGAGAGCAGACTTGTCTTGCTTGTGTTTCCTGTGGAGTCTGCATGCCCAGCAAGACCTACCTGCCCTTCAGGGATGCCCTTGCAGGCCTGGAAAGATTCAAACTGGACAATCCCCTCCCCTGGGCAGAAAGAGATGGACCAAGAAGAGAGGTGACTTCCAGCTACAGCACTGGGCTGCTGGTGCCAGTGGAGGTTTTCCGGAGCTCCCATCACCTTAACAGCCACGAACCTTCCCCCTGTACTCCCTGGAGTGGCAGTGGGACCAGGCACCATGGTCCTCCTGGCCATTCAGCCCTGAGACTGCTCAGTGAACCACCCTTAGGAGGAGATCTCCATGGAGGACCTGACAACAACCCTGGGGTCCTGGGGATGCTGTGACAGCAGAGCCCCTGACAGGGCACGGTGCCCACAGGGAGCAGCACAGCACAGATGCCTTTAGGACTGCAGGAAGTGGACTCTGCCCAGAGGCCTGCTTGGGTCCACAGCAAGCCCCATCTGAAACTAACCCTGCTGGTTTTTGCCTGTCCTGCTTTGAGACCGGCCGCCCCAGTTTTACACTAAGTACAGCTTACATCCAGACTGGGGGAGCAGAGGCCCAGCAGGAGAACCTTCCCCCTACATCACCCCAGCTCACCTGCTTCCCCCAGATACTCCAGCTCATCTGTTCCTCATAGCCACCCCAGCTCCCCTCCAGCTCACCTGCTCCCCACAGCCACCTCAGCTCCCTACTCCAGCTCACCTGCTTGCCCACAGCTATGCCAGCTACCCCCTCCAGCTCACCTGCTCGCCCACAGCCCCACTGTCTGCCCTTGAGAAGTCTGGGCCTGTGGCGCTGTTACCTGGTGCTTGTCCGTCTCCCCAGATGATAAGGCAGGGAGTGTCGTCCCCCTGAGGACCGTGAAGCCCCTGCTTGCCCCTCTCTCAGAAGAAATGATGGGGGCAATCCAGGTAGAGCTGGGGCCTGGTAGGGAGCCCCACCTTGTGTACGTAAAAACCGTGCTCTGGAGATGGCTGAGAGCACAGAGCAAAGATCGCCCTGCTAGTGCCCTGGTGTGTCCTGATGACTCACAATGTGCTCACGAGGACGTGCTGTGGGTGGGGCGGCTCTGCTCTACAAACCTGCCATAAGCCCAGGCTGATTCAGCCCCATTCCACTTATGAGGCACCTGCCTCCTGGGGCACACTCCCAAGATTGTCTCCCCTGGGACAGGCATGTGGGGAAGGGCCACTCCACTGACGCCAGGGCACCTCAAGAGCAGGGCCTGTGGTGTCTGGGGGAGGCTGGGGCTAGGTGTAGATGCCACACGGCAAGAGGGCGACACCCCTGCACCTGCCCTCGCCGCTGACCCACCAGTGAGGGATGGACCATGACTGTGCCCTCCAGGCAGTTTCTCAAGCACCTTACCCTGCTGCTCCACAAGCCACCATGAGCCCCAGTGTGGGGGGAGACTCACTGGAGGCCAGAACAGGCTGGCCCCTCTGCCCTCTTGGAAGTCTGCACTCTGACCCCAGGGCAGCATGCAGGGTCTCCAGACTTGTTCGTTTCAGAGCTCTGCACTCCTGTGCCTCCGGCCTGCAGCTCCCTGAGGACTTCCTGGCTCCCACCCTTCCTTCCCACGCTGCACTGCTCCTTGCTAATCCATCCTGGGAAGCTGCAGGTGTCAGTTAAAGTCCTCAGGCCCCTGGTGCCCACAGGACAGCACCTGGCTGTGGCTGGTCTAGTCCCAAAGGTTCCACTGCTTGCAGGCACCCCGTGTGGATCCTGGCTTCCCACATCACAGCCGGCTCCTTGCTAACACACCTGGGGAAACTGTGGAGGATGGCCCAAATGCCCAGCCCAGACAGTATGGACTTCTGGAGAGAGAACCAGAGGATGGAAGACCCCTGTCTCTAATGAATGAACAAATATCTGGCTGACTGCCATACAACTGGAGGCTAAAGCTCTGGGGGTACTGTGGGCTTTACTCTTCACTGCCCTTGGCAGAGGCCCCGAGCTGTGAGCCCAGTCCAAGGGGCTGGCGGCCAACTCCGGCCCAGCACGGTCGGTGGGCAGGGCCGCTCCAGACTGTGCTCCAACCTCCCTGGCCCTGCGGGCACCATGCAGAACAGACCTCAGGCAGCAGGTCGGCAGCGCTGTGGACACGTGAGCTCGGGAGGACAGCCAAGGACAGGGCCCTGGGCTGGGGCGCCAGGACTTGAATCAGTCAAGACGTCCCTGGACCCAAACCCTGGCACCAAACAGCTATACCAGCTGCCAAAAGGGCAGCCGGTACACCCAGCCAGGCAGGCTCCCTGGCACACACCTGCTGACCCCATGCCGTGCCTTCCCTGCTCACTGACTCCCTCTTACATGTCCCCGCCACAGCCTCTACCTCAGCTGGGAGGCGGCTTTTTTCCTCAAGTTCTAGATTTCTCTGTATTGGTTCTTCACATGCCAGGCCTGGGGCATACCAGACCTGTTTCCACAGCTCTCCATTCCAGCAGCCTAGGACAGTTGGCTCTGCTTGGCTCAGTTAGAGCAAGGTCTGATGGTGAGGCCCAGCCTGTGCCGGTCCCGCTGTTCCTGACAGTGGCCCGGGGAGCCAGGATGGCCCCAAGAGTTGACTCCAGTCACAAGGTCCCCACTGTCACTTCTAACAGGCGCAGAGTAAGTTGAGACCAGTACTGTGCATGTCTGTCTGCCCAGCTGGGGCAGAAGTGTCCTGGCTGGCAGTATGGTGGACGCTCATGGCACAGAGCAGGACATGGATGGGAGGGGGAGGGGATATCTCCTAAGAGGGGTGGGCAGGGCCGCCAAACTCACTGCCCTTTTGGTCACAGGTTAGAGCTGGGGGACAGGCAGAGGCCCAAGGGACTGGCACGGCCGAGAGTCTGTGTCTGAGGACGAGGGGCATCCCCTAGAAGCAGCCTCAGTGACTCAGGCTAGTCCGCCGGGCGCAAGGGGGACCTGGAGGACAGCCGTATCTCTCCCTTCCTGAGCAAGGGCCTGGCCTCGCCTGGGGGCCCCACACTATCCCCGGCTGCCAGCAGTTCAGAGGCCTGCCTGACCCACGCATCATGAGGTCTCGGGATGAAGCTGTGGCTGAAGGTATCCGGGCCCAGGCTTGGCCTCAGCCCTGCTGCCTCTGAGCAGGCCAGGGGCCTCGGCTACAGCCCCACTGCCTCTAAGCAGGCCAGGGGCCATCCTCACTCAGACTCACAAGCCAAGCTCTGGCTGCGCCGCTCTCACAGAGACCAAAGGACTGCCTTCCTAGAGTCCCGAAGGGCTCACAGTGGCCTGTGGGGAGCAGCTGACCAGTGTGCCCAGGGCAAGGCTGGATGGCACAGGTGGCCTCTCAGCCTGGCGATCAACTGCAGCCCTGAGGCAGGGAGTGGGGTGACCTTGGAGACGGACACAGCAGGTGGGTGGCTGGGGCAAGCTGGGGGTAAGAGGACCGCACTGTGTCTGAAGGGCATGCCCATGTTGCAGGTGTGGGCAGGACAGAGGCACGGCAGGAGTGGGAGCACAGAAACCCACCATCCCACACCCTACACCTGAGGCCACTTGGGCGCCACGGTGCAGCCCCAGGGGCAGCCTGGGCTCTAGATCCCTGTGTCAAGGAGCCTGAGTGTCCGCCTGCACCCAGGCCAAGTGCCTTCCCAGGAGACAGGTGCTGCCCAGGGTCTGCCCACCAGGCCACAAGGCAGACAGGACTGGGTTTCTGAGCTTCTTCACGGGAGCAGGGTCCCTCTGCAGTCAGACCTGCAGGTTCAACAACCTCTGCCCCCTCCTGCCCCATAGCCTGTGAAACAAGAGTTTGCAGAACACTGCCCCAAGGCCTGATAGGGGGCACATGCCGCCTGGGGCTTCAGGGGCTCAGCAAATACTGTCTGCATCAGAACCCAAACAACCGAGGCTCCTGCCCCTGACTGACCAAGTGGCAGAGAAGCCCCTCAGCCCACACTCTCAGCCCATGGCCCACGCTCACCGTGCCCAGAGACCACGGCTGTGCAGGTGCAGGCAGCCAGCCAGCTCGCGTAGGCCCCGAGCCACGGCCTCAGGTCAGGGTCAGCGACATACTATCGTCCTAGGCAGGCCCCTCACCCTGACCTGAAAGGATAAAAGTTCCCGCCGAGCCCAGGCTGGGCCGAGGGAAGCTCCCATACCCAACACCCAGCCGGACCCCGGACGCCCAGGCCCAGCGCGCGGGCTGGCCACAAACTCCAGAGCGCCAAGGCGACCCCGACGGGCACCGCCAGGGCTCCCTGAGCACCCGGCCAGGCCCTCCCGGGGGCGGCCGGCCCCAGCCTGGAGAGGCAGGCAGTGTGCGGGGCTCCGGGCCCGCGCGCACCCTCCACAGCGGGCGCCGCGCCCGGACAGTAAGGGCGCTCAAGGACAGGCCGGGGCGCGGCGGGGGCGGCGGCGACTCCAGCCGGCTTCCCGCTCCCAGCCCTGCACTCCAAAGCCGCGCGGGGCCGGCTCTGAGGGCCACCCACGCCCCGCGCGGCCTGTGGGGGACAGCCGTGCCCCCCACAACCGCGAGCCGCGCGGGGGCCCTGCCGCTGCGCCCTCCCCGGCACCTCCCCCGGCCCGGCGCACCGGACTCACCTCCGCAACCGGGCGGCGCCGCCTCAGCCCCCGCGGCCCGGGAGGCGCGGCCCTGGCGCCGGGCCCGCTCGTCGCCGTCAGCCGGGGCCACAGCTCGCGCATCAGCTGCCCCGCCGCCGGCGGCCTCCCGCGCCCCGCCCCGGCCCCGGCCCGCGTCCGGCGCCCGCCTCACGCCGCCTCCGTAGCGCAGCGCCCGGCCGGGGCCCGAGGCTACGGCGCGCCGGGGGCGCACGCGGCGCTGCGAGTCGCGCGCGGACTACAACTCCCACAAGGCCGCGCGGCCGCGCGGGGCAGGCCGGGATGACGGCGCCTGAGGGGGACGGCCGAGAGCTGGACGCGGGCGGGTGTGCGGGGCGCCTCGTGCTCCCGCGGAGCAGCCGAGCTGAGCTCACGCACGGCCTCGCCGCCGAGGCCCGTGGCCCTGCCCAGGTCCCCTCGGTGCCCTTTGGCGCGGAACGCCTGGGATGCGGAGTGGATCCTTATGGGGTGGCAGCAGGTGGGAAAGCTGCCGTGCTGTGGAACAGGAGGGAGACTCGAGTCGGGAGGTCAGGCTGCAGGACCTCGACCCGCTTGGTCCCGCAGGAGCTGTCCCGAGCAGCCAGCACGTGGCTGTGGGAAAGGAGGCCTTTCCTCCGAGATGGGCAGCTCTCAGGGCACCAGGGGCCTCTCAGCAGCTGAGGGGGAAGGCCAGGGGCCATGGGCTTGTGTTGTGTCAGCAGTAAGCTGCCATCGCAATTACAGAAATAAAGGTCACTTATTCTGGTTGTTTATTTGAAACAAAGCCATCTTCCATAGGCTGGCTCATGCCAGGCTTGGCCCAGGTCCCCCACAGGAGGCAGGGGACCTGGGATTGGAACTCCACCTGCTACCTGCAAGGGGATGGTACTGGGAGTAGTGCTCCCACAGGCAGTGTCTGCCCGGGCATGTCTGCCTGAGGGTGCACACCTCGGGCATCACCTGGGTGCCTGGCTCTGTTCCAGGGCATAGGGCCATAGCAGCCAACACCACAGACCTGGTCTGGGGAGTGACTGGCAGCCAAGGCCAGCTCAAGGGCCCACCTTTGGAACCCTGGCCCGGCCAATTGGCTCAGATGCTGCCCATCCGAGTAGCAGGGTTCCTGTGCCCAGCTTCCTGCTGTGTGCACGCCAGGGGCAGCTGCCTTGGTGCTATCCTTCAAGCCCTGGCTGCTGTAGCATTTAGGAGTTGCCACTGAGATGCCTGGACCCTGTGTTGGGGTCAAGTCCTGGCTCTGGCTACTGGGAGGCTCGAGTGATTGGTTTCCTGCCACCCGAGGGAAGACCCTGACTGGGTACAGGTCCTCTGTCAATGGGTGGATTCCGGCTCTGTGCAACCTTCTCCAGGCCTCTCGGGGCACGGAAAGGCCAAGGTGACCAACTCCTTTCCGGCATTCTCAGCAGACACGTTGGAGTGGGCCCCGTGCAGCCCTAGCAGACTGTTCTTCCACCAGGCAGACCTGAAGAGGGTTTGGTATGTGCAAGTGCTAGCTTGCTATGCAATGTCAGGAGCCAGTTAGCCAGGGGAACTCTGCTGTGGTGCCCAGCGGGCTGGCACAGGCTGCCTCCAGGAACCCTCTCTCAGTGCTCATCACGTGTCCCTCCCTTGGGCTGGAGACAGACACACACAGTGAGTGGTGAGCGCGGAGGCCCTGCCTGCCCGAGGGGCAGCCTGGATCAGAGGTGCCCCAGGCTGGTGGGGTACCAACATGGATCCTTGGCCATCACCATGGATCCCCACTCTGGCTTCTTCAGGTCCTGCAGCTGCCTGGAAGCGGTGCACGGACACAGATGGGACGGGAACACGGCACTGGAGATGTGTCTGCTCCGCTTGCCTTAGTCCTACTCCCAGTATCCAGTGGTCCTGAGCTGGGCAGGGTGACTGTGGACACCTGCTGGCCTGAGGGCTGTAGCTGGGAGCACCTACAAGCAGGCTGGGTGGGCAGCTTTCCCAGCATCCTCTGTTGTCAGACATGGACACTGCCCTGTTAACTGCTGTGGCCACGGGGGCCTCTGAAGCCTTCAGCAGGCCTGCTCTCGCTCTGACCAGTGACCTCAGATGGAGTGTCCCTGGGGCTTTGTTAGTGGCCCTCAAGGGATTGCCTCCCCACCATCCTGCACACTCCTACCCTCTCCATGCTCCCTGGTGACCCACAGGGGATCTCCCCTCGTAGGGGGGCTTTCCCTGGTCTCAGCTGCACTCCTCAGCATATAACTTTGGGATCCAGGCCCCAGCCAGGGGGGCATTAAGTCCTGGGGCCTCAGGGAGAGGCTTGGCTTGGCCAGCCTGTGGAGCCAGGTGGGGTCTCTGGGCGCTATCCCCGCCCCCACATCCCTGCAGAGGAAGGAGCCGGCCTCAGGGTTACAGTAACAGCTTTACTCTGTAGTGCAGGATGTAGGGCATCCCTGCATCCAGAGAGGGGCACATCCTGAATAACTCAGTGGGCGCAGTGCTGAGTGCTCCCGGTGGTCTCCTGGCATTTGTATTTACAGGCACTGGCCCACGTGGGGTGGGCACAGACAGGCAGGGCTCTGGTATTTATAGAATATACATACATACATACATATATATATATTTCATGTGTATACACATAGTTTTCTCTCTTGAAAGTGTTAAAAAATTGATCAACCTTCAATCTATAAAAAATACCTACTCTACATGATAGAAAAATCTCTCCTCAATGTTTACACTGATTTACACCCAAGCCTCCCCAAAAATGTACAACATGAGGCAACATCTCTTAGAGGGGCCACATGACGGGAGGAGGGACACATACAGGTGGCCAGGCCTGGTGGGCTTGGCCTTTGAGGACACACAGGCATCCTGGGCCGGGCTCTGGCTCAGAGGCCTCATCCAGGAATGCTCCTGCCCACAGGTGAGCACCTCCCCATTGGCTTCCTGCGGCCCTGCAGAGCCGCCCTCCCTGGGAAAGAACATTTCTAAGTTGGACAGCGAGGGACAGGGAGTGTGGACTCTGGGAGGCCAGCTCTGGCCACCGCTGGGGAGCAGCAGCACCTGCTCCAGGGGACTGAGCTCCACCAGTCCGCATCTCAAGTGCTGGTTTCAGAGCAGGGGGGCCCCTCAGGCTCCTGCCCAGCTCTTCCTAGGAGGGCCAGAGACCCCAAGAGTTACCTTGGCCAAACTTGGGTCACAAACAGGCTGCATGGTGAGGAGGCTCCTGGGGCCAGAATCAGAACCGAAGTGGCCTCATCCGGCTGGTGCCCGCTTCATCCATCTGACTCTCCAGCACCATCATTTCCAACTTGAAGATGCAGGTTGGTACCCCAGAGCACCCAGGCATGGGCGGCACTGCATATGGGCACTTGGGGGCAGTGGCAGCACCTTGGGTGGGGGCCCATTTTGTTCTTTTTGCCTGTAAGGGCTGGACAGTGGAAGAAGGGATCTACCAGCAAGGACATTACAGAAATTGTCACCACCTCTCAGCAGAGGCCCAGGAGTCTGTTGAACAGAAACGCAAGAGAAACTCTCAGTGCACCAACTCAGGCTGGGGGCCCCAGCAAGGTCCAAGCAGACAATGGCCCTGCCACATCTTCCCTGCTGTGCATTCCAGACTGGGGCACCCCTGCCTCTTCTGCTTTTCCACTGCCCTGCAGTGCCCCAGCCCAAATGCACAAAGGGTCCTCGTGTGCCTGCGGCTTGAGCAGCTGTGGGGGTGACTGGTCGCAGCTCCAGCCCAGGCTGGGCCTTCTGTCCCTACTTGACCTCCAGGATGGATGGGTTGGTCTCCATAATGGCCACGATGATCCTGTCGATGTAGTCCTGCAGACGGAAGTTGATCTCTTCCTGCTTCTGGATTGCTTCCATGAGCTGAAAGCAGAGTATGCCATGAGCACAGGCCCCCTGGCCGTGCAGCCCACAGGCCCACGGGCGGGGGAGGAGTTACCTCGTCACGGGAGACGGAGCTGATCTCAGCGGCCAGGGACTCGGAGAAGGACGTGGAGAAGAGACTCCTGGCGCCCTGGATACTCAGCGTGATGATCTGCCCATTCAGCTCATCATTCTGCTCCTTCAGGCTGCGGTTGTCCTGCAGGACACAGCAGTGTCCAGATGAGCTGGGACACCTCCCTGTACCCTCTCCCGCCCCCAACAGACACGTCTTGCCTCAGGCACACCTGTTTCAGCCGGCGGACCTCCTGCTCCAGCTCGCTCTCCCGGGCACGTGTGTGGTATTCCTGCAGGCCAGCGCTGCTGCTGCGGCCCCGCCGCTGCTCCGTCTCCAGTTTAAACAGTTGCAGGTGCTCCAGCTGCCGACGGAGGTCCTCAATCAGCTGCCAGTGACAGGGAGGCCCAGTCAGCACAGTCCCCAGAGAGGCCGTAACAGGCGCCCCCCCACCCCCACTCACCTCCTGCGTGGCCTCCTTGTCCCTCTGGAACTGGTGCCTCTCTTGACTCAGCTTGTCCCTCATCTTCCTCTTCTTTTCCTGCTCGTCCCTGAGCCGCAGCGTCAACTCCTCAATCTCATCCAGCAACTTCTGCTTCTCCTGCAAGAACAGAGCATGCATCGTGGGCAAACATCACACACATGCCCACCCGCCGCGGGCACTCATCACCCATCCTCCTCCCCATTCTGGGTCCCCTGGCGCAGCATCCGGCCCTGCTTCCTGACAGGAAGGGGCTGAGAATGGCATGGCAGCTCACCTCCTCTAGGCGCTCAATGCTGGCCTTCAGACAGGGTGTGCAGGACCGCAATTCACTGTTCTCCTCGTCCAACTGCTGCAGCCTGGGGCACAAGAGCAAAGCTGGGACACGTGCCTCTGTGGGGCAACTGTGACCCAGGGTCTTAAAGGAAAGATGCTTCCAACTGTCATGGCTGGTCCTTGTGGCACCCAAGTGTTTTAGGCCAACGGACCACACCTGGGTTATGAAAAAGTTTTAGGGTCACTGAGGAGCCGCCTGCTCCTGCTCCCCCTCACACTGCTACTGCTCAATACGACATCCCACATGTCACAGCGTAACTCACCTGGGACACAACACCAGCTGAGCTCCACTATGCATTTCCCAGTGCTGCCATGGTCACCCAGCTCCTCTGTCCCCCATGTGTGACACTCCCAGATTAGGGCTGGGCTGTCCGAGTCTCCAAGACTCGTGAGGACTCTTCAGCTCGGTGTGCTGTCAGCCAGGCATGAGGGTGGGGTGTGCTGCTCTTTTGCAGGCTGGGGAACAGGAGCAGCCTCGCTGTGTGTTGGCAGGAGCTGGTGCTCCCATGCCCGGCTCTCTGGCCTCCTCGGCTGTCTTGAGCCAGCTCACGTGTGTGAGGGATGTGGAGTGGCTGTGCCTGCCACCGCTTTCCAATGCACAGGGAGAACACACTGTAGTTATCAGTCCATCGTCATCGCAGCTGGCAGATACACTTCCCTGGAGGGATTTTCCCCTCAGTGATAATTGCAAGAGCAACTCGTGTTAGGTGGCACTGTGGCCTTGTGGGTAAAGCTGCCTCTGATGCTAGCATGCCATGGGACAACAGTTCGAGACCCAGCTGCTCTGCTTCTGCCCCAGTGGCCTGCTGATGTGACTGTGGAAAGCAGCAAAAGCTGGCACTGTGGCTTAGGCCTCTGTCATCAACGAGGGCGACGCGGATGAAGCTCCTTGCTCCTGGCCCTGGTTTGGCTCAAGCCCTGCTACTGCACCCACTTGCAGAGTGAACCAGCAGATGGGAAATCTTTCTCTCTCTTAACCGTCTCGCAAATCAGTAAAAATATATCTTCATTTAAAAAAAAAAAAGCTGGTCTTGCTCCCCAGAGCAGAGTGACATGGTGCTGCCTGATCGGGAGCCCGTCTCCCCGTTCCTGCTGCTCAGCCCACAGGCACCAGGCTCACTCAGGGCTGTCTCCCCTGGCCCAGGCAGTCTGGGAACGTCTCTCCAGTTCTCTGCAGTATGCATGATATTACATGATATTACATACCATGGGGGACTCTCCCAGCCCAGAACCCTTACCTCAATGCTCTGCAGCTAGCCCTGAGGGCCCAGGGCACAGGGGCACTGACTGGGTGCATGGGCAGGCAGGAAATCTGTTAGAAAAGTTGGGGAGACCAGCCCTGCAGACAACCTGAGGGGCCCCCTGAGACCCCACCCCATCCCTCCTGCGTTCCTGTGTCTGCCCCTCTGGGCCAGGGCAAACAAGGAGGTGGGTGTCTCCAGTGCCAGTCCAAGGAACCTGGGCTGGGAGAGAGGGATCCCCAAAAAGATGCGCAGGCTCCATGGGACACCCTCAAGGGCCAGCACCAAAGTGCAGCAACTCCACTGGCTCTAAACTGGCAACCCCACATTCCAAAGGCAGTGTAGGCACCATGGGACACACACAAGCCAGTGCTGCGGTGCCACACAGATCCCATACCAGGTACCAATTCTGAGTCCTGACTGCTGAACCCCCACGCTTTCTCATCACTCTTTCAAACAAGCAGTGAATCTTTAAAGCAGACCTGAAACAGGCCAGTGATGGACTGCTCTCATGCCCGGGGGACAGCACAGAGCAGGTGCTGGTGGTCTCCACCTGCATGACGGGGGCTCAGCCTTGCTGGGGCCCCACCCACCTGGCCTGCAGGTTCTCGATCTCGATGCTCTTCTCCCGCTCCAGCCTGCACAACAGCTCCTTCTGCCGTCGCGTCTCCTCCAGGACCATCTCGCAGGCTCTCAGCTCCTGCTCCTTGAGCTGCTCCTCCAGGGCATTAGCTCTTCAAGGCAAGGGGTACCAGAGCTGACCCAGGGCCCTGACAGCCTGCATCTCAAGCCCAGGGAACTGTTCTTTTCACCCTGGCCCACCTGGCACTCCTTCACAGACAGGGATGGGGTACATTCAGAGGTCCAAGCCCACCCATGCCCGTTCGTAAGGTACTCCAGCACAGGCACTATACATACCCATAGATTCTGAGGAGGCCAGAAGGCACTGGGGTCTCAGGGCCACTGTACTTTCCAGAAATCAGACATTTACTTTAACATGTGAAGTATGTCACCTCCCTCGGCAAGGACTGCAGTCTGCCCAGAGCAAAGTCAGCCCTGGACGTGTATCCCAAGGGTGTATGTGAGGCCACGGTGCCCACTTCACACCATGGTGTCCAGTTCAGCACTGGCTGCTGGCACTCGCAAGCCCTATTGGCCACAGGGGAGAGCACTCCTCAGGCCCCTCAAGGCAGGGAGCTGGGCTGCAGACCAGCCCACTTCCAGGCTTCCTCCTGGCTCAGGTCAGGTCAAAAGGGATGGGAGCATGTCCACGGGTCATGAGACCCTCCCTGGTCCTCAGGAACACCTGCAAGACAGAACATGGCCACTGCGGAAAGACTCCAGCCCTGACCAAGTTCAGCCATGGATACAGAGTTCTCCCTTCCCTGGGAAGGAGTGACCAGATGCCAACGTTACTCCTCAGAGCCATGGCAGGACCAAGGCAGGCACAAGGAAAAGGGCTCCAAGAAAACACAGCAGGAGAGGCCCCGTAATGCGCATCTCTGAGGACTGAAGTCCTCAGCCTGAGATGGGAGGACCAGGCAACAGAAACCCTTGGAAACGGACACTGAGAATAAACAGTAGAAACTTGGTAAGAAGGCCCAGTGCTACAGTACAACTGGCTAATACTTCCTTTGCAAATTCCAGCATCCCATAGGGGGCACCAGTTCATGCCCCGGCTACTCCACTTGCCATCCAGCTCCCTGCTCGAAGCCTGAGAAAGCAGGGGAGGATGGCTCAAAGCTTTGGGGCCCTGCACCTGCATGGGAGACCCAGAAGAAGCTTGTGGCTCCTGGCTTTGGATTGGCTCAGCTCTGGCAGTTGTGAACACTTGGGGAGTAAACCAGCAGATGCAAGACCCTCTCTCTCTGTCTTTCTCCCTGTAAATTTGATCTGCCTTTCCAATAAAAATAAATCAGTCTTTTAAAACTTCAATAGAACGTTCCAGTTCCCTGCTCACGGAGGTCCTGGAAGCAGAGTGATACTGTCATGTTAGGTCCCTGCCACACATGTCACTTCTCAGCTCCTGGATTTGGCCTGGTCCAACCCCAGCACACTTTGGTACCCCCATCCAGCTAAACCCTCAGCTGGAGACATTGTGGGGGGACAGCCACAGGAAGCTGAATCTGGCATCCACCCACCCCTGTGAGGCAATTCTCAGGGGGTGTCCTCCACAGCACACACACAAGAAAATATGATTTGGGATGCAGGCACTGACAGACAAACCCGAGAAGGCAGGTGGGATTCCCCAGGCGACAGTCCCCTGAGCAGGAGCACGCTACATAGAAATAAATGCCTGGCAGCTGTGCAATATCCTGTTGGAATGGGAGTTGAGCATACCAAGATATGCCAAGAAACTGCACATGGTTCAGAAGGGACTGCCAGTAGGAGTGAGGCACCATGTGTGATCTTCACACCACAGCCCTGGACCAGCAACATGAGACGCGCTGCACACGTGGACTAGCAGTGAGACGTGCTGCACATGTGGACTAGCAGTGAGACGCGCTGCACACGTGGACTAGCAGTGAGACGCGCTGCACACGTGGAATAGCAGTGAGACGCGCTGCACACGTGGACTAGCAGTGAGACGTGCTGCACACGTGGACTAGCAATGAGACACGCTGCACATGTGGACTAGCAGTGAGACATGCTGCACACGTGGACTAGCAGTGAGACACGCTGCACACGTGGACTAGCAGTGAGACGTGCTGCACACGTGGACTAGCAGTGAGACACGCTGCACATGTGGACTGCCAGCAGGAGTGAGGCACCATGTGTAACCTTCACACCACAGCCCTGGACCAGCAACGTGAGACACACTGCATACGTGGCTTAGCAATGAGATCAAAATCTTGATGGTCACCTCAGGAGCAGTATTTTTAGAAATGCAGACCAAGGCAATAGCCTTGTGGTTCGTTGGTCAGGACCCTGCTAGCGAGGCTGGCATCGTATCAGGGTGCCTCAGATAAAGGCTCTGTTCTGCTGCCTGCGAGGACAAGGGCGGCCAGACCCTCCCCAGGGTTGCAGCTAGGCCTAGAGGCAGGAACTTCCCCAGTAGAGGGTCTTGGTCAGCAGATGGCTAACAAGCCCAGGTCCACTCCAGAGGACTGGCTCTCACTGGTCTAAATGCAGTGCACATTCTGTCTCTTCCAAGATGCACTGCACTCCTTGGGATTCAGAGTGGAATCACCTGATGAAGCTGCAGGGTGGCAGGCCGGAGCAGGAGCCAGGTGTCCTGTCTGGCTAGGGTGACTGGGTTATGGTGTGAACACCCTGCTGCCAACACAGGCGGTGTGGGTTGGGCCCAGCCCTGCTGTGAGCCCCAAGCCCAATTCCTCAGAGCCTGAGCTCACAAGAGCACGTGGTGGAGAGAGGCAGGTTGGCGAGACAGAGGTTCATGGGAGAGGTGCTCTGCTATGGATCCCACAGGTGCTCTCAGGTCTCCCCAGCCCCATGAGGTCACACCTGCAGGCTCACCTGCCTCGCATGAGGAGCAGGACAGCACTGCTTGGTACCAGGTGCCCGTGAGTAGGCTGCAGCACTGGCCCCCCGAGCAGGCAAGCTCCTGTGTCCTGCCCAGGTCCAGTTTCAGCTCCCAGTCTCCTTTCTTTTGTGCCTGTGCAGCCAGGCAAGGCTGCACCCCTGAGCCCAGCACCCCATTCCTGCTCTGTGGCACAGATGTGAGGATGCCCTCCTTTGCAGCCCTGGGTTTCCTTGTCCTTGAGGTAAGGGATCAGCTCGGGTCACCAAGCCAGCACAGTATAGATGCAGAAGTGGTGGGGGTGCAAGGTGACTGCAGGTGGCCCTGTCCACCTTTGGAAAGTGAATCCCCAGTAGGCTTCGGGTACAGCGACAGCTATCACAATGACAAGTATGACTCCACCTGTACTGCAACCTGCACATCCCCTACTGTCCAGAAGTGGCAAGGATCACATTTGTAGCTTTCTTCTTGGGCTCTGTGTGGAGCCCACCCAGTTCAGGAACTGTGCTGCCAGCTCCTGGGGATGGGACACCACCTGACAAGGTAGAGAAAGTTCGATGCGGGCAAAGGCAGCAGCTCACCTATGCACCAGCTGCAGGTTCTCCTGCCGCAGCCGGCTGTGCTGCTCCCCAGTGGCCACAGTGTCCTTCTCCAGCTCGGACACTCGTCTTTCCAGGAAGACGACCTGGGTAAGGAAAGGACAGCCTGAGATTCAGGCCAGAGGAACCACAGGGGACGCTGCGTCTTGTGGCTTCAGTCAGAAGAGGGACAGCCTCGGGCGTGGACCACAAACACATGGGGTCAGGAAGGTATGTAAGCTGCCACCACCTGGTACTGCCTCAGTCACCTGGAGCTCAGCAGCACCCTCCTGACACTGGCACACACGGTGGTAAGGAAGGGGCCTGTTCTGCCAGACATAGCCTAGAGCAGGGCCACAGTCAACAGTGACACCTGTGTCTCAGGAAGCTCAAAATAAGATGGGAGACAGAAGTGTGAAACAGGCACAAGAAAACTAAGATATCAGCAATACCAAGAGAAGGGGCTGTGGGAGTGGAAGCAGGGGAGGAGGTGAGGGCAGGGGAGGAGGAGGGGTAGGGGAGGAGGTGAGGGCAGGGGAGGAGGTGAGGGCAGGGGAGGAGGAGGGGCAGGGGAGGAGGTGAGGGCAGGGGAGGAGGTGAGGGCAGGGGAGGAGGTGAGGACAGGGGAGGAGGAAGGGCCAGGGAGGAGGGCAGAGGGTAGGGGAGGAGAGAACAGGGGAGGAGGTGAGGGGAGGGGAGGAGGAGTGCCAGGGAGGAGGTGAGGGCAGGGGAGGAGGAGTGCCAGGGAGGAGGTGAGGGTAGGGGAGGAGAGAACAGGGGAGGAGGTAGAGAATTGGGAAGTTATACATGTGCTGTTGCCACCTGCCCCCTCCAGCCTCCAGGTGGACTCCGACCTCTTGGTTCTGACCACAGTGTGGTGTCTGCCTACCTGATGCACCCCCCCCCCCAAGGACAGATCTGTCCCCACTGCTGCCAGTCTTGGGGCCCTCCCTCTACCCAGTTCTGAGTACCCCTGCACTTCACCCGTGGTGCTGCGCTTCAGCTGACTCTTCCCCAGACCCGCGGCCCTGGCCGTGTCCCGCGTGTACAGCTGGACATACCCCTGTCCTCTGGGAGGCACCCTGCCCCTACCTTGTCAGCAATGTCCTCCTCAGGGCACTCCACTGGCTCTAGCGGGGGCTCCTCCAGGGCATCCATGGTCAGGACCCCCGAATGGTGCAGGTATCTGCGCAAGCACACAAAGAGGAGGAGGAGTAACCAGGTGAGCGGCTCTGTGCACACCAGCACTTTCCAGGCCCTCTGCAGAGGAAGCAAGGGCCCAGGTGGCTCAAGTTCCCCAGGCTCAACAAAGGGCTTCACGGCCCAGATACCTGTGGCCCCACCAAATCTGTCTCCCTGATGGCAATGGGAGCAGAGTACTTTGTCCTGACGTCATTTTCCACTGTAGGAAACAATGGCCATTCCCCAGAGGCTCCTCAGCACAAATGCAGGATCCTCACATACGCACATGCCAGCTACACACTTCATGGTCGTGACAGTCTAGGATCTGAGGAAACCCATACCAAGGAGTCCCAGTGGGGCTGCTCTCAGAGCATGGCCCAGGCAGCCTGAGGAAGCTGCCTGGTGCATTGGGGCTCTGCAGCACCAGCTCCAGGGGACACAGACCACCAGCCTGTGGGTGCCACCCACTTGGGAAAAAGGCACTTGTGGTCCTAGGTCCAGACGACTCCACAATGGAACATCAGCACTTCAGTTGTGTGTGTGTGCACCATTGCAGGTACAAACAGCTTTCTGCAGTGTGTGCACCCACACCCACCAGGGGCACCCACTGTGTACACCCCATCCACCAGATACCCACCCACTGTGTACACCCACACCCACTAGGGGCACCCACGCAGTGTGTGCACCCACACTCACCAGGGGCACCCTTCTCACAGTGTACACCCACACCCACCAGGAGTACTCTCCCAATGTGTACACCCACACACAATGTCACTGACATGGGCTACATCAAGGTCTCCAGTGGCCCATGCCCCAAGCCATGTGTGTGTTGAGTTCTGTCTACCCCAGGGACCACAGGACTGTGTCTGCTGACAGGCAGGCCTGATGTTACACATGCCCTGAGCCCTGCTGCCCAGTCATGGTCATAATGCAGGTTGTAATGAGGCTGGATGGGTCTGAGTAGAACCCAAGCAGAGGCTAACATGCTGCACTCAACAGCCCCAAGCTATCTTGACCAAGTGTACAAAGCTTGGAGCCGGTACCGAGCAGCCATGGTGCGGGCCAAGCTGCTCCCTGTAGCCCCTGCAACAAACATGGACTGCTCCTTGTCTGACACATGTGGAGTGGCAGCAGATGAACCTTTATGTGGGCCCGTGACACCTGAATTGGGGATCCTGGCTCCAGTCCAGGCTAGCACTGGCCATTGCAGCCATGAGGGAACTGACTCAGGGATGGGCGCACCCTCCCTGTGTTCCCCATCTGTACCCTCTGTCACTCTGCCTCTCAAATACACAAAGAAATTCTTAAAGAGACCATGTATGAACAAGCATGTACGCACAGATAAATGTACTGCTGGGCACACCTATTTTGTGCCTAGTCTTTTTTTGTTGTTATTTTTTGGCAAAAGCCATCAGTGCAGGAAAAGTTGGATCAGTAAGGGGAGGCTGGGAGGCAGCGGCTAACACATATGAGGGACATGCCAAGCTGATAGGGAGCCCATCACAGACACTCAGCCCTGAGTCACAGAACTCAGCATGACACCAAGAGCTCAATGGCATCCAGCAAGAAGGTACAGCAATGACATCTCTGCTCCCTGCAAACCCTGTGCCCTTCAGAGCAGCCACAGCAGCACAGACAGAGAGCAGCTCTGCCAGCCAGGAGCAGTGCCAGCTGAGAACTCAGGAACCTGGAGATGAGAAAGCAAATGACAGATGCAGGCTGCATGGGGGCAGTCAGGGTTCAGATGGCACCTATAGAGCAACTGAGTAAAGTTACCCCCTACAGCGCCGACCCCTCAACTTCCAATTTAGGATGGATGAAGTCCTAGGGCTGCTGCCCCACTGGAAGAGCTGGAGGAAGCTTGGGGCTCTGGCTTGCCTGGCTCTGGGGAGTGAGTCAGCAGATGAAGCTCGCTTACTGGATCCCTCCAAATGGCCACAGTGATCAGGGCTGGGGCAGGCTGAAGCTTGGAGCTTTTGCCAATCTCCCAGGTAGGAAGATCTTTCTGTCTCTCCTCTCTGTAAATCTGCCTGTCTAAGAAAAATAAATAAATAAGACAAAAAGACAGAAAGAAAGAAAGAAAGAAAAGAAAAGAAAAGGAAAAGAAAAGAAACCCAAGAGCTTTGAGAGAGAAAGCTATCAGGAAGCAACCACAACCAGGAAGCACTGGACAGCTCAGCAGTGACCTGGCCACAGAAGGTGACGGGGCTCCTGGCCACAGAAGGTGACAGGACTCCTGGCCATGGAAGGAGATGGGTGCCTGGCTCTGGAAGGTAATGGGCGGAAGGTGACAGACACCTGCCTGGCCACAGAAGGTGACAGGGCTCCTGGCCATGGAAGGAGATGGGGCTCCTAGCCACAGAGGTGATGGGTGCTGGCCATGGAAGGTACTGGGTGGTGCCTTTGCAATACCAAAGGCACATTGCTCCCAAGCTCAGGGAGGGGGGCAGGCAGGGCTGAGACATTACTCTGAGATCCCTGCTCCACTTATTATTCCAGCTTCCTGCTAACGTGCACCATGTGAGCAGCTCCAGCACACAGGTGCCTGTCATCCATGAGGAGACCTGTGCCACGCGAGCAGCTCCAGCATACAGGTGCCTGTCATCCATGAGGAGACCTGTGCCATGTGAGCAGCTCCAGCATACAGGTGCCTGTCATCCATGAGGAGATGTGCGTGCATGTGAATTAAGCGATGCAAAATCTCTTTCCATGTATGTCTCTGTCTCTGCCCATCAAATAAATCAACACATAAAAACTTCAAAAACCTACTCACAACCTAGAATTCCACAGCAACCTCAGGTTCAAAATAAGATTTCAGGAATTTACCCCCTCATCTCCTCCCCCAAGCAGCTACAGGAAGTTGTGCTAGACAAACATGGAGACAAACAGAAAGGAGGGTCAGAGCTGCCTATACTACAACTGCAGCACACCGCAAGGACAAAGGTTTGATTCCCTGCTGCTCCTCTTCTGATCCAACTCCCTGCTAATGCCTGTGGAAGCAGGGGAGAATGGTCCAAGTGTCTGGGTGCCTCCACCCATGTGGGAGACCTGGAAGAAGCTGCCTGCTCCTGGCTTTGGCCAGGTCTTGCCCTGGCCATTGCAGCCTTTGGAGAGAGCCAGGGGACAGAACATGTGACAGCCCAGGGAATTAACCCAGTCATGCAGCCCCCACTCAGAAGGGGGATAATGACTACTGGCATGGCCATCCTCTGTCGGCAACCAGACTGAGATGTGAGGAAACACCTCTGGGGTCAGAGTGAGGCCCACCTCTCCACGGACCAGGACCTGCAGGCAGGAAGCCCCTCAAAGACCCATCTCTGAGAGGCCAAGACCCCATCCCCCAGCCAATCCACCTCAGGGATGACCTACAGAAGACACAGTGTGGAGAGCGGGAGCAGCACAGCACCCAGCCCCTGCAAAAACCTGACAGTACATTTGGAATAGACAACTTTGTGGCCAGTCGGGACCAAACCCACACCCTGAAAACTCTCACAACCCCCGCCCCACCAGGCCAACTCTCTAACCCAGACTGAGGAAAACCAGCTGCAGGGGAGAGCAGCCTTGTAAAAGGCTCCCAGCGGCGGGGGCGGGGAAGTGTTTCAGGGGGCCACTCACCCAGAGCACGGGACTGCCTACCTTGCCACTTTCCTGCTGGAGAGCCGCTTCATCGGACTGCACAAAACCAAAGCAAACAGGAAAATCATGTCAGACAGGAGGATGGGAGGAAACAGGAAAAAGTGACAGAGATATGGGGATAGGCACCCTTCCACACAGCATGCAGGTCCCTCCCCGGGAAACTGCCGGAGCATGCCTGCACAGCAGACACCTCGGCCAGCTCACGCCTTCCTGCCTGAGGAGCCCCAGTTAGCTCCTGCCAGCTCCGCTCACAGACTGGCCTTGGTAGACAACACTGAAGATAACTCCCCCCCGAATGGCAGGCCGCAGGAAATGTGACCCTGTCGTGGGTCCCTGGCTTTGAGCCAGGTGCTGACACCACACAGCAGCACGACTGGGGCAGGGAGGTGGGAGGCCTCCCCCGACACAGGGCAGTAGATGCGGTCGCTGGGACACCGTCCTGGCTCGGCCATGTGCCCAACTTCCCTCACATCACCACCATGATCCCATCCTTGAGCCCAAAGTTTGTGTATCTCCCCAAGATCACACAAGCTGCCAGCTGCCCCTCAGCACTGCACTTCTCCTTTCCCGCAGCTCTGTGCACAGGACCGGGCCCCTCACATTTTTTCTGTGATGCGATGATCCACAGGTAGCAGGTGCCAGAGAGGGACAGTACCCAGGCCAGGGAAGGCCTCCCAGGGAGGGTGGCTGGGCAGACTCTGCTCTGCACCTGTTCTACCACACTCTCCCAGTCAGAGGAAGACAGAGTTCTTAGCACCCCTTTCTCACTGTGCCCAAAGCCTCCCTCCCACTCAGTTGCTCCAATGGCCATGGTCTCGGCTTCCTGAAGGCAGCATGTCCCTGCACACATGTTGAATTCCACTTGAATACCACTGAGAGGCCAGAGTCAGTGGCATTGGGTAGCCTGTTCGAGTACCCATCTGCCTGCAGGTCTAGACTGGCAGCTCAGCAACTGCAGTACTAACATGGCAAGTTTCCTCTGTAAAGCACCCTCCCAAAAAGTGAATGTTCAGAAAATACAATAGGCAAAGCAGGTGCACCTCAAATCAACACCTCTGACTACACCTAGGAAGCTCGCTCTGACCCAGGATGGACAAGGACAGATCCTACTGCCCTCCACTGAATATCTGGAGATTTGCTGACCTGCAGCCCCCTGCTCTAACTCTACTACATATTTGATACAAACTTAACTCAGTACAGCTTTCTTAGGGAGAACAGATACCCTCTAATATTCGGCACATCTGTGTCCATCTCTGCCTCCATAAAGCCTGGCATAGTTGGGCATGCCCCCCGGGCAGGTTCTTGGTGTGAAGGACTGCCCCTATGGTGAAAGAATGAGAGGTCAGACATGTCTCTGAGCCCACATTCACCCATGGAGATGACACTCCTCACTCCCAAACTCTCAGGAGGAGCACCAATCTCCTCCCAAGAGAAACCGACCATCCCACACCTACAACCAGCTGAGCATACACCAGAGGAAAAACGCTCTTGGGACCGCTGGGCTCACCAGACACCCTCGACTGCCATAAACACTGACCCATCCCTCGCCTCTGACTGCCAGGTGCTCACTGTTAAGGACACAAAACACACCTGAGCTAGACTATGGGTAGGACTGCAGCACCAGCTGTCAACAATGGGTCCAGCTTCGGACGAAGCCCTAAAGATGTGTAGGCAGGTGGAGGCAGGGGCCTCAGCAGGAGCACAGGTATACAAACTCCAGACAGCTGCCCAGCCCCCTCTGTCCTAGGCCCTTCCCCGTGTGGGCCAACCTCACAGGTGCCTTTGTCCCTGGTGTTCATGCTGTTATGGAGAGCCAGGCCTGCATCAGGGCAGACAGGAGAGAGCAGAATGAGACAGGAAGAGTGGGTAGAGCTGTTGCAGTCAGACAAAGCTGGGAGAAGGTCCTGCTGAGCATGCACACCTTGGCTCTAAACATCTCCAGGCTGTTCAGACTGGTTCTGGAAGATCCAATTATATATCTATGGTCTCAAGGAAAGCCCGCCAGGGAAGGGCAGGGAGTCCCCTTTTGCACCTGCTGGCTGCACAGCGTCCCTAGGACGAGGAGGAGGGCCATGCATGTGGGGAGATGTCAATCCTGCCGAGTGAGTGTTCCCCGTGTCAGGCATTCAGGCTGGGGCAGTGGGCCACAGTGTCCCCCTCACCCTGGACCAGCAAGCAAGGCCAGCCCCGCACCAGTTACCTATTCATCTCAAGGTCATTCAGGCGAGCAGACAGGTCCTCTAGGCGGTTGATCTGCTTGTGGCATTGGCTACAGTAAAACTCAAAAGCCTCGTCAGTGAGGACGCCGTGCAGCTTGGCAGCAAGGGGGCCGGTGCTAGAGAGGCAAGAAGCATCAGTTCAGGAGCGGGCAGAGCCTGGCTGGTCGCTGGGCCCGAGCGACAGACTGAGGACTGCACAGGGAGGAAACAGAACTCAACAACAGCATGTCTTGGCTCTGCCGTTCCGTGGTTTGCTATGAGGATTACGCCTCAGACACATGCGCCTGCCTGTCTGTACACGTGGGCTCTGCCCCAGTGGAGTCGCTCTGGCCGCACGGTTACAATCACTGCTGTACAAGGGGGCTGAGGCTGCCACTTACTGTGCCTATAAGCATCCCACACAGTAACCTGCTTGGGTCCAGCATGCTCCATTTCTTTTTTTAAATAGTTATTTATTTATATTGCAAAGTCAGATATACAGAGAGGAGGAAAGACAGAGGAAGATCTTCTGTCCAATGATCTTCACTCCCCAAGCGACGCAATGGTCAGTGCTGCGCTGATCTAAAGCCAGGATCCAGGAACTTCTTCCAGGTCTCCCACACGGGTGCAGGGTCCCAAGGCTCTGAGCTGTCCTCGACTGCTTTTCCAGGCCACAAGTAGGGAGCTGATGGAAAGTAGAGCTGCCAGGATTAGAACCGGCACCCATATGGGATCCTGGCATGTTCAAAGCAAGGACTTTAGCCACTAGGCCATGCCACAGGGCCTCATGATCCTCCATTTCTGAAACAGCTCCCTGCTTAAAGCAGTGGAAGATGGCTCAAGTCCTTGGGACCCTGCACCCACGTGGGAGACTGGACGAAATTCCTAGTGTCTGCTCTGGCCTAGCCTAGCCTAGCCCTAGTCAATGTGGGGAATTAACCAGCCTATACAGGAGCTCTGTATCCCCGCATTTCAAATCAATCGATCAAGAAAACAAAAGAAACGAGTAGTGTTAAAAGCTATGTGGAAGCCAGCGCGGTGGTGCAGCACGTACTCCACGCTGGAGCACTGGGTTCAGTCCCAACTGCTTTACTTTCCAGTACACCTGCTAACGCACTTACGGGGCAGTGGATGACGAGGCAAGGGAGTCCCTGCCACCATGGGTCTGTGCTCCCAGCCCCAGGCTGAAGCCTGGCAAAGACTTGGGGGAGGGGTCATGGCCAGGGGACAGAAAACACTTCTCCATCTCTCTGTCCTTCTAATGACTCAATCTCAAAAAAAAAAAAGAAAAAGAAAAAAAATCACACACTATGTTTGGGGGCAGACATCCCATCTCCGAGTCTGGTTTCCCACCTGGGAGAGTGAAGGGTTGGCCCAAGGAGTGGCTGCCAGAGCACATGGGGTGACCCAACAGACGCTCTCTGCCTCCCTGTCAGCACCCTGCCTCTCTGATGAATGACCCAATATGCCGGCACACCCCCACCCAGCAGACGGCTGCTCCGGGAGACACTCGCCACTCTGCTGTGACTCTGGCAACATGAGCTGCTACAAGTGCTGTCCGAAAGGAGCCATGGGCTGCTGCAAACTCGTTTGGAAGTTCAAGTTAAAGAAACATTAGAAGGAAAACATGACACAAAGCACAGGAGGTACATTTTCGGCAGAAAAGAAGGGAAAGCACCGGGTAAGAGGACAAACCCATCATGGAGGAAGAGACCGCTCAGCAGGACAAGCCCACTCAGCAACGCCCAAGCAGACATTCCAGGGAGGCCCACTCTGCCACTCTCACAGGACACTGCTGCAGAAGCAGCCCTTGGACAGCCTGGGGAAGGGAGAGGGACAGCAGGGGCAGCAAGCCCTGTTGGGGCTGGCTCCAATACACAAGCTACTAGCCGCAGTAACACCTGGGCCGAGGAGGGATTTTGTGGCTGCTGGGTGGCCTCTATTGCAGCCCTCTGAGAGAGGAGCTGGAGGACCAAGCAGCTGAGGGCCAGAGAAGTGACATGGGCACGTTGTAGTTCAGTGCTGTGGGTGAAAGCTTTGGATCAGTGCCGTGGACATGCTGTGGACACGCTGTGGGTAGAGCAAAACACCCACAGGCAGGAATGGCCCCTGAAGTGCTCGCTGACCACCAACAAAGATTCTCCTGGACCCACAGAGCCCACTGAGACCTATCCTTGAGAGCTCCCTTGGCCTAAGACCTGCTCACCTGTCTCTCCACAGGAACACATCTTGCCCTTGTCCTATTATGGTCAGATTATCCAAAGTCAGAATTTTCCAGACACAAGGGGTGCAGGGAATTCTAGGGAAATGAGCCTCCAAGCTCCCTCACCATCTCAAAGACCCTGCAACCAGTACTGAAGCAATCAGGCCTTAGGTCACCACCTTAAGTGGGGGTCTCTGGTACCTGGAATGACCTGGGGGCCCATGGGTCTGAAGACTTCAGCCCATTCACACCACAGGGTTAGGGGAAAACTCCCCAATGTGTGATATTTTATGGTATCATCTGGAAGCCAGCTTTTTCACATCAATTTATGAACCAAGTAGGGAACCTCCCACTGGCTGAGGACATCGAGGGAGGAGCTGCAGTGGTCAGGGCCATGTTACCTGGGGGTGAGGAAAGCAGGGTCACTGCACGCAAGCTCCCCATCACAGAGGGTCTCTGGAGACAGCTCCGCCTCGCTGCCTTCCCCGTAGTCCTCAAAATGCTCCTCGCTGCCAATCACCATGACAACAGACTGACCACGTGGGTGAGACCTGCACAAGCACATAGAGAGGACACAGGCTCAGCACTCCAAGGGGATGGGTGCTGCTGGACCACTCACATGCCCCCTGGCGGAGCCGCAGCCCCCTGCTCACGTGTGGCTGTGTATAACGCATACACCTCCTTTCAGAGGGGGCAGCTGGTGACTCCTGGAGCTGGACCAGGAGAAGTGGACTGATCCCCCAGCTGCACTTCAGCCTGGCCCGGGCCTGGCAGCTGCAGGCATCTGGGATCTCGGCCACGCCCACGCCTCCTTTCCACTCACACCTCGTGATCCTAAGCCAAGCTTCTGCTTGGACTTGTAACTGAGAACCACAAATGCCAATCTGGAAACTCCCTGTTGCCCAGTGACTCCATGGCTACTTTCTGGGAGGTAGCCGAGGCTGGCCTCTGAACTGGGGCGATGGCACCCACCATCCTCACAGGCCTGAGAGTTGGCCCTGCAGCTGCTCCTCTTAGGACAGGTGATACGTGTGTCCAGGAGGGGCCAACAGAAGCAGGATCTGAGTGGGCACCAGCTGCTCAACGCAGCAAGGAAGTTCCAATCAACCCATGCACTCACACATCACAGAGCAGTGCTTTCAGTTGAAAAAACCAACTATTCTAGCAAAAGCAACTATATGCTAGTAATAGTCCTAGCCGACTACTCCATCACAGCACCAGACGACCACACTGTCACAGTGCCGGATGACCACACTGTTACAGCGCTGGACGACCACATGCCGTCACAGCGCCGGACGACCACACTGTCACAGGACTAGCCGACTACTCCATCACAGCGCCGGACGACCACACTGTCACAGCGCTGGATGACCACACACTGTCACAGCGCTGGATGACCACACTGTCACAGCGCTGGATGACCACACACTGTCACAGCGCTGGATGACCACACTGTCACAGCGCTGGATGACCACACACTGTCACAGCGCTGGATGACCACACACTGTCACAGCGCTGGATGACCACACTGTCACAGCGCCGGATGACCACACTGTCACAGCACCAGACGACCACACTGTCACAGCGCTGGATGACCACACTGTCACAGCGCTGGATGACCACACACTGTCACAGCGCTGGATGACCACACTGTCACAGCGCTGGATGACCACACTGTCACAGCGCTGGATGACCACACTGTTACAGCGCTGGATGACCACACTGTCACAGCACCAGACGACCACACTGTCACAGCGCTGGATGACCACACTGTTACAGCGCTGGACGACCACATGCCGTCACAGCGCCGGACGACCACACTGTCACAGGACTAGCCGACTACTCCATCACAGCGCCGGACGACCACACTGTCACAGCACTACACATCATCCAGAACTTCAGTTATTCAGTTACCTGCTTTCTGAAAGCGTAACATGGAAAATTACAGAAATAAATAATTCAAAGGTTTAAAATAACTGTAATGTGGGTAAATTGCTGTATCTGTCCTATTAAATTAGCAGCAACCATGGTCGGCTCTTCTGGGGTACAGTAGGTATAAATGGCAGTCAGTACTAAATTTAGGTACCCAAGCATCCACTGAGTACCTGAACGTGTCCCCATGTACCTAGAGGATTTCTCAAACTGTACCCAGACACACTAAAGTAGGGTCATCTCACGCACCATGTTTCTAACACACTTCCACATCTTCAGTGTGGGTCTGCAGTCAGTCCATGTCACACTGTGGGTGCTGTAACACGGCGTGTGGGTGCCGTGGACTCAGTGTGTGGGTGCTGTAACACGGTGTATGGGTGCTGTGGACACAGTGTGTGTGTGGGTGCTGTGAACAGTGTGCGTGGGTGCTGTGAACAGTGTGTGTGGGTGCTGTGGACACAGTGTGTGTGGGTGCTATGAACAGTGTGTGTGGGTGCTGTGAACAGTGTGTGTGGGTGCTGTGGACACAGGTGTGTGTGTGGGTGCTGTGGACACAGTGTGTGTGGGTGCTGTGGACACAGTGTGTGTGTGGGTGCTCTGATTTCAGTGTGTGGGTGCTGTGGACACAGTGTGTGTGGGTGCTGTGCACACAGTGTGTGTGTGGGTGCTCTGATTTCAGTGTGTGGGTGCTGTGGACACAGTGTGTGTGGATGCTGTGGACACAGTGTGTGTGTGGGTGCTGTGAACAGTGTGCGTGGGTGCTGTGGACACAGTGTGTGTGGGTGCTGTGGACACAGTGTGTGTGGGTGCTGTGAACAGTGTGCGTGGGTGCTGTGGACACAGTGTGTGTGTGGGTGCTATGGACACAGTGTGCGTGGGTGCTGTGGACACAGGTGTGTGTGGGTGCTGTGGACACTATGCGTGGGTGCTGTGGACACAGGTGTGTGTGTGGGTGCTGTGGACACAGTGTGTGTGGGTGCTGTGGACACTGTGTGTGGGTGCTGTGGACACAGTGTGTGTGAGTGTTTGCACACTGTGAAGGAGACCGCGGGAGCCAGCAGCAGCTGGGTTCCAGTCACCCCCACATGGCACACCCAGATTGCGTCCAGCACTGAGCTCCTGCTTCAGCCTGCCCAAGCCCCTGCCAGCACGAACATTTGCAAAGTGAACAAGCAGATGGTTTTCCTTATCTCCTCCACTCAAATAAATAAGTGTGGTTTCTCACTTTTTTTTTAATTTAAGATTCAGTGGCCACTCAAGGAAAGACGGTGGTCTGGTGGGGTGCCATAAAGATGAACAGGTTCCTTGAACCTGTAAGAGACTTTCAATGAATTCTGGGTCACCTAGAGCTATGCTGACAAAATCCAGAAGTCTGAGATAAAGATTTTATTTCAACAATTCTCTATCACCACAGCAAAAGTAGCTGGGTGACTTTAACACTGGTGGGTGCTAGGGACAGGTGACTGTGGGCTTCCCTGGGGACAAACCAGTCTGATGCAATTCTGAAGGGCATCCCTCATGGACACACCCACGGGGAGTCCCCACCGGGGCACATACCTGCCGGGGAGAAGCAACAGGGCACCGTGGCCAGTCTCCTCCGTGGTGTCCAGGCACTCGGAAGGTGCGGCCGAGCCCCCTGCACTGTCGGCATCTCCTGCAGGCTGCAGTTCAGGGTGTACCAGGGTGCCAGTGTCCTCATCGGTGAAGGTCTCGCACTCGCTGTAGGTGCTCTCAGAGCCCATGTAGGCGCTGTCTGTTACCTCGTTGGCCTGGGGAGAGATACCAGCCATGATTCTGGGCACAGGGATGGGGGGGACCAGCCCCACACCACTGTGCCAGCAGGAACGCCACCCGGGCAACATCTCCAGGCAAAGGCAGGCACGTGTCCGAGGGCACCCAAGCACAGAACACTGTGGACCACACAGATGAACTTGGAAGCAAGGAATCGTTAAACATTTCAATCTGCAATCTCAGTGACTCAACGCTGCACACTCAGGATTCTGGAGTTAACAATCTGCACACGGTATCTGAGGAACACTGCCGTTCCAGCAGAAAAGCCGCACTTTGTACAGCAGCCCTGCTGTTCCAAGGAGGAGCTGCAGGGGGCGTGGGACAGGCGAGGAGATGCTATCCCAGTGGGGGATGCTGCCTCCTCTGACCAGAGCTGCTGGGGCCTGGTATGGCCAAGGAGGGGTCCCAGCTCTACCCCGCCACGGAGACCTCATTGGAAAGTGGGGGCTGCAAATGCTGACCTCACAGGCCATGTTACCAAAGGTAAACCCACCTCCCCTGGATCCGAGGAATGGACTGCAGGAGGTATCTGCTTCAAAACCAGAGCCAGAGAACAACTCTTAAAAGCATCTGCTTCCCAACTTCTGGTAAGGCGGACCTACCTGGGCTCCCTGCAGTTGGCCCAGACCTGGCTCTGTGCTGGGCCCGAGCAAGCGAAACAAGAAGGGTTACTGTGCCCAGAGAGCAGCAGGCTCCAGGACACCTGTCAGGAGGTGAGGCCCGTGGGGAAGCCACAACAGAGAAGGAGCGCATTGAGCTGACCCAAGCAGCAGCTGCTCACGATGCAGGCAACACTGCACGCTCAAGGAACGCGGACCAGAGCCAGCTACGCAGCGTTCCATCTCACTTCCACAGAATGAACGATGCTGCTGGCCTGCGAGGACCCTTCCATAAGCTCCTGGTATCCTCAGACCACCTAGCCAGTCAGATGGTACCGCTCGTACTCAGCACCACCCAAGCCACACAACACGCAGCCAGATCCACCCTCGGAGCCAAGCCCCAGGCACAGTACCCACCCGTCTCCCCACACCCACAAATGCTGGCCCAAGCACCTCCACAGACTCCCCACGTATCCACCAGCATCAAGTCACCGCTCCTCTATGGGAAGCCACAGGCCTTCCGTGGCCAGCTGGGATGGGTGTCCACCTGCAGGCCCATCATGGTGTGAGAGAGTGCAGCCTGCTCCCACACAACTTCTGCTGGGTCTGTGCCCGGGGCTGACGGGAGACAGGAGGCAGAGTTCAGGCTGTGTCTCACTAATGCCAGTCAGGGCTCGGGACAGAACCGCCTTTGTTTCTCCAGCCCTTCTGATAAGAGCTGGACACAGCGGGCTTCCCCGTGTTCTAAGGGCCAGAAATGGGAGAAGGACAGAGAACAGAGAGCACACAGCAGCTGCTCCTTATCATCTGGCAAGCGACTCTTCTGTGACTCCCTGCTGCCCCTCCCAGAAACCCTGCAAAATGGGCTCTGCCCCACCTGCTGAGCTTCCGGGACCAGGAGCTTTAGAGGGACATTCCAGGCCTCAACCTACACGCCCAACTCCTCCTCCTCTTCCCTTGGGGACAGCAGTGGTTTCTCTGACAATAAGCCGCAGAGCCCAAGGACCATTGTGGCCTGCGAAGAAGGCCACTCAGCTGGTGAATGGCACAGACCCCGCCACCAAGCGTGTGGTGTGCAGCAGGGCCCACCCTCAGGAGAGGGCCAGAAGCTCCGCCTCCACTGAACTGAGGAAACAAGCAGCCTTAAGAGTGCACCCAGGGGGTGAGGGGAGGAACTTGAGAAGAGGGAAATCTCAGGGCCCATGGAACTGTATCATAAAATTATGGTGGGGCCCGGCAGCATGGCCTAGCGGCTAAAGTCCTCGCCTTGACTGCGCCCACAGGCATGGTGTCTGACAGGAGAGGCACAAGCAAGTGTGTGTGTAAAGATGGAGACACACAGCTTCCAGCTGTTCCAGATCACACAAACTGCATTCTTCCCCTGTGTTTCTGGGAAATTCAAGATGCACTAAAACTTTGGAGCCTTTGTCCCCTCACTGCCCAGGGACCTGGTTCTCCTCCTCCCGTGACCATGCAGTCTGGTCCACACCACACTCCCCGCCAGCCCCAGCGCCCAGCCCTGTCCCAGCTCTGAGCCCCCACGCTGCAGACCCCAAGACACGGAGGCCCTGCTGGTCCTCTGGGACACAGCTGCCGGGCCTGGGGGAAGGTCTGTGCTGGCCCAAGAGGCCCAAAAGATGGGCAATTAACCCCTGAGGCAACTGCTCAGAGCAGGAACGGGCAGTCAAAAAGCGAGAGGAATCCCACGAACGCCCCAGCGCCGTGTAACCCCCCCACCTTTTAACTAAACAGCCAAGGCCTGGAGAATCATGGGGAAGCTTCTCCGGCCCCCACTGGGCAGCGGAGGCCCAACAAAGCTGGCAGCAGCCACCCTGCAGCCTAGCAGCCTCCTACTTTGTTAAGCAGAGAATCTTTGCGATGCATCTCGCACCCCAGACAGGGCAGGATTCCTGGGGAGAAACAAGTGACCCACAATGACCGAGGTGCCCATCAGCACCACACAAACCTGGATGCAGCTTTCCCAGTGCCCAAGACACCCGAAGAGCCGAGCCCACCACCCACAGCAGGCCCCCAGGGGGTGGGAGACAGCCCAATGAAAAGCACTTACCTCATAGGTGATAAAGTCATCAAACTCAACGGGGCAGACTGAGGGCTCTCCAATCTGGTCGGGGGGCACACTGCACAGCTCTCCATCACGATCTGCAGGGAAGACAGCCAGTGTTCAGCAGACCGCCACAGCCATTCTGATGCTCACCAACTGAGGTGGTCACCACACTGAGATGGCCACCACACCGAGGTGGTCACCACACTGAGGCCAAGGGGAAGCTATGAGGCTGGCGAGCGCAGAACTCCCCAGGAAGGATGCTCCTTAGGGCTGCCACGGGGGCTGGGAGCCCTGAGGACTGTGTGGATGAGTCCCCTCACACTCGGCTGTGACAAACATTCCACCTGTGAAAGCAGAGGAGCGTGGCAGGATAGTTACAATTACCTAAGAGAACCAAAGCGCCAAGCCCACACAGCTGCAGACACCAGGGCACTCTGTAAATGATTTTTTTTTTAAAGATTTATTTTTATTATTTTTTTATTAGAAAGGCGGATATACAGAGAGGAGAGACAGAGAGGAAGATCTTCCGTCCGATGATTCACTCCCCAAGTGAGCGCAACAGGCCGATACTATGCCAATCCAAAGCCAGGAGCCTCTTCCGGGTCTCCCACGCGGGTGCAGGTTCCCAAAGCTTTGGGCTTAACCACTTGCGCCACCACGCCGGGCCCAACTCTGTAAATGATTTTAAAAGTCCATTTAGGGGGCCCGGCGCGGTGGCGCAAGTGGTTAAACGTCCTCGCCTTGCACGCCCGGGATCCCATATGGGCGCCGGTTCTAATCCCGGCAGCCCCGCTTCCCTTCCAGCTCCCTGCCTGTGGCCCGGGAAAGCAGTCGAGGACAGCCCAAAGCTTTGGGAACCTGCGCCCACGTGGGAGACCCGGAAGAGGCTCCTGGCTTCGGATCGGCATAGTATCGGCCCGTTGCGCTCACTTGGGGAGTGAATCATCGGACGGAAGATCTTCCTCTCTGTCTCTCCTCTCTGTATATCTGCCTTTCCAATAAAAAAATAATAAAAATAAATCTTTAAAAAAAAAAAAAGTCCATTTAGGGCCCGGCGCGATGACGCAGTAGTTAAGGTCCTCACCTTGCACACCTGTCTTAATTCCCTCTCCCACGAACTTTTTTCTTAAGTTTTCTCATAGGGTATTCATTTTTCAGTATTATGTATGCCTGACATTTTTCATCATATAACTGTCAGGCAAAGGGGGGGGGGGGACCCGGCACCGTGGCCTAGCGGTTAAAGTCCTCGCCTTGAACGCACCGGGATCCCATATGGGTGCCGGTTCTAATCCCGGTAGCCCCACTTCCCACCCAGCTCCCTGCTTGTGACCTGGGAAAGCAGTCGAAGACAGCCGAAAGCTTTGGGACCCTGCACCGCATTGGAGACCCGGAGAAGGCCCCTGGCTCTTGGCTTTGGATTTACATAGCTCCGGCCTTTTGACCACTTGTGGAATGAACCATTGGACAAAAGATCTTCCTCCCTGCCTCTTCTCCTCTCTGTATATCTGACTTTGCAATGTAAATAAATAAATATTTTTTAAAAAAAAAAGCTTCAGGCAAGGGGCTTCCCAAGACACGGATAAGCAGCTCTTGTCAGTTCTGGAAGACAGGAAGGGAGGTGGTCACAAACACTGGACTGCTCTAGGGGCTTAGAGAAGACGGGAGGGTGCACAAGGAGGCTAGTGAAGGCAGAGGGAGCGAGGACAGGGTGCAGGGCAGGGCCACTGACCTCCATTCCTGATGGCCGTGATCCCCTGGAGGAAGTCCGCGAAACTCATCACACCGAGCCCACTGGGATCCAAGTACTTAGTTAAGTCCTTCACCTGCAACCCACAAATGAAAAACACGTTACCCACCGCCTTCCCGAGCTGTGCCCTGCCCTTTCCCAAGCTCACAGGGCAGCCTGCCTGTCCATCACCCCACGCCCTGCAGGGTGCAGGGCAGAGACCCACAAGCTGGCGGCGGCCCCCAACACTGAAGCGGACCCTTGCATCGGACGAGTGCTGTGAATACAGACTGCACTCGGACAGAGCTCTCAGGAAATAAGAAAGAAATAAAAGAAATCATACTGACATGAGGCCAACATGATCAAACACACATATAGCCAAGGCCCCTGAGGACCTTGATTAGAACAGATCCTAATCAATATTAATGCAAAGTTTCCTAAAGCAAACAACTTGTGGCACACAAGAACGCACACATCGTTCCCAGCCCCACAAGACCCATCCCTCCAAGGCCTGCAATCTCTAAAACTTATTCTGCCAAATTTCACAAACTTTAAAGAAAAAATATATACATTATTTATTTCATAGGCACAGGAGATACTCTCCAGCCACTAGCTCACTCTCCAAATGCCCGCAGCGGCAGGGCTGAAGCCAGGAACTTCCTGCGGTTCGCCCACATCGGAGCCAGAGTCCTAAACACTGGGACCATCTCCGGCTTCTTTCCCACAGGCGCCAGGTCGGAAACGGAACTGCTGATATCCAGCAGCGCAGGCCAGAGGCTTAACCTACCACACCACAATACTTGCCCCAGTAACATTCTATTTTTATGATTTTTGAAAATGCATTTCAAAGTCAGAGATACACAGAGAGACAGATACAAAAGTCATCCATCCACTGAAATTCCTCAAATGCCCACAACAGCCAGGGCTGGCCAGACAAAACCCAGAGCCAGCAGCTTCAGTCTCCCAGAAGGAAGCCACTCCCAATGTTTTCCCAGGTTTATTAGCAGTGAGCAGCCAGGATACAAATCAGTGGCTTTACTCGATATATCACAATGCCAGCCCCCTTATTAAGAACAAATGCAATGGGCTCAGTGTGATAGCCTAGTAGCTAAAGTCCTCTCCTTGCATATCCCGGCAGCTCCACTTCCCCTCCAGCTCCCTGTTTGTGGCCTGGAGAGGCAGCAGAGAATGAGCCAAAGCCTTGGGACCCTACACCCATGTGGAAGACCCAGAAGAAGCTCCTGGTTCATGGCTTCAGATCAGCACAGCTCCAGCCATTGCAGCCACTTGGGGGGTGAACCAGTGGATGGAAGATCTTTCTGTCTCTCCTCTCTGTAAATCTGACTTTCCAACATAAATAAAGTTTTTTAAAAGTATTTTTTTAAAAACACAAAAGGAAGAAAAGAAAAATTCCATCTGACTTCTCCATGTGCCCATCCAGCTCCTTGCCTATGGCCTGGGAAAGCAGTCGAGGACGGCCCAAAGCATTGGGTCCCTGCACCTGCATGGGAGACCTGGAGGAAGTTCCTGGCTCCTGGCTTTGGATTGGTGCAGTACCAGCCATTGCGGCCGCTTGGGGAGTGAATCATCGGATGGAAGATCTTCCTCTCTCATCATTTCTGTATATCTGCCTATCTAATCAAGATAAAGAAATCTTTTTAAAAAATACAAAAGAGTGGGTAATACCACTGCCTGGTATCCTACTTGGCCCAGTTCCCAAAGACTGCCTTTCTGACCCAGCTCCCTACTTAAGCACCTGGGAAAGCAGAAGATGCCCCCAGTGACGGAGCCAGAGGAGTCCCTGGGTCCTGGCTGCAGACAGCCTCAGCTGCAACAGTCGCAGCCATCTGGGGAATAGATGCAGGATTGGTCTCTCTTCCTGTCTCTCTCCTCTTTCATGCTTTCCTTCTATACCATCTTCCAAATAACCAAACAAAGAGAGGTCAAGCCAACAACTGGGACCCTTGCACCCCATTTAAGGGTGCCTGGACTGAATCCTACCAATGCTTCCACACAACAGACCTGGGCACATCAGATGGTGGTCCGAGTACCTGGGCTCCGGCTACCTGTGTGGGATACGTGTTAGGGAGCTCCTTGCACCTGGTTTTAGCTACCTTGGCCCCACTGTCACAGCATTTGGGCAATGAACCAGGAGACAGGCTGTCACTCTGCCATTAAAATAAACAAATACACAAAAACTACCAAGAGAGTGAGCAGAAAAGACATAAGAGGAGCCCAGAAGAACAAAGTGGGCAGGACTGGGCATTCAGCACAGGGTTAGGATGACCCTGAGGAAGCACCCTGTGGGCAGCAGGGGCAAGGCCACAGCTCAGACCACACTCGTTGGCAGCCCAGGCCAGTCCTCCAGTCTGCAGGAAGAAACAGGTGTAAGAGGAAGGCAAAGCCAGACCTGTGATGCCAAGGGGCTGCTTACAGCATCACCTCCCACAGTGCTTTCACAGCTGCACCGGGCCTCACACAGCCAATTCCACCACGGCAACACCGGAAGCCAAGAAGACATGCTAAGAGACGCTCACCCAAAGCATTAGGCTGCGGGTCCTCCCCCTGCCTAGGAAGGACCCTGCAGTGCAAGCTTCTCTTCTCTCTCCACAAGGGAGCGCCAAGGCCTTTGGCTGGCTTTATGACCATAAAGCAAATCTGAGCTGGCGCCACAGAAGCCGTTGTCCCCCAAGAGCCCTACTAGGCACCAGTCCACACTGTCCACACTGACAGCCCTCCGAGGTTCCTGAAGGTGCTCAGATCACAGCATACTAAGCTGCTCACGCATGAACCACGTTTCTGTTGCCATGTCAGAACAACCAAAGCATATTCAAAGGGCATAACAAAATTTTTAAAAGAATTTATTTATTTCAGATTTATTTTATTCAAAAGGGAGTTACAGAGAGACAAAGGAGAGACACAGAGAAACAGAAAATTTCCATCAGCTGGCTCGCTCTCCACACAGCTGCACAGCTGTCACTGGCCCCTGTAAAGCTGGGCGTTCCTTGCAGGCCTCCCCTGCGGTTACAGAGGGCCAAGGTCCTGGTTGTCGTTTGCTGCTCTCCCAGGCCATTGTAGGCCCTGTTTCTGAGCCGGAGCCACCAGGACAGGAACCGGCATTCAGATGGGATGTCGGCTGTGCCGGCTACGCCATGGTACTGGCCCCTATTCTCATGTATTTGAAAGGTACAAATGGAGATCTTCCATCTGGCTCACTCTTCAAAAACCCACAGTGAGGCTGGACCCACGGTGTTCCAGGGTGCCCACTGGCTACAAGTTGGTTTCTTTTTTTGTTTAAAGATTTATTCATTTTTATTACAAGGTCAGATATACAGAGAGGAGGAGAGGAGACAGAGAGGAAGATCTTCCGTCGAAGATTCACTCCCCACGTGAGCTGCAATGGCCGGTACTGTGCCGATCCAAAGCCAGGATCTAGGAACCTCTTCCGGGTCTCCCACGTGGGTGCAGGATCCCAAGGCTTTGGGCCGTCCTCGACTGCTTTCCCAGGCCACAAGCAGGGAGCTGGATGGGAAGCGGGGCTGCCGGGATTAGAACCGGCACCCATATGGGATCCCGGTGAGTTCAAGGCGAGGACTTTAGCCACTAGGCCACGGTGCCGGGCCCACACTGGCTACAAGTTGTAACGGGAAGTGGAGCCACCCACGGAGCCCTGACTCTGACACGCAATGTGAATGTCCTCTGTTAACCCCTCTGCACCACCCGTCCCCCAAGACAGATCCACTTCGAGGCTGCTGACCATCTGGGAAGTTCCAGCTTTGGAAACCAAAGTACTCTAAGAGAGGCTTCAGGGAAAAAAAAAAAACAAAACACTACATGCTGTTAAGACAACCAGCCCTTTCCTGCCAAACCTGTACCACCAGGAAACTGGGCCAAGAGACAGCACCTGGCCCCTACCCAAACAAGGGCACAGGAGGTTCCAGAGAAATCTGCTCTGCAACCAGACCAGCACACGAGTCGGCCCCCAGCAGGGCTGCTCCACTAGCAAGCCCTGTGGAAGCTGAGAAGCCAAAACATGTGCTGTGACCAAGCCGACTAGAACCCCAGACAACCTGCCAGAAACCTCGTGAGCTGGTGAGTGCCTGGAGCAGTGCCTGCTGCAACCCCTGGCACTCCCCTGCCAACACGCATTCCAGGAGGTGGGGGCACAAGCAGCTGGGTCCCCAGTACTCCCAAGGGAGACTCAGGTCCTGCCTTGTGCCTCCTGGCTTCAGCCTGGCTCAGTCCTGGTGGACAGGGCCATTTGAGGAGCACATCCACAGTGGCAAGATTTCTGTCTCTTGCTCTTTCCAATAAAACAAGGAAAACGACCCCAGAAAATCACATTGAAAACACTGCAATATGGCTTCAAAGCAAAGCAGTCTTCAAAGAGAGCCATCACCTCACTTCTGCATCTTGCTGTTACTATCATTTTTCACCAAAATAATTAAGTTTTTCTTTACTGTTACCACAAAGAACTACTGCTTAGCTTTTTAAGATACTTTATGTTTGCCTTAATATATTTCTAGCTGTAATTCTAGCCAGCTCACTTCTAACGTGCTGGGAAAGCAGTAGGACATGGCTGCAGCACTTGGGCTCCTGCACCCACATGAGAGATTCTGACTCCAGCCCAGCTCTGCCTGCTGCAATCATGTGGGGAAATGAACCAATGAATGGGAGACCTCTCTCTTTCTCCCTCTCAAATAAAAATAAATACATATTTAAAAAAAAAAAAAAAAAACAGGACCCGGCGGCGTGGCCTAGCGGCTAAAGTCCTTGCCTTGAACTCACCGGGATCCCATATGGGTGCCGGTTCTAATCCCAGCAGCTCCACTTCCCATCCAGCTCCCTGCTTGTGGCCTGGGAAAGCAATCGAGGACGGCCCAAAGCCTTGGGACCCTGCACCCACGTGGGAGACCTGGAAGAGGTTCCTGGATCCTGGCTTCGGATCAGCATAGCATCAACCGTTGCACTCACTTGTGGAGTGAATCTTTGGACAGAAATCTTCCTCTCTGTATATCTGACTTTTCAATAAATAAATAAATCTTAAAAAAAAAAAAAAAAAACAGTAAGCTGCATGCAGAGTAAGCATTCGATTTAGCATTCACCACAGCTGTAGCCCATACCCAGGTGCTGGTCCCCTTCATGGTTACACACGCGTAGCAGCTGTCAGTCATGGCTCGAGGGTTTGCTTCCTGCTGCTGTGTGCAAGAGCCAGATGAAGGCTCAAGCACCTGGCTGCAGCCTGGACTAGCCCAGCTGCTTCAGGCTTATGTGGAGTGAACCAGAAGTTGGAAGATGGAAGCTTCCCTCTCTCCTCCTATAACTGAAGAGAGGCAGGACTTCAACGCTGTTGAGAGTGTGTGAGTGTGTGTGTGTGCACACGCGTGCACACTCCCTCTCCCTCTCAAACAGAAATGCATAATGACTTGCTAGTTTTTAAAACACCCAATCACTGTGAAGTATGCAGTGACTTCTTGACAGCTGAGCAACCCAGGTGCCCAGGGACAAACTCTTGCCCGCCAGCAGCACTCACAGGTGGACAGGACTCAGCTGTGTTCTTTGATCTCAGCAAAGTCAACCAACCCACTCTGTGCTGGAACTAAACAAGTGTGAAAAACAGTGGGGGGCGTGGGTGAGAATGAGCAGGCAGAGGAGGGACAGAGAGCTGAAGTGTGTGCCCTGTCCTGGGGACCAATGCCCAGAACACAGCACCATTCATGGCTGCCTGGCATCTCAGCTTCCAATGCCAGGACGCACACCAACACCTGACCCAGCAGCTAGCCAAGAAGCAGATGGGAGCCAGGGCAGTCCGATGCAGCCGCCGCGGCCACCCTTTCCCCTGTCGTGCAGCCTGGCACCAGCTCTGGCTCCTGTCTGCACTCACCTGATTGTGCACTCACACCCGGGCCTCCTGTCTGCACTCACCTGAGTGTGCACTCATACCCAGCCTTGGCAGGACCCCTCAGACCAGACAGGTTCTGCTCAACTCAGCCGCGACTGAACAGCATGCTAGGGAGCAAGGCCCTGGCAAACACAGAAGGCAGAACAGCACTGGAGAAAGGAGCCAAAGACCTCATCTGCATGCTGAACCCTGACACCCATTCCCCAGCTCCCCCAGACACTCCGGGGGAACGGTCTGCACCCCTTCTAACGTGGAAATGCTCACAGTTCTCCCCTCTGCAATAGAGTCAGAAGTACACAGTATAACCAAGGATCAGTCACTGCCCAATTCTGTTATGACGTGACAGAAGGTCTGCGTATGGCAGGGCAGTGTTAACTGCAGACAGGACAGGGGCTCCTAGTAGGGCAGGCAGTGCAGTGGAGTGATCCATGCCCTGCAGCCAGGTTCGAGTAGCCTGTGTTCAACTTAAAGTACTCCTTGCAGCCCTCATAGACCCCCATCGTGTGGAGAGTAGTCCACGCCCTGCAGCCCCCCACCGTGTGGGGAGCACTTCATTACTGGTAGGAAGTATCTTAGATTCTTCCTCATCACCTGTCTGCAAGGGCCTTGAGATGAGACTCCACGTGTCGAGTGACTGAGGAGACTGTAGTTACTAGAACATCAGTTATTAGGAACTGAGGCATCAGAAGGTGCTGGGGTCCGTGCAGTGAGTGTGGACGACACCAAGGTGAGAAGACAAGAGCCCCCCTGCTTGGCAGGGCCCAGGGGAGCTTCCAGCTGTTTGTCAAGGCCCGGCAGATTTCTCTCTGACCACCTTGACACAGTCTCACCCCTTTCTGCATGGACACTCAACCACCCCACTAGGAATTCTGTAATCCATTGAGGCATTGTCGTTTGCCCCTGTGAGGTGGCTTCTGTAACTGATGTGAGCTTGGGAGTTAATGTCGCTGATAATGTCTTGGTGAGTGGGCCTTTGACAATTGACACACAGGAGCACAATTAAGCCAGTGTCATTTCTGGACACCTTATTGGGTACTTAACCATTGCCTCAGAATCTGGCCCACACTCCAATCTGCAGCACTCCTTCTGGGAGGAGGCTTGAAAATATCCTAAATATTAATGCAAGTGATGGGAGTGTGAACTGAAACTGCTATGGCAATAAATGTAGTTATTGTTATCTCAAAGGCTAGCCTGCCTTTGCAATTTTTTTGGAGCATAGAAAATGTAATTGTTTTAGCCACTTTTATAATTTTAGCTAGAGAAATTAAGGATGCTTTTATTAAAGAAAAATGTTTTTGATTACTGTCACTGTTTAAAGGGTTGTAGAGTCTATAGTTGTAGAGGAATTTTATATTTGAAATTTCTGTTTTAGATTTTAGGGTTTTTTTCCTTGTAACCTATTTTCCCACTAAATGATGGGTAAACTGTAGAAATACAAATGTGGTAGGAATGTATTACTGACTAGCAGGAAATCGCATGTGCGTTGGCCTTGGATTCCTGGCTATTGTTCCATGACTACTGTTTAAGAATAAATAATGGCTTGCTTTGAAGAATATGAATACAGTATTTTGCAAAATTCTCTTTAGGGGCACCTGCTTAGCCTGGAAGTGCAGACGGAGTGACCAAATGTCTGTGCATGCCCCCTTAGTCTTGAAGTAAAAATAAAATAATTAGATGTTTGTGTAGAAGCTTGTGAGGTGTCTGAGAAAATAAAAAGGACAGCTTTTTTTTTTAAGATTTATTTATTCACTTTTATTGGAAAGTCAGATATACAGAGAGAAGAGACAGTGAGAAAAGATCTTCCATCCGATGATTCACTCCCCAAGTGAGCACAACGGCCGATGCTATGCTGATCCGAAGCCAGGATCCAGAAACTTCCTCCAGGTCTCCCACACGGGTGCAGAGTCCCAAGGCCTTTGGCTGTCCTCAACTGCTTTCCCAGGCCACAAGCAGGAAGCTGGATGGGAAGTGGAGCTGCCGGGATTAGAACCGGCACCCATATGGGATCCCGGCACATTCAAGGCGAGGACTTTAGCCGCTAGGCCGCGTCGCCAGGCCTAGGACAGCTTTTCCTTGAGCTGGTGTGAGAACGCACCAAGTGTCAGTGTCTGTGTCTTTCTTTATCGCCACACAACCCTAACTCCACGTAACCTTCCTGAGCTCCGAATTTGGCTGGAGCTGGACTCCAGCAATAAGGAACAGTGACGAAAAAGGAAGCCAAGTTAACTTGCCCACATTCTACAAAGGAAGGCTGATGCTGAGGCGACCTGGCCCTGCCCATACACCCCCAGGCTCCAGGAGATGGCTCCCCAGCCCCAGCGGGACCCGAGGGTGCTGACGCTGAATGGCCAGCACTCTTCCTTCAGGTAAAAGCATGGACGTGTCTTTTGAACATCTCTGTGAGCCAGGAGCACTGCTAACTAGCTAAGATCACACGGCAGGACACTGGAAGCAAAGCAAGGGGTCCCTTTAAGCAAATGAAGATGCTTCAGGAAGTTAAAATGCATTTCGAAATTTGCTCACTTTATATAAATACGTAAAATTTAAAAAAAAAAATAGTAACACATAGCCAGAGAGAGAGAGAAAAACACAGCTGGTTAGGCCTACCAAAACAGCAACC